ATTAGAACTCTGTTTAGAGAACAAGGTGTGACCGTAGTGAACATTTTAGCCGCTTTGAGTTTAGCCATCAGCACCATAGTGAGTAGCATCGTCGCTAGCGTGAAAGGGGCGGGTGCCCCACCCACGCCAACACCAACACCAACACCACCACCAAAAGGCGGTATCAAAGAGTGGATTTCAAAACAACTCGCTAATTTTGCATCTGCTCTTCAAAAACTCGGAGTGAGCGCGTTGGGTGCTCTGCCGGGTATCACAGGCAGCGTACTCAGTTGGATATTTAACGCGCTGAGTAAGTCTGTATCGTGGTTGGCCGAACACGTGTGGGCTTTGTTTTTGGGTGTGGGGGCCTTGGTGTTTGCGTACCTGCAAAAACGATGGTAGTAATAGTTGTAATCAAGTTTAAACAAAAAAAATAAGCCTTACCAGCAGAAAGTTGGTAAGGTTTTTTTGTTGTTGTGAGATTAGAGTGTGACTTATCGCGTTGCCTCGTAAGCTAAAATACCCATGCCAACGATAGCTAATATTCCTACCGTCAACGATAATTTTTCGTCTTGGTGAGTTTGTAGTTTCGTGGGTTGGGTTAAAACTGTTGGTGCTGGTGTTAGTGTTGGTGCAGGTATTGGTGCTGGTGTGAGTGTTGGTGTTGGTGTTAGTGTTGGTGTTGGTGCTGGTGCTAGTGTTGGTGATACAACATCGGTCATAGGCTCTAGGGGTGTTGGTGGCGCGACATCATCGGTGTCATCAAAAGAGTCGTCCGGTTGAGGTTGTGAGTTTAAATCTGGCACCAAACCAGTTTTCATACTCTGGGTAGCGATTTGAAGATTGTTGTTATAGCCGTCGTGCATTCCAACCCTCAAGTTCATATCCGATGGAATTAAATACAACCCCGGTTTCACGACAAAATTTAAAGGTGTTCTGGCATACTGCAAAGAGTCTTGAAATTGATTGATACTCGTTTCCATGTCGTCTACTGCATTGATGATATCTTCAACGATGACGTTAAATTGTCTTTGAGCGTCTAATCCGGTGCCTGGTGTTAATACGCTCGTTTTTGTTTGAGCCTGCGCACCGAGTAAAGCGTACACGTAAGATCTGATCGATTCGTTGATCTTTATGATTCCCGCGGGGGTAAACGAACTCGTGTCGGGTATAAAATCTAACCAAGCCTTTTGTACCGATTCATTTTGTTCGATAAAGGCTACGGTGTAATCGCTGTAACGCCCTGAACCCTTGGGTGGATCGTCCAGACCAAACCCCATTTTAGTTCCACTCATCATATCTTTACGATACTCACTATACTCGAGATTAAGGTCGGTTGTATCATAATCGTTTCCGGGTACGGGTACGTAAGACGTGTCCCAATAATAAGCTATACCTAAACCGTTAGAGTTTGTGTCTCTCGTCTGTTTAAAAGACTTGTTTTGATCGATGCCAAACAACAAACAGGTATCGGTAAAAGCTCTGAGATTATAACTGTTGTCTAGAGCTTTAAATGCGTCATCCCCCGGTAAAGGAGCGGCAAAGTCGTACAGGATCTTTCTAACCGTAAAATATAAATGAAAGTTAAAGATGGCCCAAACGTAACGGTTGCTCGCGTTTAAAAGATCAAATCCAACACCGCAGCCCGTAGTAGCGCAATAGATCGCAAAATTTAACTGATTTTGATAAAACGACATGGGGTGTGATTTCCAACGATCTACATCCTCATCCGTTGTGATGCGAGGCAATTTATAGTCCGAGGTTAAGTCGGGAAACGAGCTTAAAAACCCGTTGGTATTATTAACTATAACTTCCAGTTCACTGGGTTTAGTGCTGTTTAAAAACTTTGCTAGGGGTGCAGCTTGATGCTTTAGCTCGTTTGCCTTGGCTACATTTTGATTTACTTGTTGCGTTACCTGATCAGCTATCGATTGTATCTGCTTTTTTAACGACTCAAAATCACTCATTATTTTAGTTTCAGTTTTAATATAAAAAGACTTTAAAATAAATGCATTCGTTTCACTTGTTTCAAAATGAGCAGACGTTTAAATTAGAAGACGTTGTAGATAATTTAAACGGTCAAAAATCTGTACGCGTAAAAAGAGTAATGTTTAACCCCGGATATTTTAATATTTCCAGCGCCACAGAGATTGATTGGTATACGCAAATAGATGGGAGACCCGCTGAAAGACCTGATGATGATAGAAGATACGAACGGGTTGACTCAAATATAGCAGTAAGAACAGATAGAGATTTTATTGCGCAATTAGTACCCGAGTACCCCTACGACTTTTTAATTAGAGACGAAAATACTTTCAATAGAGTTATAAACGATCTTATAGAAGCGTATGAAGAAGATAGACTAGACTCTGCTTTAGAATCGATCGAAAAAGAAAAAGAACAAATAATTGAAAGACAAAGAAATTTACACGATAAAAGTCAAGAAAGAACACTAACCGACGTACAACGCAATACGATTATATTTTTAATAACAACTTTATTTGAAAGAAGAGGCTTCATCGATGAAGGTAAAAAGATAGCGCTAGAATATATCGAAGGTATAATAAGCGAACCTAGAGAGAGAGTAATTAGAAATGCTGGGATAACAATACGGGGGAGTCTTGTCGTGTCTGGTGATAATTTAGATTTTATTTCTCCGAGTCTTTTAGCACCGTTACCAGCCGGAGTCACCGGTTCAGTCACCATCCCACCTGGGTGGTACGACGTCGATTGGTTCGATTTTATTTTAAATTATATACCCGGGGTAAGTTTTCGAATATTTAGAGAATCTAAAAAGGTGACGTTGGTGGTAACCGACGTCAATCTCAAATTGCGTTTAAACAGAGAAGTCTCTCGATTACTTAATTTACCCAAAGGAAGACTGATACCCAAAGTGGTGTATACGGGGTCTTACGACATTAATCCGTTTAAATTTTTGTTTATTCGCTGCCCGCAATTAAGTACGAGTGAAAACTTTTTTGATGGTCGACCGTCTGACATCTTAAAAATCATACCCGTGGCTACGCGCAAACCCGAGCCTGATAGAGTCGAGGATTTCAAGAAACTTAAAAACGGTATAATCGACAAACTGACATTTTCAATCATAGGTGAAAAAGGACAGATCATCAACAACAAGGGTGTGAGTATCATGATAGAGTTAGAGATCTTTTAATTTTAAAATCTTTTTATATTAAAAACATGAGTATAGATGGTAAGGCTTTATACCCCGATATTTCTGGAGATGTACTCCGATTAAATAGTAACGAAGAAACAAAAGTGTACAGACTTAAAAAGATTGAAGAGATTCGATCTTTAATCTTAAAAGAGAGAGACCACCGAGAGCGCACTTATAAAAAAATAAAGAGAATGATCGACACTATTAATTACGTAGAGATAGGATTAGAAGGATTGGGGGCTATAGCGGGGGCTGTCGGTATTCCCGCTCTCTTGGGTGTTATATCAGCCCCCGTTGGATTGGTGCTAGAAGGAACGTTTATAGGCGCTTTTGGTGTAGATATTTTCCTTAGAATCGCGTCTAGGCGATTATCCGCCAAGCTGAAAAAGCACGACCAGATTAAAATATTAGCAGACTCCAAACTTAACACGATTGAAGAATACGTGTCTCAAGCCATCAACGACGGAGATATATCGCACGAAGAGTTCTTATTGATTACGAGAGAGCTCGCCAAATTTAACGAGCTTAAGCAGAAAATTAGAACAAAAACCAGCACAAAGCTTCAAAAGATTAAAAACGATACAGACTTTGAAAAAGAAGTTAAAAAACGGGTAGACGAACGGCTGGCAAAAGAAAAAAAATCTCTTATCGAAAAACTTACAAGTTCAAATTCACGGTAAATAAACATTATGAAAGCGAACCACCGAGTTATACCTCTATTTCACCGCTGAGGGTGTTACCCTCGGCCCCGCCTTTATTGTAGTGGTCATCGTATCTTTTTAGTGCCTTATTAAATTGATTTTGAGTCACTTTAAATAAATCTCTAACTCGTTCTTTGTCTAATCCAACGACGTGATGATAACACGCCGCTATTAACGAGCGTTTGACGCAACCGTTTCCCCTCAATGTTTTGTAATTAACGAGCTCGTTATATTTATTGATTGTTTCTTGGGCATCTTCTGAGCCTTGCTCTGGGCACACAGACAAAACAAGTTTCTCCACAGTTTTTCTTTTGTTTCTTTTTAAAATTGACCAATTGATACGATCTTCTTGCGCATTTTCTGCCGAAAAATCAAAGTAACGTGAGACTATTTCACCGCACGTTTCACAAACTAAAAAACCATTCTCGATGATTATATGGTGATCGCACTGATCTGTTTTATCAGATAGCTCGAGGTTTTCACTCATTGATATATTTAATAAAAACCGATATTATTTTTTATTAATTTTTCAAATACTCGTCGGTCTAAACATATTACTCTCCATTTTTATATTAAAAAACAGCTCCTCTACCTTTTCACAGATAGAGAAGCTAATTTTTTTTGTCTCGAGTTTCAAGGTCACGTGGTGGTGACTCACACATTTTTCAAGGTCGCGTTGTTTACGCCAAATTTTATCGTGCCTCAACACGTTTCAAGGTCACGTGGTGGTGACTCACACATTTTTCAAGGTCACGTGGTGGTGACATCACCTCATTTTAGCGACGACAGATTTTTTTTATTTTTTTTTTTCTCTATCTCTTTCCCGGCGTCAGGATTTTTTTTTTTTTTTTTCTCCCGGCGTCAGATTTTTTTTTTTTTTTTTTTCTCTCTCTCCCGGCGTCAGGATTTTTTTTTTTTTTTTTTTGGAGATCGGGGGGATTCCCCTATTTTTTCAAAACCGAGAGCGGCGTGCCCAGGCTCGCCGCAGATTTTTTCGATTTTGGTCCCGTACCCCCGCCCCCCTTACTACTCAACAGATCACGGTCCGCAAAAGGCTATGGCCACACTAGTAGTATTCAATTCACGAGAGTGTACCCCTATAGTGTTTTTACAGCAGGCCTATATACGTATATAGCTATACGTACCACAGTGACAGGAACACCAGACCAACGATCAAAAGCAACGTGAGCGTGAATGGAGACAGATCCAATCCTACAACTTCCATGGTTAGGTCTATAATCACGTCGACCGTTCAGACGACTTAAATGTCCACTTCCTCGTCAATGACTGCCGGCAGCGCAGTGGCGGCTAGCAGTATATATTACTTATTACTATATACATGTATAGTGCACCAGGACTGATCAGGCGATGTGCCGAGCTCAACCAATGGGCCAACCAAACTGGAAATGACCATCAGTCCAATAATAACATTATGCAATGCAATAATAATTGAAGGCCGGTCGCAGACAGAACCAAATTCCAAAATGTCCAATACACAGTGTACTGTACTTTGATCGCGAACTATGTCAATAATATTAATTGTTTGCTGAATATAGTCTGCGGCAATATTGTATGGTAGCCCGTAAAGGACATGCAGTACGCAGATACAGTGTTGATCAGGTCTCATTTTCTCCGTCCATTCGTTTTGTTTTTAGCTTGAGAAACTCCAGCTCCAATGCTCATCGCGAATGGACCGATCCAGTAAGCACCGCCCCATGGTATTCTGACCAATCACAGCCGTGATTTATGTCCGACATGCGTGCACAAAAGTCCGACATGCGTGCACGCGCGTATGATGCGCGCGGCAGGAAAATGCAGTGTGGCATTGGAGAGGAGCGCGTGTTAATTTGCCCTCGTGCGCAGTGGGAGGGGCTTACTGGATTATATGCCCTATATATAGAATTCGCGATGAGCAATTGGCGCCCTTCGGAAATTCGACTCGCGATGACATGGAGGGGGAGTTGATGTCGAATTCGCGATGAGCAATGCATTGAGCGGGAGTTTCTTAAGCTAGTTTCTTTGACCTTCCATTAAGTCTTTATAGTACGCTAGTATTTGCACATCATTAATTCTTATAGGCCTATTTTGCGAGTAAAATAATACTTCGTTCTGGAGCCAACATATATACTCCATAGGTGCACTTATCATTTTATGTTCAAGTATATAATTCACAATAGTCTAGTCTTTTGTACGCCTCAGCCTATATAACCACGTCAAATTCGAGCATCAATCGCGATATCTAAATTACTGCAGCAAATGCGCGATTTGCTCCGCATTTATTTAGCATAGGCCCTACAAATAAAATTTCACTGAAAAAAAGTCCACAACTTCCCAACAAAGTGGCGGGATTCTACTAGACTCAAAGTGGTATACATGTATTACCGAAGTTGATAACTGATCAAACCAATTAATATATTGAGAAATTCGATTTTCAATAACCCTTTATGTCATGTACAAACAATGAAAGAAAAAGAGGAAATGACTAAATTTCTTCAGAAAACTTTTGAAAGAGATTTTGTATGGACTCATGGACCATGATAATAGATCTGCGATGCAAAACCTACGGTTCCGCAGATGAAAAAGAATTACGTCATCTCCGTAAACAGCAGAATGACGTCATTCGTACCCTTGGAACTTGAACACAGATTAAATGGTCCATGGATAACGTTATCGATGACGAATTCATCATGGAATTTGGCGTGGAAGATGTATTTATTTTGATCCTTTTATAGTAACGAATACTAAAAGCTTGTGATTTGTTTTAAAAAAAATTATATTTTTAATTTATTATTATTTTTTTTCTGGGAGGTGGGGTGGGGGTTATTCCAGTTTCTCAACAAAGTAAAAACAGGTATGTAAGCAATTTGTGATGAACATTTTTTTATTGCACAAAACTAATTAATTCTAACAAATTCACATTTACTTATGCCAACAAAATGTATGCATCCACCTTATATTTTCCCTGATGCTCCCCCTTTCATTAAAAATACATGTACATGATTTTCCAAAACTACTATTGGTGTTTCAATATAAATACATCGCAGGCCTTTATCAAACAGAAATGATTTCACATTGGAGACTAGGCAGCCATAGACGGGGAGTACATGTATATATTGATGCATGTATTATACATTTTTATTACACAAGAAAAAGTGAACTGGGATCATACATAGCAAATAAATTGGTTAAATTTACTGTTCAAATTTTGATAGGAAATACAACAAAAATAAGCTTGTTGATCCCATTCGTGGAAAAATTGTATCATAATGTGAATGACTCAATCCCAAATACCAAATAAAATAATACATGTAGTAATAATAATAATAATAATCTAGTGCTTATACAGCGCTTTATACCAAAGGTTTCAAAGCGCTTCACAATTATTACCCCTGTTCATCAGGCCACGAGACCAGTCTTTGCAGCAGCTGGAGATCAGCGCATCCTGGTCTCTACCTTCACAGGTACCCATTTATACTCCTGGGTGGAGAGAGGCAATTGTAGTAAAGTGTCTTGCCCAAGAACACAAACACCATGTTCCCTGTCAGGGTTCGAACCTACGTCCTACGGCACGTGTGTCAAACACCGTAACCATTGGACCACAGCGTTCCACATATAAAGATTCCCTGTGGCAGTTTTAAACAACAAATATCAAGAACATGATGCATACATCAAATAATATCAGGAATGGCAGTTTTAGGTATACACTTGTTTAAAAAATTCTAACTTTTGTTACCTAATATAAAAAAACCTGTCAATCAGAACAGAACAGCACAAAATTAATATAGGCCTAGAAGAAGACAGCAGATTCTTATACAATTAAAAAGGATAAATAAACTGATGATTGATTACATATCATAGTTATCAGAATGGCCTTGATGTGATAATACCTGTAATTTACAAATGTACAGCGACAAATTCAAGTATTAACAATACAAAAAACACTAATTAAAACCTGCATTACATTTTCTATTAAAAAATCATCAGCGATAAATGGAATAGAGGGACGCAGTGTTGTAGTCGAGGTATACTATGTGTGATGCAGCGGCGTAGCCAGGGTTCTCACCTTAGAAGGGTAGGTGGTGGGGGGGGGGGGGGGGGTGGAGGCTGCCCATTTTCTGTTACACCTGTTAACCATGGTCACTTATACAGGCATCAGATCCTCTGATTTCCATGATTTTACTTTTCATGAAGCCATAACAAATTGAAAAATACTGTTTAGTCTTGTGTATTTTTGAATTTCCTCGTTTTCTAAATTTCCAGCTGCATGCCTGCTTATAGGACTAACAAATTTTCCGATTGGGGGGGGGGGGGTTTGGTTTATGGGTGTGTGGATGAACGTAAAATGTCTGCGTACACGTCAACCCATAAATGGCCTTTGCATTCGCGAAGGTTGCACTGCTAAACCTCCCTAACATGCCTAATGAGAGCTAGTCCCATTGAACAATGCCACAGTTGCATCATGCTTGAAGTTAGTGACCACAGACTCCGAGGCATTTTTGAGCTGATTGATCTTGCTACACTGAGCAGAGCCCAATTCCACGGCGCTACTTAACAGTTAGCAGGAACGTTGTGCTAATTACCGGTATACCAGCAACCTGTGCTAACCTTAAGCACTATTTCATTTCCTCTCAGGTAAGCGTCCCTTTTACCGTGATTACTGCTTACGGTCTCCATGAAATAGACGGAGGCTCTGTTAGCAGGAAATCGTGTGCGCTTAGCAGCGCCATGAAATTTGGCCTAGGCCCGAGTACTGCATGTTGCTCCGCTCAGCAGAGGTTCGAGCCAAAAAGAGAGTTAAAGAAGAAAGAACGCGAGTTGCTGGGATCTCATGGCATAGTCACGATAGTGGTGGATTTTGAAAGATTCAGGATGGTGCTATGCGAAAACGACCAGTAGATTCAGGTTAAAGGCAGATTTAGCGAAAACACCAGTATTTTGGCTTGAAATCTGTCTTGCTATATAACACATTTTTAAAAGTAGTTTTCAGATGCACAGATTCTCAAACCATGGCCAAATGTCATAAAGCTAAAGCAGAAAATATTGCATTGCAAAATTATTATTTGCAAAAATTCCGCAGAGTACCAGTCACAAGCCATATACATCGCATGGCATTTTGGCTGGTGACCTGTTTTTGCTTAGCAGTTAAGTTTCTGTGCTTAGTCAGTTCCATCTTGTGGTTCATGTAAGTACACAGATCATATATTTGTATGGTCTTTACTGACTCGCCACAGTCCGCTACCAATGAAAAGGAAAAAAGTTGAAGACAATCGGCGCTAAAGAGACGGCATGTCATACATCCCAGTCCATGGGCGGAGTCAGGGGAACGCGGCGGGCGGTGCGCCACGGCAACAGCCACGAGAAGACAGATCCTGCAAGACAAGGGAACAAACGAAACGCAGAAACCATGGACAAAATATAATGGTGCATTTGCTGTACGGTAAAAAATGAAATCTTAAAATGAAATTACGTAACTTTTGCAGGACAAAAAAAATATTGTTTCCATGCATGACCAATCCCTACGCTAATTTGTCATTTTATGAGCCTATTTATTAACCCTAACCTCCCCAACCCTATCAAAAATCCATCCCCCATTTTGGTGGATTTTTACCACTCGACCACCGAGCCAACGAGATTGATTGGCCGGTTTGAATCTGATGTACATAGCAGCGGGTATCGCATAAACTATTATAAGATGGAATTTTGCGTCGGGGTGATATAAATCAAATTAGGTTTTGCCCTTCACTGACGTTTAAACACTGTATGATACTCAGTGTGTTACCTCCCGAGTGAAAGTTGGAAAAAATCACTCAGGTGGGACTCGAACCCACGACCTCCTGCTTTCTAGTGCAGATGTCTTACCACTCGACCACCGAGCTAACGGGATCGGTTGGCCGGTTCGAATCTGATGTACATAGCAGCGGGTACCGCATAAACTATTATAAGATGGAATTTTTGCGTCGGGGTGATAACACACTGAGTATACAGTGTTTAAACGTCGGTGAAGGGCAAAACCTAATTTAAAACATTACTAAACATGGAATAGCCACCTTGCATTTGCATCTACGATGCATTTGTGAGATGTTCTTTTTTTAGCATTTACTTAGGTAAATGACAGTCCTTACCTTTGCCGAAGACTTCCTGTAGCAGCATCATCTTGGACTTCTCCCCTTTGATGCTTCGATAGCCGTTGGAATTCCCCGTTTTGTCGTGCTTGTTCTTCACTTGTTCAACAGCAGTTTCATCTTCAAATATTGCTTGGAACTTTGGAGGAGAAATACAATGAAACGTTACACTTCTAACAATGGAAGGCATTAAGATGGAAAATAAAAAATCCACAAAATAATCGGTATGGTGTTTGGGGGTCGCTGAGGGCTAGAGAACAAAGTACAGTGGAACGCTGCTATAACGAACATCGCGGGATCCACAAAAAATGTTCGTAATAGCGATCGTTCGGTATAGCGATTTTAAGCTGCCCATGTTCCGGTACTCACTTTTCAATAAATGCGCCCTTCATAACTTCACCCTGCACGCCCTGGTAGTTACTGAAAGACAACTTCGAACACCTGCCGACTATTGAATTATGTAATTACACAGTTTTGAGCTTACTACCTGCATTGATGGGTGGCTTTTCCCTTCTATGCCTTGGGGAAATAATAGCCACTTGTCGCTCTTCTGTTTTCAACAACAATGTTCGGTTGGTTTTGTACACAAAAATCGGGAGCCAAGGACGATGTTCGGTATAGCCGAATGTTTGGTATAGCGGTGTTCGGTATAGCGACGTTCCACTGTATATGTACCGGCATATGGTATGTGTTTGAATTTGTCCAAAGGCATCCCTTACAATACCCATTTCTTTTGTTCTTTACACTTTCATCTCAGTAAAAACATCTCACAGCAAAAACCTCATGGATTCCAGATTTCAAAAATTTACTGTTTAAAAAAATGCTGAAAAGGGGACAAAATGCTGACAAAAAAATCCTGAAATCAGGGAATATTCTGACAAAAAATGCTGAAACCAGGACAAATAAATCATGAAATCAGTAAATAATTTAATAAAAAAAATGCTGAATCAAGAAAAAAACCTGACACAAATTCCTGAAATCAGGGAGAAATCTGACCAAAAATGCTGAAATCAGGAAAAATCTTGAAAAAAAAAAAAAATTCAGAATCAGTAAAAATACCGACAAAAAAATTGTGAAATCAGAAAAAATCCTGGCAAATCTCAGCCCTGCTATCCCCTTTCGTTTCTAATATCCATTGCTAAATTGCATCTAGTGGATAAACCTGCAATATATCACAAGCCCCGCCCATCCAGAAGGGACCCATTTGATTGGTCAGCTGACTCACCTGATCGCATCCAATGGCTACGACAAACAAACCAAAGAGTAGGGACAGCACCACTAAGACGATACTGTGAGCTCTGTTAACACAAAAGGACATCACAAAACTCAAGTAAACAGAAAAATTATATTTGGAGTTACAGCCATGTAAGACCATTTGCTAACCGTGCATTTTGTTCGTTTCCAATAATAACACCACGCAAAATCCAAAGAAGAATGTTCAAAACCTAACCCGTTGAAGTTTCAGCTCAGTGGATACTATACATTTTGAGAAAACAGGGAAACCGTACGTCCAATTTTTGGTAACTGGATTCTGTTGCTAATGCATAAAAATGATACATTCCACGCAGAACAATTTCACAGGGACTTTGATACTGGTCCTATTCACTTTGAGCAAGGTTTCTGTCAGTAAGTCGGTAGGTACTTTTCTGGGTAATCGGAAATGATTCTACATAGTACATGATGTTCAAGCTATAGTCCATCATTTGCAGCCATCCAAAAAGTAACTGGCGTAATTATTGTTGAAAAACATACTTGGTTGAAAGATAGTAAGGGGACTAAACTCCCTGTGAAATTATTCTTTCTGGCAAGCTGTCATTTTGAAGTAATCAACGAAAGAAGGCCTTTCCTAGGAAAATTTAAATTAGTAGTTCGTTTTGTTATTCAGCGAAGTGCGCGCAAGCATTGGCGGTTGCTATAATTATAGCGGTTGCTATAATTCATCGGATCAGTGCCGACATCGCGTAGCTGCAATCGGCTCAGTGAGAAGGTGTCTCGGACGCTGAATTCAGGCGCAATTCAAAACATGATTCAGCAACTTTTGATTTGAAATTGAGATCCTAGAATGCTGTTTTTCTCGGAATATACAGCTGAAGCTGAGCTGAAACTTCATCAGGTTAGTTGTTCAGTATCCTTCATTAGATTTTGAACACTTTTGTTGCTTCAAACGAACAAAATGCACAAATTACAAATGATGGACTATATCTTTAAGTGCTACACTAAATTGCATTTAGAATTCCATCATGCACAGTTGCGGTACAATCCCCGCCTTCTACCGCTACGTGGACCCAAGTTCGAATCCCGCCTGGGCTAATATGTGGATTGGGTTTTCAGTCCCTGCATTGTACCTGATTCTGTGGGTTTTCCCAGAATATTCTTCTGGGGTTTTCCTCCCACCTCTAAAACTGTAATTTCTTCTCATTGTCTTCTCTCTACAGGTTTCTTCAGGCTTTCGGGCTACAGCGCGCTTTTGAGGAATCATCAGTTTCATTACCAGAAATAAATAATAATAGATATTAATAAAAACAAGTTGCTGTACTCACATTCTTGCATTTTTCTGTATCATGTTCTGACAAATGGGACAATCGTACGTCCAGGATATGATGGTGACAATCACAGCATACAACCCTGCAATACCTGGCAAAATACGAAGAACAACAATTGAATGTCAGGGACAGGGCTGTGCATAGTCTAGGGGCTACACGTTGTTCTTGTTTGATACGCGATAACGTTAACCCGCCGCCGTGATACCGGCCACCGCGAGAGGGCGCTATCACGACCAACCAATATCGCCCACGAACCCGTCAGAACAACGTCTAGGGAAACTCTTATTGGTTGTGTAATGCACGCGCACTTGTTTGGCCTAATATGCAGCACGCAATTCAAAAAATTTATAGTAGTTCTGAAGCAAACTCTCAAATTTCTTCCAGTGCAATAAAAGATGCAGCAATACCTTTGTGCAACTTCACTGGTCGGCTCTTTGTTACGTGTAGTATGTGTAGGACTGAAAATGGACCGTAATTGCCTGCAGAAGTCGCGTATGCGCACTAGTTTCCCCCATTTTTCGGGGGGAAAAATCAGCAGTTTCCCTAGACGTTGTTCTGACAGGTTTGTGGGCGATATTGGTTGGTCGTGATAGCGCAGTGGCCGGTTATCACGGTGGCGGGTTATCGCATATCAAACAAGAACAATGTCTAGCCCTTAGACTAGGCTGTGCATCGGAACCGGGTTCCGGAGTACCTGATCGCTAATGTCAGGAACCGGTTCCAGATTATGGGATCGGGTACCCAGAACCAACTTTACAAATGACTACCAGCTGAGTTACTTCTCAGACAACGCAAACGAATGCCATTTAAAAATGAAAACTAGGCTACATGACAAACCAAAACAGATTTTATGTTCCTGTGCATTTTAATGCGCGACAGATGGCCCTCATGAAAGTTGCAGTTTACACTGTAAAGCTATAAAGCCCTTCGGACAACTTCTGGGATTTTGAATTTTGGGGTTGCATTTCGTTTACTGGTACCCGTACCTGGGTACCCGTGTTTTACTTCAAATATCTAATATTCTGAAATGGAAGTGGAAAGGTTCAACTTACCCACATAAAATAGAAACTGAATAAAATAAATTTGGTTGAATTCGCCGACACAGTTGTTGATCCTGTAGAAAATAAAAATAGAAAACTGACTTTAGTCTCAAAGTCTATCACATCAGATTTGGAGTCTGAAATCAGCCAGCTAGGTGTTGATCTAATGACCTATGACCTATGACATAGGGCAATATGGTGTCAATTAACTCTAAATATCCTAATGTGTACTAATAGGGCATTGTGTTTAAAGGTAATAGGCCTATACAACACTTACCTTGGGGGTTAGCATTTTATAGAAAATATTGTAACACTGACCTGTTTAAAGTTTTGTTTTCATAGATGCTGGAAAAACCAAGAAAAAACCCCCACTGTTCTTGTAGTCTGATTCCCTGAGCCTACATGTACTTCAGATGAAATGAAGGAACTTAAAGACGTCGGGGAATTGTCAGGTCAGAGAACCAGACTACCTGGCTTGCTTTCGTTGACGGATGTGTAAACCAATTGCAAACACAATGTGGACTAACTAAATTGGGTAAACCGGGGGGAGTATTGAAAAAGTCAGCATTTTTTCTAACGATGGTCAGCCGACCATCGTTGGAAACTGATACAAAAAATTCCACTTTTCTTGAAAATGACAGCACACCAGGTGCCATGATTTCAATGGATGCTTGAGACTATTATTCACTCACAGTCAAGTAAGGTATTTCATAATATTTTGGTAGTTTTGTCTTTTGATGTTTGCAAATGTTGTATATTACCTTGGAATGAAATGAGTGCAAGGCCAATGAGAGTTCAAGGAAGTCAGCATCGTAACGTGCACAGCAACCAATTCGGGCGATTCACAATGCAGTGCGCCACCAAGAGTTTGCCATGGAGAGTCAACTTTTCAAGTTTACGGTCGACAAAACATGGCCCATTTGAATGAGTGTTAGTAGACAACTGAGCTATTATGTTATAGATAGGGGCATAGCATTTTGCCTCCTTCCAAAAACACACCATGTTGATAAAAGGAAAACATAAGGGCAAACATATACTCAAGTTATATGCTTACGAAACTACTGACCGGAAAAAACGAACAATTTTGAATGTCCCGCGCTGCGAATTTGTCGACCATCTCCCACAATGCACTGGGAAAAATGGATTCTCCGTGGCAAAGTATTGGTGGCGCTCTGCATTGTGAATCGCCCAAATTAGGTCTCAGGATCACTGTGGGAGTTGCCTGTCCTCCCCTACGATATGAGGTCAGGTATCCAGTCTAATAACCGTCCTATGCAAACATACACTCTGTGCCAAGTAGTCCTTTCAGTCAAAATCAATCAAGTGACTGTTTTAAACAGTTAAGAATTCCAAGCCTACACAATGCAGGATTGAGTGGCTGGGACTGTTTAAGTAACTTGATACAGCTTTGCTTTGACTGTGGGTAACTGATAAGCTAGCTGTGCCCACAACTTGCCTGCTTTGTCTGTTCATGGTCGGTTGACTGAGTTTGACTAGTCACAGTGCTTGGTTGACATATGATCTGACTGCTGGTGACTAGCCTGTGTTAAAGAGGTTGTGGAATGCTCGAAGACATTTCCGTCTTTTTTCGGGTATATGTAGCCTAAGGTGTGATGAAATAAAAACGACTATTGTTTCTGTCATAAAATGAGTACAAAAGATACTTTTGAGAGCTGTTTTTTAAGTCCTGTCATGCCTGTTTCGACCCGAACGTGCAATTTGTGTAAAAGTCTTCGTTGCGGGCAGCAAACAAAACACAGTAAATCGTGACGTAATAAACAGGACTCCCGATGCAGAGTAGCATAAACGAGTCCTGTTTATTACGTCACGATTTACTGTGTTTTGTTTGCTGCCCGCAACGACGACTTTTACACAAATTGCACGTTCGGGTCAAAACAGGACCTGAAAAATAGCTCTCAAAAGTAACCTTTGTACTCATTTCATGACAGAAACAATAGTCGTTTTTATTTCATCACACCTTAGGCTACATATACCCCAAAAATGACGGAAATGTCTTCGAGCATTCCACAACTTCTTTAAAGCATAGCAGGGGAGGTGGATGGACATTTTGGCTGTCTGTGACTGTTTAAATAGCAGGAGGGTTATATAAGGAGGCAAATTCCACTGTGTACAGCAGACGAGACTTACCACGGACAATGGTGGTCCATTTTACGTATACATCGTCGGCATATCCGGCAGTGGTGGGCCCGTGGCGGTCTGTAGGCTTCACACTTTTGACAGACTGTCCAGTTGATGCCATCCTTAAGTTTGAAGAAAGCACACCAAAAAAAAAAATAAATCATTGACTGTCCCTGATCTGTTGTAATGATCTAAGCACGAACAGTGCCATCTCGGCACAATTGCAGCATACGATCTATCCACCTCGTAGCCGGCTACGAAGTCACGGTTGATTGCCCTCAATAAACCTTCTCAGCGCTACATGTATGTACTATGCGTCATGCTCCACTGCACTCCCACTCCATATCCGAGTAGCCGCCAACAGGGTAGTTGGTTTGGACTTAGAATTTTTTCAGTATTACTCCCATAACTTTTGTGTTGCTTCGTTATCAAGCATATATCAAGCCAACAGGGTAGTTGGTTTGGACTTAGAATTTGTTCAGTATTACTCCCATAACTTTTGTGTTGCTTCGTTCTCAAGCATATAAGGACTCCCACTTCGTGGCAGTTGGTTTGGACTTAAGAATTTTTTTCAGCAACTCCCATTCATTTTGTGTTGCTTCGTTCTCAAATGGATCCCCACACAGTATCCGCGTAGCTGGCAATGGACTTGAATTGTTTCTTTTTCCAGTGATTCCAACCGCGTAGCCAGAGAATTTAGGGGTGTATTTCCGAGTGGCGGGGTATTCTGCATTTACTCTGCCATCTCGTGTCAAATTGTGTTAATCCCTGACCCCTCACTTTCCAAATTCTCTAAAACCCTTTTAAAGGTAGAGTATATCATTTGCAGCTATCCAAAAACTAACTGAGGAAATTATTGTTGAAACGCATATTTGGTTCAAAGATAGCAATGGCACTAAACTCCCTGTGAAATTATTCTTTGTGGCCTGCTGTCATTTTGAAGAAAACAATAACAGAAGGTCATTTCCAAAGATATGTCTAAAGACACATTTTTGGAAATTACGGTGTGTAGTTCGCTTTTAATTAGGCAAAGACGTGAATGGGTGCACGCAAGGATTGACATGGCGCACAATCACGCGGGTGGTATTATTTGTCCGTTCGGTGCGTGACATCATGTAGCAATCGGCTGCTGTATATCCAATTAGAATTAACAAGAGCTTCAACATAGCAATCTGGGCGCCTTGTCAATGCTATCACGTAGGCTTCCTTCAATGGGGGAAAGCATTGTGCTAGCTATTGTTCAGATAATCCATCATGGGGCAGTAGTTTTGCCCAACAGCATGCACAATGCCTTCGCCATTGTAGGGGGGCCGTTGAAGGTTGCGATCCCTTCCAGCTGTACCTTTGTGACTAGTTTCTTTGGGATTTGTCCAGCTCTCATGCCGGTGAAGTCCAGATTGATGCTGGGAAGGGGAACAATACCTTGCAGGGAAAAAAACAGAATTAAAAAAAGGTCAGGTAAAACAATTACATGTATTGAGGTTGATGACATCATCGCTTTGTCACAGACTTTAGCTTCAGGCTGCAGCTTTAGAGTTTAGTCCCACTGACTTGTCTGACTCAAGGGCGTCAATCACTTTTCAAAAGTGGGAGGGGGGGGGGAGACTTTCGTTGAACAGAACTAATGCGAGCGCGAAGCCCTTACTGCGTGGGGTTCAGGGCCTGTTTAAGGGCTCCCAAAACATTTTGGATTCTAGACGCTCTGTGGTTGATCTGAGGCAATTTCTGACCACTTTAACGCATTTTTTTTAGCCAAAGATCACAATTTAAACATCATTTTTAAGTTTGGAGTAATTGAATCGGCTATTCTGAGCTATCGAATAATATGTGGGCTACATTTTTTTGGAGGGGGCGAAAAAAGCGGGAGGGGGGACAAACGATATGATATCCCCCCCCCCCCCCTTTAAAAAGTGGGGGGGGGGGGGGACTTGTCTAGTCTGTATTATATCGTTTTCTTTAGAGTAAAAAAAAAGTAAAGTCTGTCACGAGCCAATGTGGCCGGCGGTTACATGTATATCCGGTTTCAGTGGCATGAAATCACTGAGAATATTTCTATTCCCCCTGGATGGGATGCTAGTCCATCACAGGTTACTCCCCAGCTACCCATTTGTACTCCTGGGTGGAGAGATGAGGCAAGTGGGGGTGAAGTGGCTTGCCCAAGGACACAACATATGGCCAGCAGCTGGATTCGAACCCCTGACCCTCTGATCATGAGCCACGGACCCTAACCACTGGGCCACACTTGCCCATTTCTTGAGAAGGAGAATGTTTTTCTACGTGTACAATACTTGATTGAACTTGATCTGTTTTCAACTAAATACCTTCCATTTTAAACATCAAACTTCGAGTTCTATTTGAACAAACCAAATAAATAAATGTTTGTCTAGACTTCTATGCAGAGACATTGACATTTATACTTGACCTTCACTGTTTTCACATCAAATTCAATTCAAAAGTGAAATGTGCAGTTTTTCTTATATTGGTTCGTAAAAATAACAAACAATACCAAACTAGTGAGTGTGTTAGTGAAATGAGTAGACTGGATCACGTTTGTAAACACATGTGCATTTCGAACGATAATAGGGAGTCGGGAACTAGCGCAGCTTTTATGGCGGATACCAGTTCAAGCTGGTTCCCGATTCCCTTTCACAGTTCGAAATGCACTTGTGTTTACAAACGTGACTCATTATCATAATCGATGCATCGCGCGCGCTCGGTAACGGAATCGCACTCGGGATACGGGGACCATCGAATGTACGCTGGGCATGAAGAAGAAATCGCGTCGTTCAAACATTAACACGAGTCGGAAATTTAACGTGTTCAAGATCGCGAGGGGAGCTCTCAGAATTGAACAGGAAATTTCACTTTTCTTCCGGATCGTAAGTAAACTTCAGTACAACCATCTTAATCATCGATGTCTACTTGTACCTCAGGTGGCATATCTAGTAATTTGGAGGCTGTTTTGAGGGTGAAATCTGATGTTTTTTGTTGGAAAATGTTGGTTTTTGGGACAGTGTCAGGATGATGTTGTCCAGCTCATACTATTAGCTTGGACCTTAGGCCTACTATCGCCAGACCATGTCCGAATGTTAAAAAGGCGCTAAGTTTGGTCCAAGTTACTCGGACTAGTTTCTCGGCAGCTTACCAGGGTCAGAGAGCACGGCTCTTAGATGTGACATGAAGATCATTAAGACAATTAAGTTGAACACAAGTCCATGGAAGGCACCCCATAAGCTGTAAATATAGAGAGACATTAAAAAAAATGATTGAGTTGTTATTTTCTTATTCCTTAGGCAGTGGATGTTTTGCCAGAAACGGCAAACCTTTAGTAAACGTTAGCTTGCCGGATATGCACTGAACATGCGCAGTTACTGTTTTTTTTGGTAATTTCCGGTGACAAATTTTAGTCTGGCTCCATGCCAACATTATCGTTGTAACTTCGCATTTACAAGATGGTAATCAGACCATTTTACAATTTGGGACTTTATTTCCCTTTAAAAAAAATCCCCCCAGAGCCACAAATCTGAAAAAGAAATTGAATACACGGCAATAAAATGTTGGAGACATATTAAAATAATTAAAGAAGAATATTCTTATTTTTTGGGGATGGGGAAAAAAAACCTTAAAAATTTCGCCAGCGGGGATCGTACCCGGATCTTCCTGCTCATGAGATCCGTTGCTTATCCACTAGGCCACAGGTGCTACACAACCGTTGGTGGTAATTTAATATATCTTATAATTCAGCCCTATCTTAGAGTACAGCACCCTCTGTTGATAGGGATTGCCGCCGGCAATATATCCACTATCTTTTTTTAATGTAATTTTATTTTTTGATTGAGTACCCAATTTTATTTTTAGACAATGTCCATCACAGATTTTGTCTCCTGACATGTACTGAACAGTGTTTGTTTTTGGAGCAATCGGCGGATTTGCACTGGAACTACATGTACGGTGATGTACCTATTGCTAGATTGCGCAGAAATGCCTTTGCTTGATCAGTTTATTGCCCTGCCATCGGTTGATCACTTTTTCTTTCTAATTCACGGCTATGGAGGATTATTTAACGCCTTCATATAAACTGCACACAAAACTGCATCGCGTCTATGGGTGATTCGCAGGCCGCAACTGTCGCACGCAGGGATAAATATCTTTCGGTGAATACAGCAATTCCAATTGTGGAAAGAATGTTGCAACCTGATGCTACTTCAGCTTTCTGCACTGAGCCAACCCGACACTTAAAACGTGCATGCAGAGATATGATCGATCGATGATTTTCAGTTCGCTCAGAGCGCGCCACAGGGGTACCGTACAAGCGAAATGATAGTATGCGCATGGGTACAACTTTGCAAGTAACGTACCCCCAGCGGTGCGCTCCGAGCAAACCGACAATCATCGATCAATCATCAATCGATTTTTCATCATTTTGGCCTAAAAACCGACAGAATCCAGCAATGCTTGTTATGCGCAACTTACGTGAGTATGTCAAGAGGTATAGTACGGAGTTTAGGGGCAAGCTGTGCAGCGGGTCTGTGGGAAATGTCTGTGTTTTGATGGACGTTTTTGTACTTAGTTGGTGTTTCGTGCTGCAAACAATTTTGCGGGGTTCTGTGTCTATCAATGACTGAAACTCCGCTCACACGGAGCATTCATAGCTAGTTCTAGGAGTCATGGGAGTAGCCTACCCCACCATGCCCACAATTGCAAAATGATAGACCTTCAAATTAGTGAAAACAATTCTCTAAAAAAAAAATTGGTTAGGCCTACACTTGAAATAATTTTTGAAGTGATCCGGATCCCGGAAGTGTCAATGATCCGAAACTGACGCACTGAGTGCGTGTAGGAAGTAGCCAGGCCGGCTGAATCGAGTCGTTCAGCCTCAGGAAAAAAAAAAAGAACTCATCTTATCATTTCATTTTTCCTGCTTTTCCGATGACGTTTTGCTTGAAACACAACTTTATTACCTGTCGAACATGGTGGGAATTATAAGCCATTCTACCACTACGTAATCGGCGTAAAGTACCGCAAAATAAGTGATAAAAAGGCACACAATGCCGCACGGATCGTTCCGGAAAACCACCATTTTTTCCAAGTCTGTTTCCTGGGCTGCCCTTACGTCATTAAGGCAAAGTGCCGCGTTTGTCACTTCCGTACAACGCGCTTATGGAACCAGACTAGGCCTATTCCCTTGTGCAAACTTTACCCTTGGGTCAAAGGTCGTTTCCAAGAGATACAAAACCCAAGATGGCGACGCCCATTGATCAGTTTTCGACCGACCGCATCGTGGCAGAAAAGATTGATTGATTTTTGTGCTTGAGGATTTTTCTGTCCAGGAAAGAGGCAAGATGGCGATGGAAAAACAGGCAGTGATCAAAGAGACCCACCATCGGTCCGTAACGGCCATTGGATACCACCCAATGAGACGTGAAATTTTGGCAGGTTTTGAAGGTAAGATTTTTTTCATAAAAAGAGCGCCCTCAGCGTTGACTACCTTTGTTCCTAGTCCTATACGCATGAATGTATTTGGCATAAAATTAAAAAAAAAATGTAAAATGGGCTAAGTAAATAAATAAATAGACATGCCTAAGTAAATACACAGACAAACATGACATTGTCATTGACAAATGTGAGCCATTTGCAATTCTGCTGAAATGTTATGAAAAGTTAAGACCCTCCATAATGTGCGCTGTTAGTGTTTAGTGTTAACGCTTGCAACGCGCGCATTATCACAAACAAATTGAAGGTAAATGCGTTGAAAAAGGACCGCGTAGCTTTAGGGGGTCTGACAAAAAATTTTCTTTGTAGCCCCACTTGTGTAACACACACGTGGGGCTACCAAATTTGATACAATTTACAAAGTCTTTATTTATTTTTAGCTGTGAACCTGTCTCACATTTTTCTGTTCTAATGTTTAAGTTGTTTTAAATCAGATTCTACATTTAAATTGCAGGGTATCTTCTTTTTCTGCTTAAAGGGAATATACAACATTTGCAAACATCGAAAAATAAAACTACCAAGTTTTTACAAAATACCTTACTAGGATGTTGGTAAATGACAGTCTCAAGCATCTTGTAAAATTATGGCACCTGGTGTGAAGTCATTTTCAAGAAAATGGTATTTTTGTATACATTTCCAACGGTGGTCGGCCGACCAGCGTTGGAAAAACCTAACTATGTTTCAACTATTGCTCCAAGATAACCATTTTTTCAGTCCAAATTTTGTTTGCTATTATTGGTTACATGTTCATGAACGGGTGCAGGCCAGCTAGACTGGTTCCCTTACCTTACAATTTTCCAGGATCTATAAATTGATCCATAGTTTATCTTTAGTGGAGTCAAGGAACCAGACTACTTGAACATTTTTGTTTTTCTTGGTTTTTCCAGCATTTTCGAACACAAAACTTCACAAATGTCAGTGTAACAATATTTGATCTATTATACTAACCCCTTGAATAGTTCATTTCCGAAAATTACAGCAAAAGCCAATGATGTACATTCCCTTCAGGCCCTAATTGTTGCTCTGAAGGATCTTTATTTAAAGGGAAACAAAGTCCGATAGGAACTCTAATTCCCATCATTTTAACAGGAAGTCACAACATTAAGCACGGAACCATACGGATATTTGTCATGGTATAAATGTCTGTCTAAGTACAAAAAAGCCAGTCACTGCGCATGTTCACAGTGCCAGTACAATATTGAAAACAATCGGGGGACTGCTTCACAGTTACATTTGTAAATATCCACTGCCACCACTGCAAGTAATTCGTCCATCATCACAGGATATAAAACTCACGAGGCGTTGCGGGTCCCCCCACTAGTGCAAAAACTTAAGGGAAAATACAACATTTGCAAACATCAAAAAATAAAACTACCAAATCATTTTGAAATACCTTGCTGGACTGTTAGTGATTGGCAGTGTAAAGCATCCTGTAAAATCATGGCACCTGGTATACTGTCATTTTCAAGAAAAGTGGTATTTTTGTATCAATTTCCAACGCTGGTCGGCCGACCAGCGTCGGAAAAAAAAATGGCTTTTTTTCAAATACTGGCCCCAATTGACCATCGCACTTGTTTGCAATAGATTACACACCTATGAACGGGTACAAGCCAGCTAGACTGGTTCCCTGACCTTACAATTCCCCAATGTATGTAAACTGCTCTGTTTCTTCTTATATGGAGTCAGGGAACTAGACTACAGGAAAATGATTGTTTTTCTTGGTCTGTTGGTTTTTATAGCATTATCTAGCCCAAAACCTCAAAAAAGTCAGTGTAACTATATTTGCTATATATTTCCAACCCCCCAATTCCATCCATTTCTGAAAATTACAGCAAAAGCAAATGATATATTCCCTTTAACTACTGGCACACGGGTGCCTTCTTATAGGCCCTACATTGGAAAATACTTATAAATTAAACAAATGAATGTTACAAAATGTTCATGACAACCCCAAAACATACATAATCACCATAACTTACAGGGTAGAGCCAGAACAAATTATAAGTTGTTGCTCCATATTTTGCAGATGGTGTGATCAAAACTTGGGAAGCCGAAGGTTCCAAATTGGTGCTGACGACCTACGAACATCAAGGCTGGGTGACCGACTTTTTGTATTGGTAGGTAGCCTATTTGTGCCGGCATCCTTGTGGTATATCACAAACCAATATAAAAGTCAAATCACAAAGTCGCAATACACTCTCAATTTTTTTGGGGGGGCGGGGGTGGGGGCTTGGGGGCTAAATGTCCTTACTCGCAGCTGATTGCGAAGGACCCGCGGCTACAACCAGGGGTGTGAAATCTCAGCTTTAAAGCTGATTTCAGCTTTGTTTTGTTTTGGATTTCAGCTTTTTTTCAGCTTTTTCCCTCACTTGCTGTGTACAAAAGTATAGGAGATTTTCAAAGTTCAGCTTTTTTGCACCTTTTTTCAGCTGTTTTCAGCTATTTTTATCAGGGATCACTCACACCCCTGTACAACATGGTCGAGCTGAAGTGTAAAAGTGCCTTAGGCAGCTGCCATACGACCTATGTATGCATCCACAGAACACAGCCAGAGATCGAAAGTGTTGACTTTTGAAAACATACATTTTGAAACATACATATAATACGTTTCCCGTAAAATGTCTCAATTTAAAGGGAATAATACAACATTTGCAAACATCGAAAAATAAAACTACTAAGTTTTTACAAAATACCTTACTAGGATGTTGGTAAATGATAGTCTAAAGCATCCTGTAAAATTATGGCACCTGGTGTGAAGTCATTTTCAAGAAAATGGTATTTTTGTATATACATTTCCAACGGTGGTCGGCCGACCAGCGTTGGAAAAACCTAACTATTTTTAACTATACTTCTCCAAATTTACCATTTTTTTTTTTCAGTCCAAATTTTGTTTGCTATTGGTTACATGTTCATGAACAGGTGCAGGCCAGCTAGACTGGTTCCCTAACCTTACAATTTTCCGGCATCAATACATTGATCCATTTCATCTTTAGTGGAGTCAAGGAACCAGACTACTTGAACATCTTTGTTTTTCTTGGTTTTTCCAGCATTTTCGAACACAAAACTTCAAACATGTCAGTGTAACAATAATTTGATCTATTATACTAACCCCTCAAATAGTTCATTTCTGAAAATTACAGCAAAAGCCAATGATGTACATTCCCTTTAATTGACTTCATTGGGTCCACAAAAGATTGTATGGTACGTGTGTTAGTGATTATTTTTTGTGACAGTCGCTTATCATTGGTGATGTTTGTTTTAGCGATGTTCTTTTCCTGTTTTGTTTGTGATAAAGGCATGATGGAAAGGTGATGTTCTCGTCGTCCAATGATGGAATGATCATAGCCTGGGCTTCAGGAGGTGGAGTCTATGAAAGAATTAAGGTATAATTCATCGGGGCTATTTGCACATTTATACTGTAGATATGGCTTAACCCTAATCTTCCCAAATTCTCCAATGCTCTTTGCAAAATGGAAGATGTTGCAGGATTGAGGCTTCAAGTACATGGGTCATTCCACCAGGTTGGGAAGCAGTGCATGTTACATCCATATATTTGGTTATATTATTAAAAGTATCAATGCATTCTAAACAATTGCTCAACATAATATTTGTCTTAGGGTGTTTCAATACTTGAGAAAGTTTGAAATTTTTTGAAAGTATTTTGACAAAAATATGAGCAAAAATGTATTAATTCGGATGTAACATTGACACCGTGTAAATGTAACATCCAAATATTCTTTATTTGCCATTTTTTACACGTATGTAAAATATTACCCAAACTGACAGTGCATATTTACAACTAGACACCTAAAGCACCAAGAAAAGCTTTTGTTTTGGTATAGTCAGGGTTCAAACATAGCAGAAACAATACCTCAAGTGTGGATGTAACGGTGTAAAAATCACTCAATAGAAGTGTGACATTTAGGTTTACACCGTGTCAATGTTACATCCACACAACCAAGCTATCATTTCTGCTCCATTTAATACCTGACTACCGTAACAAAAGCTTTTCTTATTGTGTTGCATCTATAGTAAGAAGTACACAAAGTGAATTTGGGTAATGTTTCGCAGAAATTAAAAAGAAAGGTACAAATGTCATATTTGGATGTAACACTGACACAGTGTCAATGTTACATCCAAAATGACATTTTTTGCTCATATTTTTGGCGAAATACATTGAAATGATTTCAAACTTTCTGCAGTAGTGAAACACCCAACAAAACTATTATGTAGAGCAACTGCTAGCAAGGCATTCATGTTTTTCTTAATATGATCGGATGTCACACACTGTTCCCCAACCCGGTGGAATGACCCATATGTGATGCGATCATGCTAAATGAGCCATTTGTCAACCCCGGTCAAAAAAAAAAAAATATTACAGATTTGAAAAGAGCACAATTATCTCAGCATTAATGCTGTGAAAACTGCATGCTGATACCATCTTTAATTCAAAAATAATGGAGGTCGGAACACCAAGAGATGTGATGTAGTGACGTGATGAAGTGGCCCTATTTTGGCCTGTATCTCTAAATGAAAATTCCTGACAAACGACTCATGTAGCTTGATCGCATCACATATGACAAAACGTGTGGCTGAAGGACACACTGTGTCGATTAGGTCTTAGACCGGATCTTGTGTTGTTTTTGCTCAGCTGTGCATACATTTTATAGGCCTATTATATTTGAAATCCTCTGCACCGCTCCAGGATGTCACTGGCTCTGCCTCAACATATTGACAAGTGAATACTGGAGGATTTTGCAGGATTAAGGCAGTGGTCACCGTAGCCTTGGTCAATGCTCTCGTCATTATTCGTCCCGCCGTACGCGGTCAATCGTCGGCATATATCCTCACGCGCTATGCACATGCATGTAAAAATACAGCGCGAACAGCGACCTCATGCGGCCACTAATTTTTTATGCAAATCAGTTGGGGATGATCTCGAGCCTTGGTTCAATCGTCGGCAAAAGCTTATGTTTTTCTTTATTTTGCGCTGGATTTCTAGCGCACGACCGCGTATGCTCATACAGATAAGTGTAGGCGGGGCTAATATGTGGAGTGTCCAATCACACCTTGGTAAATCCGGACGTCATCAAATTATTTGCAGCTATTCGCCTTTTGCGGACGTGACAGGAACCACAGTTTTTGTGCATTGGTGCCGTGTGCAGAGACACACAACGTGTACATGTATGGATTATGTACGGTGCCACGTTTCACTATGCAAGTTTCCACGCAACGATCGACCAATAAGAAAACGACATTTAAGTTCAGCTAAGGCTATTAACATAATGAGCACCACCCCCAAAACCTCACATGGACGATTGAACCAAGGCTCTCGATCGTCCCCAACTGATTTGCATATAAAAATAGTGGCTGCGTGAGGTCGCTATTCGCGCTGTATTTTTACATGCATGTGCATAGCGCGTGAGGATACATGTAAATGCCGACGATTGACCGCGTACGGGACGAATAACGACGAGAGCATTGACCAAGGCTATGGTCACCGCTGCAAGGTCCACATTCAAGAAAAAATGGAGGATTTTGCAGGATTGAGGCTGTATGCAATTTTTACATTTACTAGGCAATTGGAGATTTGCAGATTGAGGTTGCTTCCTAGCGAAATGCCGAACTCCACCCAGTGTTAATGAGGAAATTTAAAGAATTCCGGCCAGAAGTCAAGGTTTTCAAAAAAAAATATCTTTACATTGTTACAGGAATCATTTTATTCAAGCAATTTTCAAAGTCAAATGTTTTGAAACTACCAATTTCCCTTTTTTTCGTGGTGTATTTTTTTGCTAGATTGGTTCCCCCATCTATTGCATGGCAGTGAATCAGCGCCGACACCAGCTGGTGTGCGGACTTAACGGCTGCATTAGAGTCTACAGTCTCGATGAAAGTAAGGAGAGTTCATCTGGATTTAGAAGAGCCATGAAATTGGGGCTACATCTGGATTAGGCTGCATCCGAATCAACCGTCTAGAGCTAGGTCTAGGTCCGCGCCCATTGAAAATACGCGGGGACGCGCTGACAATAGACGTAGCCGTAGCTCTGGAAGCCTGTTTCGGACACGGCCTTATTCCCAGTGACTGAAAATGGCCGCATTGTAATTGACCTATCGCCGTTTGAGACTTAACCACGCCCCTTAGACAACCCTATGGAGTTTTTGTACACTAATTTTTGTTTGTCTCAGATTTTGCATGTTCTGCGTCCATTTGTATATCATGTAATTGGGCAATTCCACGGTTACTCACGTTACATTTTTGATGTACTTTTGAGTTTCTTCGGGCTGTAATTACCTTACTGAAAAGGTTTAATAACTGTTATCCCCATGGTATATAGAGTAGAAAATGTAACGTGAGTAACCGATTTTGTGCGTCTTGTTTATCGCCGGATACATAACACATTTTTCTGGACGTCATCTTTGGTGCTTAGGTAGGTCTACATGTAGGTCTACTCTATCTACTATGGGGATAATAGTTATAGCTTTTCAGTAAGGTAATTACAGCCCAAGGAAACTCAAAAGTATATCAAAAATGTTACGTGAGTAACCGTGGAATTGCCCAATTGGACAATATTTCACAAGCTGCGTTGACGCGATTCTAATGCGATTATACCGCGATAGGTCAATTGTCTGACTTGAACGCAAACTCTGACCCTTGTTTACACCCATGGGTGAGATCTCTTTCACCACTTTTCCTGATTTCAAGATTTTTTGTCAGGATTTTTCAAGATTTCAGGAATTTTAAAGAATATTATTTTGAAATCTGGATTTTCTAAGATTTTACTGTAGAGGTGTTTTTTTTTAAATATTTAAAAGATGAAATGGATAAAAAAAAATTGTTGTTTATTGGGTGCCTTTAGGCAAAAACAAATATATCACAATTATTTTGTGGATTTTTTACTCGACCTAGTCCTCATATACCTTGTTATACAGGTTGGTCCAAAATTTTTTTTTTACACTTTTTCAAATGCAGATTTCTCAAAATTGGGTAAACATGTTTGATATCTTTTAAAGATATTCATAAACTATAATATCTCGGTGGTATATGTGGTAAAAAAGGCACTGAAAATAAAGCCTCAGTTAGAAATGGCGGCCATTTACAGAAAATGGTCAAAAATTAGTTTGTCCATAATGTGTGTATGATCATTGTTATACATTGCAGATCTTTGTGCATACAGGTCTATTGTTTTGACCATTATGTCATATATAACACGCGTGTGGACAAACTGGGGTTTTTGGACAGTTTTTCTGTAAATGGCAGCCATTTCTTAATTTAGCCTCTATTTTCAACGCCGTTTTCACCATATGATATACCACCAAGTTATTGTAGTTTAGGAATATCTTAGGACAATTTCAACATGTCTCCTCAATTCTGAGAAATCTGCTTATGAAAAAGTTAAAACTTTTTGGGGGGCCACGTACTGTAGAACAATTTTTTAGTCCATCACAGTCAAGTCACCTGCCTGTTGTCAAGTAATACGGGATGAAACTATAACAAAAAAAGGATTAATGCTTTTGTCACAATTCATAGGAATTTCTTGTGAGGTGTACGTGGCTGGATGGTTTTGCATTGGTTAGTGTTGGACTTGTGTCACACTGCCTTTTACAACACCTTCATAGAATAATTTGCGATTAATTTTCCTTTTTTGTTTTTTAGAACGAGAGAAGAGTGGCGTAGTGCAGCTGGAGAATCCTTACATCTCCAAGGAGCACACCGACATCGTCAAGTGCATAGTGTGTCTAGAGTCACGGGTATACTCAGCGGGGTAAGACTTAGGAGTGGTCTGAGAAAAACATGGCCAAGTCTCCCCCAAAAGCAGTATGAAAATCAATTACCATTAAACACCAGCAGATACATTTTGTAATGGTAGTCGAGTATGCACTGTGTCTCAGGAGCATGTTGTTGGTGTTCTTGGGCAAGACACTTTACTACCACTGCCTCTCTCCACCTGGGAGTGCAATAAACGGCTACCTGTGAGTGTATGTAGAGATCAGATTGTGCTGATTTCAAGCTGCTTTGAAATTCATGGCCCAATGAACGGGGTAATTGTGAAGCATGTTGTTTAATTGTGTTCTTGGGCAAGACGCTCTACTACAATTGCCTCTCTCCAGCCAGGAGCTATAAGTGGGTACCTGTGAGGGTACCGACCATTATCGTTTTGTGGCCATCTTGATTTTTTCCCATTTAAATCAACGTAACCAAAGCTAGGCTGGAAGGAAAAATAGTCTGGTTCGTTTTTGCACCAAAAAACATTATTATTCAATACTGTTAGTGGATACATGGAACATGGCTGAAATGGTGGCAGCATAATAAAGGTCTATAGAGACCAAATTCTGCTGATCTCAATCTGCTGAGAAACTGGTTTCATGGCCCAATGAATGGAGAAAAAATTGTAAAGCTCTTTGAGACTTTGGTATATTGTAAAAACTGTGGCATGCGATCCTTATTGGAAGATCTGATCTTTTGTTTTTCTTGTATTACAAGCTTTGATTCCAAGTTGATCATCTATGACTCCTCATCGTATCCTGGCAACAAAGGCCTGACTCCTGTCTTCTGGTGAGTTCTGGAAATAACACAAACGCTGATGTGGACAACTTTTCATGTCACATAAAATCAGAGAAAGAAAATTTCAACAGGTGGATGTGAATTATCTACAACATGTCTAAACATTGTAGCACATTCTCTCACAGTTAGAATTCTTCAAATACCTTTTCATGTAGTTATCACATTCAATGAGAGGGTGTGGGAACCACAAAAAGAATTTTCTCAAAAGACCCAATTTGAGGGCATTATCTGATAACTGAATTATCTGAACTGCATTTCCCATTTCGTTTCAGTGATTGTTAAAGCTATAGTCCATCATTTGCAGCTGTCCATAAAGTAACTGACGTAATTGTTGCTGAAAAACATACTTGGTTGAAAGATAGTAAGGGGACTAAACTCCCTGTGAAATTATTCTTTCTGGCATGCTGTCATTTTGAAGAAATCAACGAAAGAAGGCCTTTCCAACGGTGCGTCTTAAGACGCACTGTTGGAAATTTCCGTTAGTAGTTTTTTTTTTTTATTCGGCGACGCGCACGCAAGCGTTGGCACGACGCACACGTGCTTGTGGTTGCTATAATTCGTCGGATCAGTGCGCGACATCACGTAGCTGCAATTGGCATGAGAATGTGTCTCAGACGCTGAATTCAGGCCCAATTTAAAACATGATTCAGCAAATTTTGATTTGGAATCGAGATCCTAGAATGCTGTTTTTCTCGGAATATACATGTACAGCTAAAGCATGAGCTGAAACTTCATCAGGTTAGCTGTTCAGTCAGCACCCTTTCAGAGTACGTGTGTTGCTTCAAACGAACAAAATGCACAAATTACAAATGATGGACTGTATGTTTAACTTCTTTCGAGATTCATCCATATCATAGTATACCATTATATATTGTTTCACTTTCAAAAAATTGTTTCAAATGTAACCAATTTGATTCAAGTGTTAATTCTCCAAGTACTTTCATCATTTGTAAATTCAGAGGTGTATGTATGCATGCCATTTTCATCATGATTTTTTCCCATGTCATTCATTTGTTTGTTTCTCTCATGCAACTTTCGTGGATATTTTTCCTACTAAGCTTGGACAGTAAGTGAATGATCAGAAATCGTTCCTTTGTGTAAGCACTGTAACAGACCCATAGAATGTGTGAGAACCAGGCGCGGTTCTAGAACCAAAATTTTTGGGGGCTAGCACGGTGGATCCAGAATTTTTTTCAGGGAGGCGTGCTGAAATGTAGACCGGTTATTTTTTCCAGACACTTAGGCCTCCGAAAATCAATAGGGGGGGAGGGGGGGGGGGGGGGGGTGGGCTCATGCCATATTTTCAATGGGGAGCGCCAATAAAATCCTAAAATCATTCACACTATATTAACTAATGCACCCTTGTAACGGCTATTTCTTCTTTAGGGGGAGACCGTTCGCATGTACATCACAATCCTTCTTTTTGCTAATGCATTTTTTTTTTTTACGGAATTTATTTTGGGGGGGCTAGACAAAAATTGGGGGGGGGGGGGCTACAGCCCCCCCTAGCCCCCCCGTAGAACCGCGCCTGGTGAGAACTGTTATAGTTTGAGAAAAGATTTGCACGACATTTGTCCGACAGTGTGGACTCGTATTTAATACAGAAACCGTTGAGCTGTTGTATAATGCGTGGATCCACAGAGCTTTAGATAATTAGTTTGACCAGTTTAAACCAGTTTGCTCGGAGGCTTGTATACACGCAAAAGTTGTGCGGTATTCGGAACGGATGACCGTAAACACGCAGGGAGCGAGGCCGGAAATGTCTGTCAGCGACTCACTCGCAGCGAGCGAGGTTGGAAATATGGGTGTGCTGTCTGAGGGGGGTGGCTTCAACCTGCCTGGCTTGAGGTCGAGTGAAAAGTAATCCCGCGCCTCGTTCCGTTCTTGTCAAAATAATCCCGGCGCGAACTGGTTAAGAAGAGAAATACTATTAGTGATTTACTTTCTATGGGTCTGTTCATTTGTTACATCTTTGCTGTGACATTGTGACCATGCACATTGATAAAGTCTTTGTATTTGAGTTTTGATTATTTGAATTTCTCACATGCAAGTGTTTGTCCTTTTGTTCACTACAAGATTGCCCATGTTTGAATGTGTTTGTTGTTGACTACTACCTTTTAGTTTTTGATGCGTTGTTTTCCTGAGTTTGCAATGTGAATTTCAGGTGAACTTTCTCTACAGTTAGTGCATAAAATCGTGAAAGTGTCGTTAGCAAGATAAGTGGTACATCTGGAATCTGAGACTGCAGTACAATCATAGAGTGAATTGAAGTAATTTGCCAACTTTCTTGCTTTCAGTAATCCCAAGGCCCATGACGCTGGTATCTCCTGCCTCGTGCTGATCAAAGACACGGAGAATAACACCTGGTAAGCGCAACATTCAGTTTGCTTTGTGGAGTGGCAGACAAAACAATCATGCATGAATATGAGCAACGTTATAGAAGGCGTTCACACATGCTGAAGAGTCACTATTTGAATGCGTTGCAATAATAGTCACTGTCAGAAACAATTTTTCCTAAGGGGTCTTTACTGTCTTTACAGATAACTATAATCGATGGTCTTCGTGAAACTGATGGTGGCACATAATTTTAGTGGTGTTCCCGAACGTGGCACACTTCAACGATTCCCCCCGATTTTGCTCATGCAGTGTTGCCAAACTTGTTTGTTGACAAACTTCAACTTGACTTAGTTAAATACTTGAATTGTTACGTTAATAAGGCTTGCTGTTTCACCTTTGTGAACAATTGCATTGTCATGAAATTTAGTCCGCAATTCAAAAGCGGTCGCGTCCGGAAAATGGGCACAAACTCGGCTCAGTGTTCCCATACGTGGCGTACTGAAAAGTCTCGGGAATTCACAATTTGAACATTTAAGAATTTCGTTAAAGTTGATAAATTCTGATAAACCGGTATTATCTCTACTGAGCGTAAAACAAAGTTTTGTCCCTGCCCTGTTACAGGCTAGTGACCGGGTCATTTGACAAGGTGGTCAAGATCTGGTCTCAGGACGGCAAACTGACCCACCGACTGGACGGCTTTCTGTCCACCGTGACAGACCTCTGCTATGTGCCCAAGAACAAGACCCTCTGGGTGGCTAGTGGTCTACCCACGGCCACGCTGTACGATCCCAAATCTGGTGAAAATGTAAGTTCTTGTAACAGACATTGTTTGTAAAGGGAATATACATCATTTGCTTTTGCTGTAATTTTCAGAAATGGATGGAAGTGGGGGGTTGGAAATATATAGCAAATATAGTTACACTGACTTTTTTGAGGTTTTGGGTTCGAAAATGCTATAAAAACCAAGAAAAACAATCATTTTCCTGTAGTCTGGTTCCCTGACTCCATATAAGAAGAAACAGAGCAGTTTACATACATTGGGAAATTTGTAAGGTCAGGGAACCAGTCTATAGCTGGCTTATACCCGTTCATAGGTGTGTAATCGATTGCAAACAAGTGCGATGGTCAATTGGGGCCAGTATTTGAAAAAAAGCCATTTTTTTTTCCAACGCTGGTCGGCCGACCAGCGTTGGAAATTGATACAAAAATACCACTTTTCTTGAAAATGACAGTATACCAGGTGCCATGATTTTACAAGATGCTTTACACTATCATTCACTAACAGTCCAGCAAGGTATTTCAAAATAATTTGGTAGTTTTATTTTTTGATGTTTGCAAATGTTGTATTTTCCCTTTAAGGGAGTGCCAAATTTTGGGTGCTTTTTCACAATCCTAATGGGCTGGCTGATACTCACTGTGAAAGGAAACAGGAATTTATGTCATTAACTTTTTGCGCTGCAAATTTGAACACATTTCAATTTCCAACTCTGGCAACTGTTCAAACCAATGTTTCAAGACGTCAATTTCACTATTGTCTAGGTCTTCAACAAGCTTCCACTTTATATATTGGCACATGCTGGCAAAAGACATAACCGTAGCTGCGGAAGCCCATTTCTAGGGGTGTGCAATTACGGGTAGTACTAGGAACCAGGTACCCGATTGAAAAAAAAAAAACCACGGGTAAATTCAAATCTCGGAAGTTGCTGTTCAGATTGTTCATTAAGGTCTGCACGATAATACTACCACATCTGTGCGTCAATACAGCAAGATACAAGTGTGTACAGCATGTACAGTGAGCTTATTAGATTTACGATGTAAACTGCAACTTTCGCAAGCGTCATAAACGTGAAATATGTTTTGTTTTCCCATGTAGCCTGGTTTTCATTTTGAGAATTCCCTACAAATGACATTCGAAACCTTTCATTTTCTGAGAAGTTACTTAGTAATTTGTAAAGTTGGTTATGGGTATCTCATAGTCTGGAATGTGTTCTTGACATCAACGGACGGGTAGTCAGGTAAACGGTTCCAATGCACAGCCCTATCCATTTCAGACACAGTCTTGTTTTGGTGTTTTTATCATTCATTGAGCTTGGTTTTACAATTCTTGTGGTTCAAGATTGACAGCTGCTGCTTTTATTAGTTTTTGTTTATCTTTGCTGCAATTTTAGGTAACAGATTTCATCGGCACGTTCCAAGAGGAAGAAGAGAATGAGAAATACCACCTGCACATCCTGACGTACATCCCAGAAATCGGTGAAGTCATTGGTAAGTCTGGGCCATATGGCGTGATTGCCTCCTTGCACGACCCCCCCCCCCCCCCTCAACGGATACGTCTTTGCGAACTAAGCCTGTGCATCGGAACGGGGTACTCACTCAAGTTCCCGACCGCTGATGTCAGGAAGCGGTTCCAGATTTATGGAATCGAGTATCCGTAATTGTCTTTGCAAATTACTTAGTAAGTTTTCAGACAATGAAAAAGAAAGGTTTTAATATCATTTGTGGAGAACTGTCAAAATGGAAACCAGGCTTCATGGAAAAACAAAACGGATTAAATTGATGACTCTTGTGAAAATGGGATTTACACCGTAAAGCTAAATAACCCACTGTACACACTTGTATTTTGCTGGATGTACCGATGTGGTGGTCTTCAAGTTATCGTGGGGACATTTATGAACAATGTGTAAAGCAACTTTCAATATTTAAAATTTGGAGTTGGGATTCTTTCACGGGTACCCGGGTACTTGTGTTTTTTCAGTCGGTTACCTGATTCCCATACCACCCACAAATGCACACCCTTACACTGTGAACACAACTATTAGTGAAAACAACTAGTAAAATTCAGCCATTGGAATTTTTTACCATCCTCGGTAAAATTAAACAGTGCGAACATGGCTTTTGAAGACAAATTCACCGCGTGTCCGTTCAAATTCCATTGCAGCCAGTACAAGTCGTCGTCACCTCATGATGTGGAAATACAACCCATCGGGCTGTATCACCGCTCTCAAATGCAAACACGCCGTAGAATGCCTCACCTACAGTAAGTAACCCTCAGCGGAATTGTTTAATGTAAAGTTACACAGGATCATTTGCTGTTTGCTCATTTGTGGATTGAAGCAACAAATTTGCCCAAAATTTTCAGTAGGACGAATAAAATCTAACTTGTCGAAGTTTTAGCTCTTGGGCTATTATACATTTCTCAGAAAACAGAGAAATGTTTACACAATTGTTTGGGTCTCGTAACTGGATTCTGTTCCAATGCGTGTAAAAAAGTCGGTGTTGTTTTCTTCCAAATTTCTTCCAAATAAGACCATCTCATGCAGAGTAATTTCTCGGTATTTCATACAGTCTTATCTTCACTTTGAGCAAGGTTTCTGTCAATAAATCGGTGGGTACTTTTCCGGTAATTGCAAATGATCCTACGTGCCTGTAAGACTCCACGCATATAAAGGCAAGTTTGTACTTCAACTGGATGCAAATGCAAAGTGCAATTGCAGCCAAATTTGCCATTCAACCCGCCTTAACTGTGCATCCTTGTCTGTAAAAATGGATGTACATGTACAGACATCTCAGTTAGAGAACTAGCAGCACTGCAGTACTCGATCCTGAATTCAAGCTCACTATAGCCCTTTTCACACTAGACAAATCTTGGGGTTGACGCAGGGTTGACGCAGGGTTGAAAACATGCATCGTTTCACACTTGAGGAATTTCAACGCTGCGTCAACCCTGCGTCAACCCTGCGTCAACCCCGAGATTGATTTTGCCCAGGGTTGAACTCAACCCTGCTCTAGACCAGGGTTGAGATTTTCAACCCCGGGTTGAAATTCTTGCCAGGGTTCGAAACAGTAGTAACTGAGCATGATAAGCTTGATTTGCACGAAACAAGTGTGAAACGATGCGGGGTTGAACGCCGGGTTGACAAATCCATAACTCAACAGGGGGCGGCACTGGGTTCACCCAGGGTTGAGTTCAACCCGGATTGAGAGGCTCTAGTGTGAAAAGGGCTTATAATTATTGTCTTTTCTCATAATGCAGCTCGCAAAGTGCCCATCCTGATATTTGACGGCGGTAGCGACGGTCAAGCGAATAAATGGGAACGCCTACAATCCAATCACTTCATGTACAGGTCAGACACCAGTAATTTTTATCAATTTAAACCCCCCCCCCCCTCCAGAAGTAGTATTGTTGCTTAAAAGAGAGTGGAAAGTCAGAAACGTTTGTGTAAAATATGAAAACGAGGTGGGAACCCGCAATGCATTTTCCAATGGCATATAGTTACAGAATATTGTGAATTTATATGAGGTTTTAATTCCCACAACGATTGTAGTGCTTCAGTAGCTCGATAAGATAAATGTGAGCAAAGTTCGAAATCAAATTAGGTTTTGCCCTTCACTGATGTTTAAACACTGTATACTCAGTGTGTTACCTCCCGAGTGAAAGTTGGAAAAAAATCACTCGGGTGGGACTCGAACCCACGACCTCCTGCTTTCTAGTGCAGATGTCTTACCACTCGACCAACGAGCTAACGGGATCGGTTGGCTGGTTCAAATCTGAGGTACATAGCAGCGGGTACCACATAAACTACTATAAGATGGAATTTTGCCTCGGGGTAAAAAAGTTCAAAATGTTTTTTTTTTTTATTTCCAAAAATGTGAATTTTCTTTCTTTGTACTTTTATATTTTCAAATCAAATCAAAGTATACCTACTTGTTCAATCTGATTCATGGATCTAAATATTTTTTTCTTAAATTTAGCTTATGAATATTTTTTGCAAGTTCTCGGACAACACTGAATCACAGTGTTCATGAAATTATGGTGAAAGGCAAAACCCGATATTGAAATACAATAATTGCAAGCTGGATTCATAAACGGACTTTGTCTCCACTACAGCAAAGAGACGTTCCTCCTCGCTGAAGCCAAGAACAAGTTAGCCCAGGTGATGAACCTTAAGAAGGAGCCTTACCAGTCAGTGCAAGTCAGCTCAGTGGTACGATCAGCCAACCCGGTACTCGGCAGCCATTATACATTCAACAAGCCGGACGCAAAGGTAACAATATACAATTGCTGTCTACTGGGATGGGGTCCATGCTATTTTGTACACCCAAGGGTGCAGATGGTTCCTGTGTTGAAAGTTAAGACTTTTTCCCTTGACAATGTGGATAAAACCATGACCCATATCATGTAGCATAGGTAGCAGAGTGTGGAATGAGTCGCGCAGTGCGTAAAGTGTTCACCTCTCCCCTGCTGTGGGCTGGGTTCGATTCCGGGCTCAGGTCATATATGTGAGAAGAATTGTTCATTGATTCTCTCCTGTGTCACAAGAGTTTTCTCCTGGTTCTCCGGTTTTCCTCCCTGCTAAAAAATCAACAGCTTCGATCTAGCTTTGCTCCATGGTAAGACATGGGTCATATAATGATGGCTGCCTAAGGCGCCGCCTTTGGCTCAACCACGTTGCAGCTGCGTCCTTCGCAAGTCAGCTTCTACCGGGAGTATGGACAATTAGCCGCGCCAGAAATATTTTTTTATTTGTGAGCAGGCGTGACGTTTTTCAGACTTGAGTCAGAAATCAAACCTTTTTAGATCTGAGCGAAGGACATTATCAGTATAAAAAGAAATGCATCTTTCAGACCTTTTATTCAATTTTTAGACTTTATTATTTTAAATTGACAGTACCATTCCTGATATAAGGGACAATAGCTTTGGCCAAGTTCGGGCAAGGACCATTGGTCGACTAGTGGTTGATTTGTGACGTTCCTTACGCCTGCGCACTGATAGCAACGTGCGAACGTCTCTAGTCAAACGCTGGTCAAAATGTCATCGCAAAACTTCTGGATCCTGGCTCTCTGCTAGCGTTGTGAATGCGCGCGGCTATTGGTTACCAGCGATGCAACCAACCCCAGTAGGCTGGTTCCAAATAGTCGACTAGCGTAGTCAACCACCGTCGACTAGACAGAGTTCGGGCAAACGTTAGTTAACCATTGGTCAACTATAGTCCTTGCGCGAACTTGGCCATAGCTGTTCAGCAGAGTCTGTCTCGCAGTAATGCGCGCCCTCACACTACATATTTTATAGGGCTCCCACTAGTGTCTTCAGAATACTGCATGTATATGGCGAGGTAAACTCTTTAATTATTTTATCTTCTGAAGGAATTTAAATCTCATACGAAAAGAAAGTTCTTCTTTAAATGTTCCTCAGCCCACAGAGCATCAGAAGCACTACCATCCTGCTCTGCTGAAAGCCACATTTGCTGAGGACTTAGATTTGCTCTTGCTGGGATCAGAAGATGGCAATGTCTGTAAGTATCTTGTTAACCCCTTAAGGACGGGTGTAATGGGGACATTCCTCCACACATAGAGCAAGTGGCCCGCATGACTGCACAGCCTTTGTGTGGTAGCGGGACTGCACAAAAGCAGCAGCTGTGGAACTACCCACTAGCCGTGTGCCACGGCATACCACAGCTGGCAACTGCATTCCAATTAGGATTAGCGGCCGAGGCCGTGACAGCTTCCCGTCCTTAAGGGGTTAAACGGATTCTTGTGCTGATCGAGACTCGAAGACAACACTGCTAGAAATATAATCAGTATACCACCATTGTGGAGTGCTGTGGCATCGTGGTTAAGGGCACTGATTCGTGGTCTGTGGGTAACGCTGCAGGTTGTGGGTTCGAGTCCTGCCTGGGGTCATGGTGCGTGTGCCCTTGGGCAAGGCAATTTGTCACTCATTGCTTCTCTCCACCCAGGAGTAAATGGGTACCTGTGAGGGCAGAGATGGTTATTGTGATTGAATTAGCTTCCTTGCGCCTAATAACAGGCTGCATCGAGCTGTATATTCCCAAGGGAGCTGAGATGGTATTTGGAATGTTTAATTGGCTCAATGATCAGGGTTAATAATAATGTAAAGCGCTTTGATCTTAGTTAAAATCGCTATATAAGAACCCGTTAATATTAATATTTATTATTAAAAAAAAAAAGTGTCACCGGTAAAATAGTAATTCATAATACTTCAAACACAAAGAGCAGTTTCTTATATCAACCTTGATAAGTTGAGCAATGGCTCCACAGCAATCACAATAAGCAAGTAAATGCATTTTCAGTCGCTATGCCACACTTCACGCCACCTAAATTGATTGCATGTTTTACACCCCCATAATTTGTCGCGGACTTGACTTACTATGAACATTAATTTTTGCAAAATGTGTCCCAAATGAACTTGATATGAAATAAATTGTGGTTTAAGTGGAGTTATGCCGTTACGTACAACTTTGTGAAAGTTAACATTTACCCTAGACTAAAATAACTCATAAGTCACTGTTCCACCCTAACCGTATCGTGCCTGTTAGTCCCTGTACTTGCCGTCCCAAACTGCCCCAACACTGTATGTTTTTATAGATTCTCATCACAGAATGAATGCACAGTACATGTACATTGTGTTACAATGAATCACAAGTGCTAATGTGTAAATGTGTGCATTTTGCAGATGTGTGGGGCTTTGACGACGCGGCTGTCAACGCTCTACGCGACATGAAGCCAGTGGGCATGCCCGAGCTGGTCAAGAAGTATGCCGTCTTGCTCCACGAAGACTCAGAGCTCCTGGTAGACAACGGACTGCACCAGACTGGCCTGATGGACAGCCAGGTACCAGACTGAGTCAATCAGGGTTTACGAAACCCTGGATTTGTTTATGACTTTGGCTTCGTCCCCAGTCTGAGGCAGAATGTCGGAATAGAACGTGAAAGTCAGCCTCGACTCCTTACTGCTCGTTCCTTACACTAACCTCTGGCTGTGATGATGACGTAAATGACGCTGAATGGCTATTCACAGCGTACTGCGCGCGTAATTCGAAGATTGCATGCTGGGCGCACCCATAATGCGCTCGCGTGCTTTGCACGTAACGTCACGTACGAAAAAAAAATTAGGATTCAAAAGTCGCGATGCCCGTACGATATGGATTATGTCTGCCGCGTTTTTCGCTAAAAAAAACCCTGTATCTGTGGTTGTAAAGGCACAAAAGGGGTACGTACATTTAATACAAATCTTTGCTAATTAACACAACGTCCAAACGTTGTGTTTGAAAGGATTGATTCTTGAATCACAACCTTTAACATTTTAAAGATGGCGTCAGCACGTAAAACGGATAAACTGCAGCCCTAATTATAATGTACCGTATTTCAGTACATTTAAATTACACAATTCCAGGGGTTACGATCGCGCAAGGCATGATGGGAAACAACATGGCGCATCGCGATCGTATCCACGGGGCACGAGGTTGCGTGAAAGTGCCTCCAGTTCATGTTCACTTGTCATGTGAACGTCTTGGTACAAAACGCTGACTAGTCTAGTCACAGACTCTTGTGTTATCTGAGTGATTGACTGAGTGGAACTTGAGGTCAATTTTTTTTCATTTTATAGGCCCAGGACTCCGTGACCAATCGTGTCGCTGGTTTCATCTGCAAGAACGTTCTGATTGGTCACAGCAGCTGCGTGACCTGCCTGACCCTTGTTGGACGGGACAGTGGATATAACTCAACATATTTGGTATGTACAGACTCACTGTGAACTAACGCCAAATGTAGGAAAACGATGACAACGTTTTTTATCAATCAGTCTGTATAAAGGGAAGGCTGTGCGAAGCCAAAAGTTACAAAGACAAACTCCCACGTGGACAAAATCAATCTCAAGTCACTACTGTGGAAAATATCACAGGGTCTGTGTTGTGTATGAAGTACAGCCTGTCTCAAAAAAATGGTACAATCAGAAAAAAAATTGGTTAAATATGAAATTTCAAAATAAGTCATTCTTACTTGGCATAATATAAAAGAACAAAGACTGGGCTTTCCAATAGTGTTTGTTTGAACTTATTTGCTTTTGTCAATTCAGAGATATAATCAATTTAGTGCGATACACCAAAAATCAATTTTGTGCCACTTTTATGCATGGGCAGAGTTGTTTCAAGTACTGTGCCATGCTGTCTTGAAGCTCACAAAAGAGTGCAACTTGGCAAAAGAAGCAAACTCGATTTTTGTGTTCCGCAGTAAACTGGAGTTATCTCTGGATTGACAAAAGCAAATGAGATGAAACAAAAAGTATTGGAAAGCCTGGTCTTTTTTCTTTAATGTGATGCTCAAAACTACTTACTTATGTTGAGATTTAATATTGAAAAAAGAAAAATCGTTTTTGATTGTACCATTTTTTTTAGACAGGCTGTATAAGGGTTCCCAGCTTCTCTGGAAACTAGGGGAACTTTGAGAATGAGCTTCTTTTTTTTTCCAGTCAGGGGAAACACGGAATTTGGGGGAAAGACCACACATAAAAATCAGGGAAAACTCAGGAAATCAGACAGTGACCCAGAAGGGAAAGGTTTTCTCCAGTTTGGCGTATGTGCATCTTGTGCCATGTGTCCAAATTGTGTTCATTGATTGACTGGTTGTGGTGGCTTTTGTTGCCTGTGTATTATCAGTATCTAACTTGCTTTGCTGCAACTTCTTGGCGTCCCTACATCCTTGTTAAAGTAAAATCATTTCTCATGGAATTTTCGAAAATGTTCTCTGAGAAATATCAGGGAAAGACTTAGGGAATTTGGCTTTCATAAAGTAGTGGAAGCCCCAAGTGTGGAACTAGTATGTCTAACCCTCCTATGCAAACATACATTCTGCGCCAAGTTGTCCTTTCAGTCAAAATCAATTAAGTGACTGTTTTCAACAGTTGAGAATTCCCAGCCTACATAACGAAGGAATGACTGGCTGGGAGTACATATGCAACTTGATACAGCTATGCTTTGACTGTGGGTGATTGATAAGCCAGCTGTGCCCACAACTTGCCTGCTTTGTCCGTTCATGGTCTGTTGACTGAGTTTGACTAGTCACAGTGCTTGCTTGACATATGATCTGACTGCTTTTGACTTGCCTGTGTTGAAGTATAGCAGGGGAAGTGGATGGAAATGTTGACTGTCTGTGACTGTTTAATAGCAGGAGGGTTAAAAGCTGAAAAGGAAGAGGTGACAAATGGATATATCCCTCAGTCCCAATACATAAATACAATGATCTATATAGTCAAATGTGTGAAGATTATTTTTTGTTTGGTTTGATTTTCCTCCCAGTTGAGCTCTGGCTGGGACCGAAGAATCTGCATTTGGGACTTGGAGACGGGCATGTGAGTAGGACCTGAAGAAGTTGGGGTACTCATCATAAAGTTGCTATAAAGAGACGCTTTTAATAAGCAAGTTAGTCATCTAGGCCCAATATTCATAGCGCTGCTTAATTTAATTATCAGTTAGCAGAAAAGTTGTGCTTACTATAGCAGAAAGTCATGCTGAGCTTAAGCACTATTTTATGGCGTGGATGTGCAAACGGTTGCATCTGCATGGAGATTTCTATTTGTACGTCACTGATTAATCAACTCCGGTGTTAAGTGTGCTTTGGTGTGCTTACTGCGTACAGTCTCTATGAAATAGATAGAAGCTCTGATCTGATAGCACAAAGTCGGCTGTTATAAGCAGCGCTATGAGACTGGGCCCTGTCCCTAAGTGTTTCAGTTAATTTGTTAAAACTCTTGCACAAATTCTGTCGGAGGTCGAAAAGCCATAATTATTCACCAAAATATGAACAACACGCTTCCCTCAAAATTACACCCACAGAAAAACCTGAAAAACTGATTATAATACAATAATAGCGTTTGAGGTGACTGCATCATGGATCTGGAAGCTGGTCATTATATGTTTGTCCAGTTGAGGTGTTGACCTTTTGTATATATTAAATTACAGCCTTTTTTGTTTTAATAAATTTCAAATTCCAGGTTGCATGACACTTTTCGGAACACGTCCCCTGATTCATATGAGGTTCAGGAGTTGGCGTGTGATGGCATCGTCATCGATATGGATTACAGCTATCAAAGGTATGAGCTCCATGCACTAACCAAGAGGGCGCCCTTTTACCTAGCAATGATGTCCCATGGGCGGGACATTTAGCTGGTTTTACGCGCACCGTTCCTTGTGTGTGACGCACGTACACCAGGGGATTTGTACTATGTACACTCGTGTACATGGTACGTCCGCGCGTTGTGGCAAAATTGCCGTCAGGCAAGATGGCGTCAGTCTGGTCCCCCCCCCCCCCCCAACTGTGCTTTCTTTGCCGGTGAGGGGGTACTTGTGAACGGAGCGGATACTCAAACTGGGAGATTTCATTTACGAATCACTAATCCATCTCCCTCAGGAGTCTGGTCACAAATCCATCGTACAAGTCAAAGCAAAAAGTCCAGTCACAAGTACCGGTAACAGGGGATGAATTAATTAACAAGGGCCCTTTTCACAATCCATTTGAAGCACTTTCAACTTGACTTTGGTAGCTGACTTGTGACTTGACTTGGGATGGACGTGTGATTAACTTGTGAGGATTTGTTAGGACTTGTGAGGACTTGTGGTAGATGTGAGGACTTGTTACATGTAGGAGTTGTTAGGACTCATGAAGACTTGTGGTAGACTTGTGACTTGTGGTGACTTGTGATGACTTGTGATGACTTGTGATGACTTGTGATGACTTGTGAGGACTTGTGATGACTTGTGATGACTTGTGAGGACTTGTGAAGACTTGTGAGGACTTGTGATGGACTTGTGGTGAACTTGTGATTGACTTTTGACTGCCTTGTGATGACAATTTTGCGATGTCTGGTGATGACTTGTGACTTGACTTGCAACAGACTCGACCTCAATACTTTGATTGTTTTCATCATGTCTGCTGTCGCAGGAAGGAATTTGCCTACGCCTCCAGCGACAAGATGGTCTACATCCGAAGGTTTGATCCCGACGGGAGCAGGATGCGTCTGACTAACACACTACAGGGTCACGAGGGTGAGATCACTCAGGTCAAATGGTCCAGGGCTAGGGCCAACTGGGTCACTGCCTCCGAGGATGGCACCATCAGAATATGGGTGAGTGTACAGGTTTCGTTACACCTAATAAAATTACCAGGACTTTGTACCAAAGACTCAAAGCATTTGATAGTTATTACCCCTGTTCATTAGGCCATGAGATCATTCTCTGCAGCAGCTTGATGAGAGCAGCGAAATCTGGTCTCTAGGTACCCATTGATACTACTGGGTGGAGAGAGGCAATTGTAGTAAAGTGTCTTGCCCAGGAACACAATTAAGCATCATGTCTCTGTCAGAGTTCCAACCCATGTACCATTACACTATCAGACCAGGGCCAAATTTCTCGGCTCTGCTTACCGTTAGCGAAAAATCCCTGCTTACTATAGTAGAAATTCCGTACTTACGGTATTTCACAGATTAGAGAGGAATTTTGGCTTTGGCCCAAGTGTACATCCCGTAACTAAAGATTCTGTGCTTGCAGGGTTAGCACAGAGTGTTTCTGCCAGCGCGGTTAGCACAAACTGGTGATCGTAAGCGCGGAATTCTGTGGTTAGCAGAGCCATGAAATTGTGCCCATCTTGCTCCACTTCAACTTCATATTTATGAACCAAATTCCTTTTTATTTCAACTAATTTCTCTTAATGATTTATTGTTGTCGTCAGAGTGGTGATGGTATGTCCTGCATCCAGACACTAGCGGCCCACGGATCGGTCACATCTCTCTGCATTGACGCCTACAACAGCTGCATCGTAGCTGGCGTTCAGAACATTATCAAGTAAGTACTGTTGTCTTGGGGTGTGTGGCCTTGTGGGTAGGGTACGTGACTCGATCATGATCAGAGGGTCAGGGGTTCAAATCCAGCTGCTGGCCATATGTTGTGTCCTTGGGTATTATAACCCCCATTTGCCTCTCTCCACCCAGGAGAAACTACCGGCATAATAAAGTCTTTCACGAGCCAATGTGACCCATCAGGCCGGCGTTTATCTCCGGTTTCGGTAGCATGAAACGACTGAGAATATTTCCAATCCCCTGGATGGGATGCTAGTCCATCGCAGTTTACTCCCCAGCTAATGCCGGTACCCATTTACTCCTGGGTGGAGAGGGGCATCTCGGAGCCGATTGCAACTACACGATATCGCGCGCTGAACTGACTAATTATAGCAACAAATTTCCAACGATGCGTCTTTAGACACATCATTGGAAACGGCCCTTTTTATATTGATTTCTTAAAAATGACAGCTTGCCAGAAAGAATAATTTCACAGGGAGTTTAGTCTCATTACTATCTTTCAACCAAGTATGCTTTTCAGTTACTTTTTAGGTAGCTGCAAATGATATGACTGTACCTTTAACCATCTTTTGGGAATTTCTGTAAGAGTTGTCCGTGCATGCTATTTGAAATTTATGACAGACCCTAGTGACATCAAATCAGTCTGGTGATGTCCACGATCATTATACATTATAACACCTCACCCACAGATTCTTTGTCTTGATTGGCCGAGAGCGAGTCACATGATACTTTCTATTTTTGCTATCTTTCTGTGCACCGCCAAAAGTACTATACCCGTAGCAACCAAAGTACTATACCATTAGCAACCAAAGTACTATATCCACGGTGCGGTATTTGTGTGCAAATGCATGCTGGTGTGCGCGTTGCATGCAGCGCGTTTTGTTCCAAAGAGAGCGCGCCGCAGAGTTGGGTTCAAACATTTCGCGAAGGGGTAGTTTGGAAGAGAGAAATACATTCTCCTCCAGTTTTGCATTGAAATTGAAGTTTATTTCAACTGTGTTCAGATTTAAAGAATTTAAATATTATAACCAAGCAGAATCTGTGGGTGAAGTGATATAAAACAAATATTGAATGCTTTATCTCATGGTGAAGTAAAACTAGCCTCCCTCGGTGATCCATGGAGCATTCTATTTTCCCTCGGCTTCGCCTCGGGAAAATAGAATGGTCCATGGATCACCTCGGGAGGCTAGTTTTACTACACCACTCGAAGCATTCAATATTTGTATACTATGAGCATTTTCAGATCCTTTGTTTCGTCTTCGGCCTTGCCTCTGACTTCTGAATCACTGAGAGGCAAACTAAACAAAAATATTCCAATTTTTGGCTTTATGTCAACAGATTGAATGTTCCTGAAGCATAACAGGCACCAAAATGTGGCTGTAGTTCCTAAAATCGGGGGCCTAAAATTTCAGCTGAAGACAAAGCCAAAGCCAGACATTTCAAAAACGCTCTATGAGTCATTTTGTTTTGGATTGGCGTAAGGTTTATCCGCATATATGCTGTTTGAAACTCATGAGAATTGTTTTTTGTAATTTGATTCATCAGAGTTTACGATCCAGACACCTACAAGTTAGTACAGACCAATGTTGGACACACAGACTCCATCCGCTGTATTCTGCACCTACCAGAAAGAAATCAGGTAAAAACGACGCCGCAGTTGGTTATGTCATTGAAATATCTAACAGTGTCATGATTCTACTCAAGTCAGCGCTTAGAGTCAATCACAAGTCAGCACAGGGGCGTATCTAGCTTTCAGGAAACTCATGGAGACTAGGGGGTGGGGTTTGATATTTGAGTGAAGGTAAGCCCCTGCTAAGGGGGGCCCGGACCATGCCCCTTTCCCCATTCTAAGGCAATTTGAGGATGAATTTAGAACTTTTGAGTCAATTTTTTTTTTTGGCCCCATTTTACGAGTACAAAATTTGTCAGCGGTGGAACGAAAAAAACCTAGATCCGCTAGTCAAACACAAGTCCTCACCAAGCAATTACAAGTCAGTCACACGTTCATCCGAAGTCCATCACAAGTTACAATGTAATCACTAATTTATTTAATCACAAGTCAATCATGTGTCAATCACAAGTCAATCGCAAATTTTACAAATCTGTGACTTCATGTTGTATTGTCTTTGAATTTGTACGTTTAAATACATTCCAACTTTATAATTTACTGAGAATTCTTTCAAATGTCAAACTTACTTTGTTTTGGCAACATGAGCTACTTTGGAGTGGTCATGAACAGCTTGAACTTTTGAAGTAAATTAGAAATTTTAAAGGATTATTTTGTAGGTTCTTATATAAGATTTTATGCTTAATTTGCATGGTGGAGTATCAGTATCGTTTTGGTTTGCAGTAACACCATGTGGTAATAACTACTGTCGCTCAGTAGATATTTAGTTCTGATAACAGCTTGTCCTGCTTATTATCAACTTTCGCTAAGTAGTTTTAGTTCTGATAAGAACAGTCCTGCTTTAAGTTCTAAAACAACTTCTCTTTATCAGAACTGAAACTACTCAGCGAAGTTGATAATAAACAGGTTAAGTTCTTATCAGAACTCATTATTTACTAAGCGACCGTAGTTATTACCACATTGTGTTACTGCAATCCGAAACGATATTGTATCGTCTTATTCTTTTGAATTGTTTTTCTTTACTTGCCAGTATGTCTCGGGTTCGTGGGACGGCAGTCTACGCGTCTGGAACGCCTTCAAGCCCATCGCTCGTAAGAAACGACTCAAGATGGAGGAGAAGCGAGAGAGCATCGCGGGATTCAGTGCCAATAACCCCAACTACCTCATTGAAGACGACGACCTGGCCTAAAGGCAGTCCTTGCTGGAGCTACGTACTGCACACTGTCATGTGCTTCAGATGTGGTGCCTAACTTTTCTGACAAAAAGAACCACGGCTGTTAAATGAACAGCCGAGTATGATCATTGTTCATATATTCTGCTCTGTGTGTTTGAGTGTGCGCCTTCAGCCCACTTCATAAAAATGAAAGCTGAACACAAGTGAGGTAGTCAAGTCTGTCGTAAGGGTCACAGGTTACGATTTATCCATAATAAGCCATTTGCGAGTAACCTATACCCTTTGGGATTTACATTTCAAACACTGACTTGCTCAGAATGCTTGGCACACTTTAACTTTGAATTCTCCAGACCAAAGACACTGTTGCTAATCACATGATTCGGGGCAAGCTCTTGCATAGTTACGTAAGAGACGCTCAGCATCAATACATTGCTCACAATGGGTGAGAATGGCACAAAGACACCAGACCATGCCGGAGCTGGGTGTTGCTAGCATAAGGCTTGCCCCGAATCACGTGATGTAGTAACAGTCTCTTTGGTCGGGAGAATGCAAAGTTAAAATGTGCAAAGCATTGGATTAAGTCAGCGTTCCAGATTTTATTCAAATTTAACTCGCAAATGGCTTATTATCAACATTGTATTTAGAATTGTTTGTGACTTGACTTGGTACCAGATAGCTTGTGATTGTCTTGTGATGGACATGTTATGACTTGTGAACCATTACAACTACCTCGTTGACAACACTCCGAACAAAAGAAACCTCTAATTAGCAGCTGATGATGATCAATTTATATTGGTCTGTGATTGGGTCTGTGATTGGGTCTGTGATTTGATCTCTACTTTGACGTTTTTAACAAAAAGGACGGCTCTATGTAAGTTTTTCTTGCATCACGCTGCCTAACTTTTCACTTCAAAACTTGTCCATGTATTTTGCCATAATGTTTTGGGCATGTGTTTTCACTAAGTTAATGGCTATATTCAGGACTTGCAATGCATTGCCTAACTCTTTCCCTTACAGCTCACCAATGCACTTTGGCAGAAGATTTTTGGCGTGTGCTTTTAGAGTTACTGATAAGAGATACCTCAGCTCCATTGGCTTGCAAAAAACTGCCAAACTTTTCATTTCACAAGTTGTCAGTGCGTTTATTTATTGAATTTTTATTTTATTTAATTCATGTTTTAACTGGGTAGCCCATTCAGTGGAATCCACTGGTCTCCCATGAGCCCAGTAAAGATAGGAAAACACAAGAGAAATGTTCTGAGGAAAACCCACAGAATCAAGCAGGGACTGAAAACCCAATCCACATGGTGGCCCAGGCAGGAATCGAACCCGGGTCACAGCGCTGGAAGGCGAGGAAAGTACCGCTAGACCAGACTCCCCCAGAAAGTTTTGGATGTGTTAAGTTTACAAAGTTACTTAAGATAATGGCTGGACTATGTTGCTTGCAAAACACTGCTGAACTTTACCAGGCATGCAACTTTTCCTCGGATCAGCTGATTTCCTCTTTTTGTACTTCCCAAGTGTGCCATTGAAAATAGGAAAACACTGTGCAAAGTCTTGGGAAAAATTTGAATTTCCTCTTTTTTTTGTGACTTCCCAGTTGCATGCCTGACTTTACACCTACAACTCATTGCTGCATTTTTTGTTGTGATGGCATGACATAGTGGCTTTCACACTGCTTGTTTTTACACCTTACAGCTCAACAACACAAACAGCTCCAAGGCTTGGTTGTAAGCCATAGTCACCTACAGTATAAGCATGATTGCTTAAAGGGCCCATCATAATGTAATTTTTTCAATGACGTCCCCGAAAACGCACCTTTGTGTTCCGCGTTTAACCTTACTTTCAATTTTCAAGGGTATTTTGGTGCTGTTTTGTTTTTTATGCAATGCAAATTTCCATATTCATGAGCAAAAGTGTGGTGTCATTTCAGTCAGAAACCTTATTGTTACAGCTATTTGCCGCACCAAAAGTTGGCAGAATGTTTGATATTTTGCTGTCATAAATCTTCCTTTCTTCAGTAACTTTTCTCAAAAATGTTTTCAATGAGCAATTTTTGGGGTTTTACAATTTTAACAGAGAACCCCTAAACTAAACAGTGTCTTCCTGAAATGACATTACAGCAACAGCGCCCTCTGTTGTCTGGCAGTGAAATGATGGAAATTGTTTGAAGTGTTGAAAGAAGTGCACTTTTCAATAAAATTAACCAAAAAGGAATGTCAAATAGTTTTGTCAAACAATATAAATTTGCACAAATTGTGTTTCAAAGAAAATTCATCTCATGGAGCCTTTAATTAAGCTACAGTTTCTAAGTTGGCCTAATACATGATGATCCTTTATTAAGTTATTCAGCAACACAACCCAGTTCAAGGTTCAGGAAAATTTGGACAGCTTGGTTAAACTGTTACGTCATATACAGTGTGGTCCAAAAACCAGAACCTCATCATACCACTACCCTGAGACTCAAACCACATGTACCAATGCATGGAGAATCTTTTTAGCAGAAAAATGAAAGCATGATCGCCCGATTCGGTTCAGTAGATTTTGCTCTAGAGCCTATTTTGTGAAGCAAGGTGGGGTCATTTTTGTCCCCGCCGCGCCCGGGAATTTGACTTACAAAACGGTAATTGACAGAGGGATTGTTATGTAATAATACCCACATGAAAAAAGTATCCTTCACAAAATAGGCTCGGCAGCAAAAACTACTGGACCGAACCGGGATATTTTGGTATCATAATTCTTCTAAAAGGATTCTCCATCAATTGATACAGGTGGTTTGAGTCTCAAGGTAGAGGAAGTGTGAGGTTCCAGGTTTTTTTATGGGTTTTTGTTAACCAAAAAAAGAGGATTCCGTTGATTTCAAGTCATGTCCTCTGTATCTTAAAAATTGAGTCAGAATAGACCCTTGAATGGTAGCCATATGTTGAAGTACCGTTATGGAAACGCATGAGTTGAGCGCTTGTGTATTATATTAACAAAAACAAATCAGAGATGGCTGTTGTGTTGAAAGGGTCTATACTTGATCTCAAGTGTAAATACTATAATTTTGCTGTAAATTGAAAATTGTAAATATTTCATTACCATAATACTACACGACTATTTAACAAATAAATACGTATACAATGTATATATGTTATGCATGCAAAATGAAGAGAAATATTGTTTTAACCTTTTTTTCTTAACAAAAGAAGTTTCCCTGTTACATATGTATATTATTCATTCTGACAAGAAGATTCGGCATCGCGTGACCAGAAATAAAAATTATGATAACATTACTTCAACTAAAAACAACAAGCCTAATTTTCAAATATGCTGTATTAACTGTTATTCTCATGTTAACAATAACAAATATGTTTATGCTACACAGTGTTTTATGGAAATACATTTCATGAAAATGATTCCATTGCTGCATTTTCAAAATAAAGACCTTGAAATGCATGTTTATTACAGCAACTGTTCCCCCCTTTAAATGTGCATTCGCATGTACAAAGCGGATTTCTCGTAATTTACGTAAAAGGAGAAACAATTTTCAGTGCAAGATAATCAACAAAAGAAAATGCACGACTATCAGACGCGGCAACGGCTGCGAGGAGTCTAGGCCGTCACTAGTAGCGCATGCCTCCTGCTTATCTGCTTTCTGAAAAAACTCCTGAAAGTTCGAGTCGTGGCCTCCGTTGCAGCCGTCGGTTGTGCACAAGCAGAGCGTACCCTGCTGGTTGTCGGTGTTGGTATGCGGGAGGCAGCACGCACGGCCGGTTGCCGGTGGGTCGTCGGTGAAGCCGCAGAACTTAAACTGACCCCGTTTTTCCTCCTGGATGTCGTCTAAGAAGCCACTACCACCACCAGAGCATTCTGAAAGACATTGTAGTTAGAAAAACTGCTTTAGATGCAACAGAACGAAAAACACATAAGCCTAACACCAAGTACTACACAGTCAAAAAAAAAATTGTTTTCGCTTTTTAACATTTGACTTTGTTTTTATTTATTTATTTATTATATTTTTTTCTGGCAATGAAACCAACGATTCCTCAAAAGTGCCCTAGGCACTGAAGCTCAAAAGCTACCCCCTCCCAGAAAAAAAAGCAGCACCTGCTTCCCCCTCCTCCTCGACAGCTCCCCCTCCCCCGACCCAAAGCTGGATCCGCCCCTAACACCTACGTTCCTCTTCACTTTCCGCTCCGTTAAACCATACGCAGACGGGATGGTGGCTCTCCACCACTGAGGTCAGTGTCTCATCGCACTCTTCCAGCATTCTCACGGACTGGTTGCTGCACGTCAGAGGGCCCTCAAAGTCGTTACATTCGTAGCACATCAAGGCTAAGCCTGTGAGGGGACGCAAAGCAAGTAATAAAAGTCAAAGCAGACCAACCGACCGGACAACCAACTTACCGGTAAAACTCACTGACTGGTCAACTTACCGACCGGTCAACTCACTGATCATGACTTGTCAACTTACCGACTGGTCAACTCACTGATCATGACTGGTCAACTTACCAACTGATCAACTCACTGATCATGACTGGTCAACTTACCGACTGGTCAACTTACCAACTGGCCAGTCGGTAAGTTGACCAGTCGGTAAGTTGACCAGTCACACTATAAACATCTTCATCCCTTAAAAATTTTATTAAAAGTCCATGGTCAACCTACTGACTGGTCAACTTACCGACTGGTCAACGTACTGATTGGTCAACTTACTGACTGGTCAACTTACTGACTGGTCAACTTACTGACTGGTCAAATACTGACTGGTCAACTTACTGACTGATCAACTCCCCTGACAGGTCAACTTACTGACTGGTCAACTTACTGACTGGTCAACTTACTGACTGATCAACTTTGCTGACTAGTCAACAACAACAAAAAAACGGTAAACAAACCCTGACTATTGAACTGACCTGAAACTGGACTACCGTGACGCCCCGTCATCCCCACTTATAAAAACGTTGATCCGCCACAGACGTGAACCCATTGACCAGTGTCAAAACTTTTTGGAAAAAGTCCCTAGACTTCAACATTGCATCAATATTTCCCACAACATTATTTAAAAAAAATCAGCCAGTTTTTGCCGATTGTTTTTATCTCATCCAGTTTAGTGTCGTCATATCCTCAATATAGATTTACACGGTGCGTAGCTATCACCCCGAAGTTGCAGCACACATTCGGAAATAAAATGTTACCTGTGATGTCAATACCTTACTCTAACACGACTGCCAGAGATTGAGCAATACTATTACAACACGAAACTGGAAGTGTCATTCAAGGCGTGAACGTCAGTTTATTTGAGAACTCCCTGGTTTTGCTCTTGAGCAATAGGCAGCAACATGCTGTAATTTGGCAATTTACTGTAAATACTACCGTGAGGTAAGGATGTCAACGGCGTGCATCCCGGGACGTCACTGCTGTCAACTGACCGACCAGTCAACTAATCAACCACTCAACTAACCAACCAGTCAACTAACCAACCAGTCAACCGACAATTACACCGGTCCAACTAACCTGGTCAACTATAACTGACTGGTCAACTAACAGGTCAAAATATCTTGCTTTACGTACAAAAAGTCAGGGGGAAGTCACTTCAGCCTTCAAACGGGTTTTTAAAATGACAACAATTTTCCCCTGACAAATCATCATCACACTTCTAGTAAAGGCGTTACGGGTATAATTCCAGCGGTAATGGCGCAATGTCTGTGACAGATTTTCAGAGCTCAGTAGATAACAAGAACATGTATTTTTCAAATCTCATACATCCACTATCTAGTAATGGTCAGTGAGATTACAGACTAGGAGTTTTGGATTATTTCTCCGAATCACTAATTAGATATCATGGTTAATTAGCGTTGTCACAGACAATATATTGCCTTTCATAGCACTGTAATTTTCCTAAAAAAAACTTGGTAGTCCATTTCATCTTGCGCTCTGGGAGTCAATTTTGATTTTCCTGCCCTTCACGCACAAACATCCATCTTTAGTCTCACATCGTATTCCTTTGTTTGACCAAGTATATAGAACCGAAAAACTTAGTGACCATCTTACCTTTCTCAAGGAAGACAAGTATGAAGATAACAGAGAGGATCATCACGTTCACTGTAGATTAGAGAACAGAAATGTGTTGGGAAAACATCATTTGAAATAAAAAATATGCGACGGAGGGGACGCCCCTTTGTTTCAGTCGTTGTGTTCCCTGAATCTCAGGAATTCTTTGGAGATATCTCGGGGGATGCATGTGCCGGGTGACAATAGTCTATGTATATTATATAGAGACAGGGGGATATAGGACACACCACCTATAAAACATGCCTTTTCACCCGAACTGAGAAACATCATCTTGAACATGTCTGAAAATCCCTCTTTAAGGGTCTATACCACGGGTAAAAAATAGCAATCGATGATTGAACAATAAACAAGAAAGACAGAAAGAAAGAAACGTTTAAGAAATAAAATTGCAAACTTACTTTCTGCTAAGTGCCGCCTGTGATTCGTTTGTGTTGCTGACTGTAGAAGAATGGCCTCGATTTTCACTCACAGTTTGATATCGTGTGACATGTCGCTACTATTTTTGTTTTTAAGACCAGTTTCGTTTTTCGCACGTACGAAATAAAACTGACATTGGCATAATGAAACGGCTGAGGTTTCGGTTTTTTGTTGTAATTCTGCATGTAAACGTCTTATTCATAGGGGAGTAGAGATTGAATTTGCAGGTTCAACACCCCTCCCTCCCCTTAAAGAAAAGGACAAGAAACAAGACGACAATTAATAACAGGTAAATGCTTGAAGCAGGCGCGGATCCAGCGGGGGTTTGGGGGTCAAAAGTCCCCTAAAACAAACTTCAGTTATTAATTAAAGGGAATATACAACATTTGCAAACATCGGAAAATAAAACTACCAAGTTTTTGCGAAATACCTTAATAGGATGTTGGTAAATGACAGTCTAAAGCATCCTGTAAAATTATGGCACCTGGTATACTGTCATTTTCAAGAAAAGTGGTATTTTTGTATCAATTTCCAACGCTGATCGGCCGATCAGCGTTGGAAACAACTGGCTTTTTTTTTCGAATACTGGCCCCAATTGACCATTGCACTTGTCTGCAATCGATTACAAACCTATAAACGGGTACGAGCCAGCTAGACTGGTTCCCCGACCTTACAATTCCCCAATGTATGTAAACTGCTCTGTTTCTTCTTATATGGAGTCAGGGAACCAGACTACAGGAAAATGATCGTTTTTCTTGGTTTTTATAGCATTTTCGAACCCAAAACCTCCAAAAAGTCAGTGTAACTATATTTGCTTTATAATTCCAACCCCCCAATTCCATCCATTTCTGAAAATTACAGCAAAAGCAAATGATGTATATTCCCTTTAACAAAGTTAATAACTCACAATACATGTATTGCTTCAGCCAATGTTCTGTTTTTTTTTCTCCCCGATGAATACAATGCCTCATCTACCCGTCGAAAATTGATCGAAGGTATGATGTTCCATAATGTGCCATCAGCGTCGCATTTATCGGCATTTTTTTTCGATGTCGCATTTTTAAGGTCTGGCAGGGATCATTTTGATCGATTTCATGCGAGACTTTTTGCAACCAGGTCCGGATTATCCAATAGGCACAGTAGGCACTGTGCCGGGCCTAGGGCCAACGAAAAATTTAGTCTACGCAAAGGCCATGGTCTATGATGCGTGAACGACAGAATTGCTGATTACGTAGGCAAGACCCCACTTCCTGGCCTCCTAAAGTTTGACCAATCAGCGGGCGCTTTCTATATCGGGTCTTCGGTCATTCACCCGTTGCGCGTCATATAGTTTTTACATGGATAAAATTAACTGTGTCACCCGCTCTGTATCATGTTACGCAAATGCGCGCCCGGTTGTTGTTGTATTACAAAACACTGCATTCGAATTGACCAATCACAGTTTTAGTCCTGATTTGGGAATGAAATGACGTCACGATGTAGTAAAGTCGACTCCGATTGGCTGGCGCGCGGCTTGCATAAATCTGCATGTCTACATATCAGACGTTATACAGGACTTGGCTCCGTGGATAATGGGTGATACTCAGACTACGAAAAATTCGGGGGCCTACGAAAATACCGCAGTGTGCCACACATCACATGCTATGCCTACTCACACACACCCACACATTTTTTGTTAACACCGGTTATTGTGGACCCCCTATTGTCCCTAATCCTCATTCCTTTGTACTCTAACTTTTTAGAAACAGCTCTCATTGGTTTTGTGCATGAATTTCAATGGTGGACTATCGGTCAATCGTGGACCCTTTGTTTGTGCCCTATTTCCTTTTGTCCCTAGTCCACGATTACCGGTGTTTACATACTTACCCGTACATACAGAAAACATTTTTTTTAAAAGTGTTAAGGTATCTCTCAGAAATTGATTTCACCAACAGCATGTAGGCATAGGCCTACATGCAGGCCCTACGTGCAATACGCTGAAAGTCGTGTGGTTCTGAAGCACGGTGCCAACCATAGGCGTCGATCTGTGGGGGACGGGGGACATGTCGTTTGAAATTCTTCCCCAACTATTTTCGTCCCTAGGTAAAATATTGTTTAGCCTCTACATTTGAGTCTATAGCTCAGAATAGCTGATTCAATTACTCCAAACTCGAACATGATGTTAAAATGATTAAAGAAAAATAGTTGAAAAACTCGAAATCGAAAATAAATTGTCAATTTTGACATGCCCATCCCTTCGTTGAGAACAGTGCACCGTTTTGTGAATCAGTCCACTTATAGGGGACCTAGGCCTATCCATTTCATGGTTATTGTATTCCAGGTAAGTTTTCTCTGACTTGAGTCCATTTATTTCTCACAAAAGGCCCCAAAAGGTGTTATTTAAGGGCGCAAACAACTAAATTCCAGATCTGTAGCGAATAAATCCAAGTCAGGGATCTCATCCTAGGTTTTTTTTTTTTTGGGGGGGGGGGGGGAGGGGAGGGGGACTGGATGTTAAAGTGGGGGGTGGGGGTGGGGGGGGGGGGCTAAATTCTTCCCAAATATCAGAAGGGCGGGGGGGGGGGGCTGGACAATATCTTTTCCATAATGGGGCGCTGTTCAAAACTGATATCATGGTTAATGTCTGACAATAGGTGGCGTTATTCACTTTTTACGAGACTTAAAAATTAACAGCCATCCGCGAAAAGCATGGTTTTCGTAAAAACAAATACACAAAAACTGAAAATAAGGCACTTTATGTTAAACCCGCGAATATTTTTCTCCAGTTGCCATTTCCAGTGAGGGGGGGGGGGGCGATTTTTTTTATTGGGGTGGCCTGCTTTAAACCTGTGTTTTTTGTATGCGGTGTCAGTGGTAAAAACAATCAAATCGTCGCGGCGTAATAAAGATCCAAAAACACGATTTTCTTTAAAGTTAAAATGTCACAATCTTATCAAGACAATATGCAGTATACACAATTTTATTACAAGCAAGCGAAATGAAAAAAAGAGCAATTCTTTTGAGGTAAAGCGGACGTAATAATTCATATTTTACGTAAATATACCTATACATGTGGGAAACAACAACAAGTACACGACATAAACATTTGCTATTGCGTTGTCGAATCGGGAAACAGGAAGCAAGTCTCCCACCCATGGGCGTCGCGAGGGGGGGGGGCAAGGGGAGCGCTTGCCCCCCCCCCCCCCCAGGAAAAGCGCTAAAAAAAAGGAGAAGAAGAAGAAAAAAAGAAAAAGAAAAAAGAAAAGAAAAAGAGGCGCGAAGTCATAGTGGTGTAAATTTAATGAGTTGGGGGGGGGGGCAAAATGTCCCTGCCCTCTCTAAAACTGAGAAATAGAGAAAATGTTGAGAAAATTTTCTAGCAAAAATCCTGGCGACGCCCATGCACCCAGGGGTTACTATTGGAAAACGAGGTTGAAAATAAAGTAACCCCAGGAGGACGAGGTTGTATCGTTCAAGACTGTTGGTAAACATTGAGCGTCATTTTGTCTTAGCTGTTGCATCGCGCAGGCGCAAATTGAAGTCGTTGTTGGCAACATATTTTTTTTCAACAAAAATCCTTATAACACCCTCATTACATTAGAAAAGGGCATGTTAAGGAGTCCACGTATTTCGTAGCGATTGTTGATTATTTTGTATTTTCAACAATCAAATATTATTTTTGTAATCATTAATAAACTTTTCTTAATTTTTGCAGTGTTGGGCCTTCCATAAACTTCCAAAACGTTGGTTAAAATGTTGTTGGTTAAAAAGGTTGGTTAAAATTTTAACCAACACTTTGTAACATTCTCCAATTTTGCCCAAAGTTACGTTTCCATTAGTTGGGTATTCTTTTTTAAACCAACTATTGGGCTGTTCACCTGATATTTACTATTGGTTAAAATTAGTCATTTTACCCAACGCTGGTTAACTTGAATTCGGTTAAATTTGGCTTCCATCATCAGAAATAGTCAGAATCTTTTGGTCTGGGAACCAGACTGTAAAATGTGCCAACCACAGGTCGGCCATGGACGATAGAAAGGTCTATAGTAGTCTGGTTCCCAGACCAAAAGATTCTGACTATTTCTGATGAATCTTAGGTCAGGTAGCCGCTAGTTTATGTTTACAATATAAGGCACGTGACGAAAATATCCGAAGTTTGCCAAATCGTCGACAATCTTGGATGGCGCCCGGGTATTTCCGAGTATAACTTAATAGGTTTTATTTACCTGCCTGCTCATAAAAATAAAAAAAAAACTGAGTTGATAATTAATATTTTTTGCTTGCATTAAGAAAAGTTGAAATTCAATGACGATTTTGTGCATCAAGAATGCACTTGGATCGTACGAGGGGCGAGTTTTGCTGCGTCATGTACTATTTTGAGTTTGCGACCGTTACCGGGTTTTTCCAAAACTCGGCGTGGTTTTCATTGTGGCTTCGCCTGCTAAGATGATATTTGGGTTCCTAACTTTTAAGATTACAGGCCAACATTCGTCAATGTTTTCTCTTACAGAAATATCAATTTGTGTGACATATGAAACAGGTAATATTTTTGAACAATTTGATTGGAACATTTTGATTGGAAGCCGAGCTTTGAAAAAGGGCCGTCAATGTTGTCATCTTTGTTTTTAGCCACGGAGGCTACCTGACCTACAATTTAGACGTCTGGGCGTCGGGGAAAAGTTTCAGGTCAGGGAACCAGACTATATAACCAGGCCATATTTCAGGGCGAATGAGGGCGCTATACCGACCCACGTTTTTGGTACCAACGCTTGAAAAAAATCCCGTTTATTTAAGCTTTTAATTACTTTACCTGAATCTAAACATTAAATATTATGCATATAATATGCATTTTTGGGGGCTTTGCAGTGTATAAACCACGTCCTTAATCATCTATTATCACTTTTGTTTATGCCTTTAATCAGGGCCGTTATTGTTATTGGGGGGGGGGCCTTGACACCAAATGACACGGGGGGGGGGGGGCTGCTCATGTGATACAGATGTACATCTATACTTAAGGCCCTTCACCTGGTAATCAAAACGGTGCATTGAAAGCTTTTGTGATTTATCTCCCTTTTTCATTACTATGGAAACTCAGTTGGGTTGTTGGGAAGTTCAAAATCCGCCTTTCTTGTTTATCACCACGAAAAAGTGTGTGTGTGGGTGTGTGTGTGGGGGGGGGGGGGGATTCAATAGCCCACCCCACCCCGGGTCAAAACGTGGGGGATATATACCCCCATCCCCCGGGATTTAAACACCACCCCCCCCCCCCCCCCCGACTGATTACTTTTCAGTTTATTTATTTTCCTCACGCTTCACTGCACAATGGTCAATTGATCAAAACACCATTTTTGGACACCAATTAAGTTCCTTGCCTTAATCAATTTCAGTGCTGTGTTATGTAAGCTGTGAGAAATCCTGCATGTTCTGAAAAAAAAGGCTGATGTGGTTTGGGATTTGAATCATTTGCCCTTGAGCATTAAACTGAGGTCTAATCTTGCCATGTTGACTAATAGCCAGGCAAATGATTCCAATCCCAACCGCAGCCCTTTTCACACCTTGAAAAATAGTCAGACGGACAGTTTTTTGGGGGACATACTGTATAGCTTGAGCTGTCAATGAAATGTTCCAAAATACAGCGCAGATGTTCTGGTGGATCAAGTGCGCCTAAGAGGTGGTTCAGTAAGTGAAAGGTCTTCGGGCAGCCCTGGGAACGCAAGTTAAGAAATACAATGTACCTTAGGCCCCCAAAAAAGTCTCCGGTTTCTGGTATGCGCGCGCGTCGCCGTAGCCATGCGCGTCGGCACAATGAAACAGTTTTTTTTTCAATGAAAGATGATGTCTCAAAACCGCCAAACTCACTGGTTTGACTGGAATCCTGCTGCTGCACAATTTTAACGTGTTTTTAGATGGGGTTATGATCAAGAATAAGCTTTATGTGGCCTCTCTGGACTCCCCTATATTTGCACTACGTTTAGTCGGGCACCATTTGCAGTCATCAGCCGACATTTGAAGCAAAACAATTGGTAAAAAAAAAAAAGCCGTGTCGCCGCACCACTTTTTGGGCAAGCTCCATACCAGAAACCGGAGACTTTTTTGGCGTGAACTATCTGAAAGTGAAAAGTAAACTTCCTATGCAAACACGATCTGTGGTAAGAAAGTATTTCGGTTTTGCTGTTTATTTATTTTAGACTCTATGCCGCCAAGCTTTTATTTATATAAAAAGAAGCAAAATTAAGAAATTCAAATCTGGGCGAAAATGAAAGACAGAACGACGGAAAGGAGCGCTTTTTTACGAAAACTTTCAGAATCTAAAAATTGGAGTATGACAATGTCAGTGATACAAAAGATCGATAAACTTCAAGTGCAGTCATTTTTCTACTTTCAATTTTATTCTTGCACGCACTTAGAAATATATAACGATACAATAGCATGGTATATCTTGCAAATAAGGCTAACAATTAGGTCCAATCAAGTGTAAAAAGTCCACGGGTATCACTCAGTCATTGGCTTAACTAGTTCAGTTTAAAGGGAACATCCTTCTCAAAGAAAATAGTTCAAGGTGCTGCCTACTACAGTATTTTGTGGATGCATGGTTTGAGAGACGAGCAAAGCTTAAACACTGTAGACACAATAAATTACATGTTCATTCTTCAGAAGTCATTATAGTAAATTGTGTGTCTTTGTGTTTTCTTTCAAGCCATCTCAATTTGTGATGATGACAATGTTTCATGATGATATTTTGACCATCGTTTGAGAATAGGCATTTTTTTTTTACATATTAGTGTGCATGCGTATTAGTAACGGCACGAATCAACCAATAGTGGTTCTCGCCTGAACATTTAAGGTCGACGCTCATGCAATCTAAACGAAGGTAACTTATTAAGTGACAGATTTTTATCATGGAAACAATGGACCGATCAAGTAAGCCCCGCCCACTGCGCACTGGGCAAATCAACACGTGCTCCTCTCCAATGCCACACTGCATTTTCCTGCTGCGCGCATCATACGCGCGTGCACGCATGTCGGACTTTCGTACACGCACGTCGGACATAAATCACGGCTGTGATTGGTCAGAACACCATGGGGCGGTGCTTACTGGATCGGTCCATTTCAACGGGTGGCGCTCACAAAAGAGTAGGATAATCCTGGCTTTACCTATACTGCTGACAAGCTTTAACACTAGACACAACAAATTACATGTTCATTCTTCAGAAGTCATTTTAGTAACTTGTGTGTCATTGGTTTCCTTCTGGGTTAACTTTACTGTCGAGGACCCCAGCTATTGCTATCTTTCGTTGCAATTGTTTTGGACCAACATAATCTTGGTAGTAGTCCCATTAAAGTTTATGCGAAAATTACCGAGAGTCGTTAATGATATATAGCCCAAGCATCCAAACATAATAGCCACGATTACCAGCGCATATACCAAATACATAGGGGTATCAAGCGGGGGGGGGGGGGGGGGATTACCCCACTCCCAAATATTTGTAAAGAGTGCCCTTCTTTTGTTAACAAGTGCATGCCCTTCTTCTTCTTCTTCTTTTTTTTTTAAACAACTTGGCCTTTAAAAAACAAATCGTGCCCTTTTTGTGCCATCGGCCGTTACGGGTGCCTTATTTTAATTTCGCGAATGTATCGCCCTGAAAAAAAACCCCATAAAATTGTGTGTTAGTGTGTATAATTGTCGGCTTTAAACAGTGCCCCCATCGACAAATGGTACCATTTCACCTATGATGTCCCCTACTTCAATGCCTGCTCAATGCCTATTCAATGCTGAACCAAGATTCAGCATGTCCAGGTGAGAGTGGCCCAAGTAAAACTTACACCCTTTCACTTCATTGATTGTATTTCTGGATCTGGGTAAAAAAGAGTGGATTAAGAAATAGTCAGGCTTTAATGTATTACATAAATACATTGAAAAAGAAAAAAATGAACAGTTTTAATCATATTTTTTCTGGATGTTGCACTTTTTTGTGCATACTCTGTGGTTCTAACAACTGAGGCATGCCCAATACGACCAATGAGTTTATCGACATTACCAGTCATTCATCACCATACATGAATAAAACATTGTTTGGATGTACATAAACTACTCATCTAAAGCTTGTAAACTCTTCTTCTTCTTTATTATTTTATTTGCAAGCAGCGTAAATAAGCAAAAACAGAAAGTCCCCACTTTAATCAAACCGATTTGGCCCTGCTGTGGGGAATTTGTATAGGCTAGGGCGAACGCAAGATCGCCAGCAGAGCTGCCGAAGCCAAGGCAGAGACCAGTGGTGCGAATGACGACTGGAGTGCGCCTACCCCGTTACAGCTGTCCGTGTTACACACACACAAGGCGTAGACATCGAAGATATCGGTGCGATGCGCTTCGACGACCGATATCTCCTCTAGCGGTTGGTCTTCGCTCGGGGCGTTGAAGCACTGGTTCTCCGGTGCATCAGGCAGCAACCATATGCATGAGCGCAAGACATCTTGCTCCTGAACCGCGCCCCCGGTGTCTGATCAACAAACAGAACAAGCTCTCAGTTCATTAATATGCAAGGACGGATAGGCACTGATCCTTATTTCAAAAAAATTGGGAGCCATAGCGTCCAGTAGTCCTAGTAAGTGTATCATAGCCAACGGGCTATCTAGACGGAAACCGGTAATGGTCGGGAATCCAAAATGATTGGGGTGGTTTGATAGAATACCGAAGTGTGCCGCGAAGTCTGGTTGATTTGAGTGCACAGCTTAAAGGAAATGTACATCATTGCATTGGCTTTTGCTGTAATTTTTAGAAATGAATTATTTAGGGGTTAGTATAATAGATCAAATATTGTTACACTGACATGTTTGAAGTTTTGCGTTCGAAAATGCTGGAAAAACCAAGAAAAACAAAAATGTTCAGGTAGTCTGGTTCCCTGACTCCACTAAAGATGAAATGGATAAAAAAATGCCGGAAAATTGTAAGGTAAGGGAACCAGTCTAGCTGGCCTGCACCCGTTCATGAACCGATGGAACCAATAGCAAACAAAATTTGGACTGGAACAAAAATGGTAAATTTGGAGCAGTGGTTGAAAAATAGTTAGGTTTTTCCAACGGTGGTCGGCCGACAATTTCACAATTATCAGTGCCAACCACCGTTGGAAATGTATACAAAAGTACCATTTTTCTTAAAAATGACTTCACACCAGGTGCCATAATTATACAGGATGCTTTAGACTGTCATTTACCAACATCCTAGTAAGGTATTTCGTAACAACTTGGTAGTTTTATTTTTCGATGTTTGCAAATGTTGTATTTTCCCTTTAAGTAGAATGTGGAGACGTCAGCGCACGAACCAGCGCGTTAACCAGACCATTGACAGCTGATATCACACTTCGGTACTCTATAGCCCAAAATGGCCAAATGTTACTAGACCAAAAAAATGCATTTCGGTCAGTCAAGGCCCCGGCCTATGAAATGTAAATATAAGTTTCGGCCGGCTTATGCTCATAGTATGTAAATTTGCCGAGCAATACAGGATATGAGTAAAAAAAAAACCAAATGGTTTCCATATTTTTTTTAAAGAATTCTGCATGTAGCGCTTTTCAGATCTAGGATATGAAAGCCCAATTAATACGCTTTCGTTTGAGCGACAGAATCATTTAAGTCGCTCATGTACTTTTCCAGGTATGGACGTTTGAACACAAACACCGTTTTCAATTCAAATTACCTTGATTTTGTTTCAAGGAAATAAAGTCCGAAATTTCATTAGGTTCGAATTCATTTTTTTTTCTTTTTCAATTCGTGGTTCTGGGTGACTTGTTTTTGGTGACATCTCATAGCGTACACCCCATTCGGATGTCGTTTTGGGAAAATATCGCTCCCCGCCCACCTTGAACAATCTTAGACTTCAACACCCCAGCCTCCCCCGTAAATCCATGATCCGCCTCTGCAACAGAGGGACCAGCAATCTGATGACACAGCTTACCAGGTTCAATAGTGACCGTTCCAACCTCCTTCATACAACGAGGAGTCGCCTCCGGCTCGGTACCGTTCGGCCGCTGGCATTCCTCGGCCGTGAGTGCCTCAGTGTTGGACCGACAATTTTCGTTGGATTCTTGTTTTGTGTCGTACACATCCACACACTCGTAGCATTTTAGTGCAGCACCTGAAATGATTTTACAGGCAGTTTGAAAGCTGCGTTTACCGCGCTATGTTCCTGTTTCATCACTTGACAATAAAGGGCGCTGTTCAAAGATGTAGGGCCTATTGCATGCACACATTATGTACATGGGCATTTACGACTATTACGCCTATCCGGAATGATATTCGATGTCATTTCCATCACATGAAAAGGGTGGTGCACAAACAGTAACTTACAGCTATGGGCCATATTCACGAGTCGGCCATATTAAATTTAAAGCTAGGTAAAATCTTAATATTTGGAACTTGCGAAGAGAAATGAAAGCAATGACATAAAGTTAATTACACATAATACCAGTCTGCTCTAATTAATTGTGATAAAGCATACACTTATGTTTTAAGCCACAAAATATGAAAGTGAGGCTAGATTGTATAAATTGTCTGGCACCATCCTATTCAACTGTTCACAATTAATACAATAAATTAAGGGGACCCTACCAAAATTGGCTTTCTCGTGAATAAGTTTCTCGGACATTGGGTTAAAATCTATACGCACTTTGGATACATTATCGGGGGGGGGGAGCCTCACCGTTGGCGTCCTCCGGTTAATGGGGGGGGGGGGGGGGCGCCCATGTCGTAATTTGAATAGGACATGGGGTTCCTGTCAATGCAGAAGGGACTGGACACCATCTGACACTAGGTGGCGCGCTATGCTGGATTGTCCGGAATTATGGTATTAGAGAGCGAGAGTAAACGAACGATTATTCTCTTTACACCAACAAAAAGCCGCATCATAAATGTTCAGACAGTGGGAGACGCTAGCTCGCAGCACACACACACACACCGGTCCGTTTTCTACTGTACGTCATTTTGAAAAATTATGCGCACATTTATAGCTTAAAATATGATACAATTCATTTGAAAAAGGACCGGGATGTGTGTTTGCTGCCACCAAACGTCTCAACTTGCTTACCTTGGTCGCAGATTAGCGCAACCGAAGCGACAATCCAAATCAGTGAAGTCCCTGAACATAGGGGGAAAACACATTCCACAATTATGTTACAACTTTTAATGTGCGTCGATCGGGTAGATGCGTATCCAATATTTAGTTTTACCCTTCACCGGCGTATTTTATAAACACTGTATATACTACTCAGTATGTTCCATCTTATGAATAGTTTGTTTGCGATTCCGCTGCTTTATTTGAATCGAACCAACCAACCGAAAACGGCAAGCTCGGTGGTCGAACATTTCATAAGTCCGAATTTTCGGACTTATGAGGCGTCGGACCTATGAGGCGTCGGACTTACGATACGGCCCCGTTTCTGGTATGGAGCTTGCCCCGAAATAAAGTGGTGCGGCGACGCGTTTTTTGTTTGTTTTCCCCCTATTTTTTTCTTCTTCAAATGTCGGCTGATGTTGCAGATGACGCTTCGATCACCTTAAAACTCTCAAAAATATCCTTCAGAGTGGAGCTTGAGGTGACCTCAGTAAGGCCATAAGGCTTGAGAATTCTGCATCCACTTAAGATCTCGACCGACACGAACTTTCTTCGGGAAATTTGGATAGTCAGGACAAAAGTCAGAGAAAACGGCAACGTCAGACCATACAGCGACTTCGCGTACATGTGCTGCCGGGCTGGTCATTAGTCCGCTCCCTTACATATTGCGCTAATTAAAAAGTGTTGACAGGTTCTAGATAAACGACCATTGCTCCCTCAGTCTGGCTTCCAGACGCACAATTACAAAATTACTACACCGTCTGCAAATGGTGCTCGACTAAATTTAGTACAACATTTATGGGAGCCCAGAGAGGCCACAAAAAGCTTAAACTCGATCGTTACCCCATCTAAAAACACGTTAAAATTGTGCAGCAGCAGGATTCCAGTCAAACCAGTGAGTTTGGCGGTTTTAAGACATCATGTTTACATTGAAAAAAAACCAACTTTTTAAATTTACCGACGCGCATGGATACGGCGATGCGCGCGCAGACCAGAAACCGGAGAGTTAATTTGGCCTAAGCAGGCGGTCGTGGGTTCGAGTCCCACCCGGGTGACTTTTTATTCTCACAATCACTCGGGACAACACCGAGTATACAATGTTTATAAAATTCCTCGGTGAAGAGTAAAACCCAATATTGAATGATGAAACTCGTTATTTTGATCGTTGGTATTTATGCTAAAAAGCAACTCATTTGACCCTGCTAAGTACAAGGGAAACTGTATTTTTGGAGAAAAAACAACAATTGCAAACACTAAAATGCCTTTATGTTATTTTTTCATTCTAGTTAATATTCCAACAACACTATTTTTCGTATTCTGTGCTATAATACGCACTTCTACAAAATATATATCTGCCTTAAAAAAAACTTCCGACTAACTTTTACCAGTTCAATTGTTAACAAAATTATAATGTTCTCGTTGATAAAACCCTCAAAGCACGATACCCATAACAGCACGAAGTAACAGGCCACTCTCAGTCCAATTACGACATCATATTGTAAACTATATGGAAGGCGCGGTTCTGGGGTGGGGGGGGGGGCGCTGGGGGGGGGGGGGGGCTTTAGCCCCCCAAACTTATGTCGAGCTCCCCAAAAAAAATCGTGGGAAGGGAGCATTAATTTTGTACACTATTAGGGCGCTCCCCATGAAAATATGGACGAGCCCCCCCCCCCCCCCCCCCGACCACCACCACATATCGATTTTCGGAGAGCCAAAGTGTCCGAAGAAACAAAACTGGTCTACATTTCAGCGCGCCACCCTGCACAAATTTCAGGATCCACCTCTGCTATAGCCCCCTAAAATATAGGATCTAGAACCGCGTCAGCTATATGGATAATTATTAGAAATTTAAACATTTGCAGGAGATAGCATCCCTGTAAATATTCGGGGTCCGCTCATTAGTCCGACGCCTCATAAGTCCGACGCCTCATAGCTCTGACGCCTCGTAGGTCCGACAAATTAAACGCCTCGTTTTTCCGACGTCGGACTTAGGAGGCGGAATAAATAAATTGTATGCCTCGTAAGTCCGACGCCTCATAAGTCCGAAATTTCGGACTTATGAGGCGTCGGACCTATAAGGCGTAGGATTATGATACGGCCCAATATTCGCCAATTCCAAATCACATGAAAATATTGCCTATAGTCAAATCTGAGCGATTTTTTTTTTTTAATATCCATACTGATAAAAAAATATCAATTCTTGGCACAATTTAAAGTCAGGCTAGTTTCATTCTTTAAGGAAGCTAACAGCCAAAAAAAAATCAAAAATAAAATCATATAATCAGTTTCGAAAGGAGGCTTATTTAGTTTATTAAACTAAAGGGCAGTTTTTGTTTCGATTTTTAAAACCTTACAGATTTTTTAAAGGCGATAATAAGGAGAGAAAAACATAAAAAAGGGTTTTGCACAGGAAACAAGTCGCAGATCCACGTGATGTGTTTTCGAAATTTAAGCCGATGAAACTGTAACTTAATGCATTTGTTGACCTTGATACTTGAACAGTTAAAGTGTGATATTAAATTGTGATATTTAAAGGGTTCATTCGATGAATTTTCCGAGAAACACATTTTTGCAACTTTCTACTCCTCTTAAATGTATGAAAACTATTTGTCATCCCTCATTAGTTAATTCTATTGAAAAGTGAACTTCTTTAAATATTTAAAATTGTCTCTGCTTTTCTGGACAAGTGAGGGCGTTGTTAGCTGTGATTGAATTTCAGGAAGACACTGTTCAGTTTACTGAGGGGTTTTCTGTTCAAATTATATGAACCCAAAAATGTGCTCATTGAAAACATTTGTGAGAAAGGTTTGTTCATTGGCTTACTGCCATGCACTGACCTAACAACGAATCACCAAAGAAAATGTAGCAACTTTTTGGGCTGAGATTGCTGTAACATTGAGGTTTCTGCCCGGAATGACATCACAGTTTGGCTCATGAATATGGAAATTCGCAATCAGCATAAAAACAAATAAGGCACCAAAATACCCTCGAAAATGACAAAACGAATATTGAAAATAAGGTTAAAGGGACACAAAGGTACATTATCAAGGACTGCATTGTAAGAAATTACATTGCATTGGCCCTTTAATGAAGAAAACATGAAAGAGGATTTTTATGACTAAAATACATGTAAAACAACATTTTTTTGGACATGTTACTATGACTTTCCACCTCCTTTGTACCAGTAAAAGGGAGAAATTTCATCGTTTTAGTGTTTATGCTAATGAAATTACCATATTCATGAGCCAAAATATGATGTCATTCAAGGCGGAACAGTGGTGTCTCCATAGCTGTGTGTACAAATATATATCAAACTTTTCTTCATTTTCTTGGAGTAAGTTCGACTTTTTACTTGTTTATTATTGTTTGGACAATAATAAGTGGCCAATATTTACAAAAGTTTTTTCGTGGGTAATTTAAAGGACTAATTTGTGTACTGTTCATAATGCACTTTTGACAAGGAGTGCATTATGTAACATTGTATTGGCGAAAGGATTTGCTAATAATTGAAAAATAACCACTTTCTTGTCACTCCCAATGAAAACGAGTATTTAGATCTTGTATTATTGCAACACATAGTAATGTGCATGAAAACAAGATGAGCTGGATTTCCACTGCGTGTTCCCTTTAACCCTAAAAGGGCCGGGGGGGGGCGGAATCCGCCCCCCCCCTCAACATTTTCCGCGATAGCTTCTAAAAAAAATTTTTTCGCGACCCAAGCTGTTATGACTTTTTAGCCTCGAGCTTTGCGCATCTTTTGATACCAAAAACATAAAAATCGGACCACGGGTTGGCCCGTAGCGAAAAATTTTCCGGCGCTACGCGCCGTGAAAACTGAATTTTCGCATATACATCGTGTACATCGAGCAGAATTGCCATTCATACATATGAATAATTAATTAGCCATAATTCCAAAACCCTTTGACCTATAGTCATGAAATTTCTTGGGCATGTTTAGGAAGAGTTGCTCTATGCATGTGTGGAGTTTCAAAATTTTTCGTCACTCGATGGCCGAGATCTTAGGGGGGGGGGGGCGGAATCCGCCCCCCCCCCCCCCCCCGGCTGAGAGATGGTCAAAATAACCCGGCCCCTTTAGGGTTAAGGCGTACTAGCAGTTGAACTTTCGTTTATGGCTAGACGTGCAGGGAAGTCATCATGGAGTTATATTTCGCGGTATTCAGCAGTATTCTTTCTAATATTCTTATCAAAGCCATCAAAATATGCCGTAAGTAGAGAAAAGAAAACAGGTATGATCTATAAGATCTTTAAAGAACAAAGCCGCGACATTGCTCGAGGACTAAATAACGTGATTTTACAATAAAAACAGATGCAACACACAATATATTTTAATAAAATAAGTTTCAATTTTGGTTTTGGGACGAACGTAATAAATACGGACATATAGTGAACGTAGTAATGAAAAGGAAGAACACTTAATTAAACCAGTCAGTCTAATTGTTTACATTTAGAGATAAACAAAATTGGTCCAATGACCAGGTACGAGTAATAATCTTTATTGTTTGTTGTTCAAGAAAGGCTACGGATCGTTCTGTCCAAACACTTATAATTCTAAAGTGAAAACACGGTTCGGTTCCAATGTTTGTACACGTATGATATAATAATCAGCCTTTCTTTTCGTTTCTGTGTGTATTTTAGTTTGTTGGCCTTTTCTTTCCTTTTTTCCCTATCTCTCTTTACGAATCTGAAACCTATTTACAAGAGTATAGTTTAAACAACGAAAGTAATAAAATAAATTGATATGTTGTGGTTTTGCCTGATGTCCCATGATAAAGTGTTTCATTCTTTAAAAAAACAAACACCACGTTTCGCAAAGTACGTTCATCTTTCGTTGTCATTGCAAATTGGAGCAAACGACTCCTACAGTTCTTCTGGGAACTCTCCGTGTTTTGAACGAAACTCTGGAATCTACATTCATAGATGACAGTCTATTCCTATTGGTCGAGAGCCCGTCACGTGGCCAGTTAAACGGTTGATAAAGACCAGCTGGCTGGTCTTAAACACGTTTCGTGTGTCACATGACATTTGGACTCCTATGAAATTCGGTCACGTAGGCATGCGCAATACTACCACTGAGTCCGAGTATTTCAAATAGTCCTAATTCACAATACATCGGTATATATACAGCTGCGTTCTGCGCGCCAAACTCCATATAAGGAGTTGTGTACGACGACTCGCGAGAGAGAATACCATAATATAGCTAGAGGGGTTTTCCGAAAAACATGAAGTATCATTGTTGAACAAAATGGTTGGAAATCTATAATTTTTGACCTGTTTTGACTTTTGTACCAAACTTGAAGTTTTTATTTATTTCGGCTCGGGTCATTATCAGCATCCAAACTCCAGCCGGTCTTAAACAGAGTGTTAAAATCCGGCCAAGCACACATTGATGCCCTTATTGTTAGTCACTTTCTAAAGGTTATAAGATGTTACATTTTCCAAGTTTCGACATTTGTAAATACCGCTCGATGATGCTGAAATTCCAAAACACAGATTGGGCATCATCTCGGAAAACAAAGTTGATTTGGGATGTGGAACTATTGTTTTGACCCCATATTATCATAATGGAATAACTGACCTATCGCCGTTTGTAAGTTAGCCACGTCTCTTAGACAACCCTATGGAATTTTGGACATTAAAGGGATACTGCGCCCTTGAATAAGCCCAATTGAGCTACAAAACGCGTTTTGAACGAAATGATATTGATCGGAAGAACATTTAAAAGTAGGATGTAAACACCCACACAACTATCCTTTAAAATTGGGCGCTTTTCTAGTATTCGTGCGAGAATGAACGACTTTCGGGGTCCACTTTTGCGATCCCAAAAAGTCGGGCTGTTCGTGCTAGTTGTGATTCCAGCCGTAAAGGTTCGCCTTTTGCGGACGTGTAAGAAATCAAGTTGTGCGTGGTGATTGGTCACCGCAGTTCGTGAGCACGGTGCTGTGTGCGTGTGTAAAGCCAGACACACACAACGTACATCGTACATTGAAAGAAAACGACAGGAAACACGTATCATACTCCGTCGTCTCCGATGTAAACATTCCGGATTTTTTTTCCCGTCTTTTCTCGGGAACGGTAAGACATTAGGTTGGTTTCCTTTCAACCAGATGTTCGAAATAGGATAAGTGACATTTTCATGATATTTTCGGGGATTTCAGGACGCAGTGCGCCTTTAAGTTTTGGTTGTCTCAGATTTTGCGCGTTCCGCGTACATTTGTATATCATGTAATTTGACAATATTTCACAAGCTGCATTGATGCAATTCCACCGCGATAGGTTAAAGTGAGTGACTCAAGAAGCAAATATTATGTTGACCTAATCCAACGACGTCCCAGCTCAACATGTACATCTGTACCTTCACTTTTCCGTATCCCAGTTTTTCCAGCATCCACTTTTTCGAAACGTTTAACGGCGGAATTTTTAATTTTATGAATCTTGAATGAAAGACAATAACAGAGTATGTCTCGCCAGCCCAAGTTCACGTTTTCCGCGAACGTCTTGGCATGCCAGACAATGATCTACAAACCCCGCGTTTGGATTTACCCAATTGCTATCATATCTACGTGATCGGTTGAACGGAAGTTGAGGTCAACATTTTAAATTTTGATAATAGTCCTCAATTTGCAATATTTTCAATAGAGTGCCATTCTTTTGATAATAAGTGCGCTTTTTTCTGAACAAGTGACTTTTTTTCTGAACAAGTGGAATTAAAAAAAAAGGCGTGCCATTTTTGTGCCATTGGCCGTTACGCGTGTCTTTTTTTAATTTCGCGCATGTATCGCCCTGGAAACTGAGCACCATATAATTGTCTGTTAGTGTGCATAATCGTCGGTTTTGCACAGCGCCCCCATCGACAGATGGTACCCCCCCCCCCCCCCCCACCCTCCTATTTGATTTTACGAAGGCGAAGTGTCCGGAGAAAAAAACGCGTCTACATTTCAGCACGGATGTGCAAGTGCCCTTTTCAAGACATTTTTTCACCCCCCCCCCAGAAAAAAAATGACCTTGCTACGCCCCTGACGTTTGTTTATTTCATGGTGAAATCTCTTTTCCCCCACCTGCGCCTTGATTGGCAACCATAGCCTTTCACTCTGTGACAAATGACACCACAAAAACCACAATTGAAAAGTGGCGCAAGCCTGTAAATATAGTCCCTTTCATAAAATTGGTCGCTGCTCAGTCAACCGTGAATGTAATGACATGGTCAGGGTGTCATTTTAAAGAGGAGATTCAACCCTAACAGAGGATATCTCCCTTTGATTCACATGTGCCCTACTTCTGTTCCAATTAGTAATAATATCTCGGTTTCGTTTTTTTTATCCACCCTGTATACATGGTGCTCTGATGGTTGGATTGTCGTAACATTTTACAGGTTTTCTATGTCAACTTACACGCTCTATTCAACGATTTAAAAACGGTACGGTTCCTGTCCTTTTGAGAATCGATAATGTGTGGACGGGAACCAGTGTACTCGCACGGCACATCTCTTTGTGCGCAAAAGAAACTAAAAATAAAAGCCTTTTTCAGAGGGATACAATCAAATGACAAACAAAGAAAACACACCTGTTCTTCCTTAAAATAAAACACTCATTGGCCATCGAGGGGAGAAACTTCTCAAATTATGTTGCACAACACAGATAGTACGGTATTATCTTTACATTGAGAACTATCCGCATCCGCCAGGTACAATAATTTCTATAAGCAAGAAACGTTGGCCCAAAGTTACTATATGGAAGCGTTGACTATAAAGATGATTCTCCCTGCTCTTTTCGAGTTTTAACCCGAAAATCTCAATTGCAATTTCTTACTATACAGGAATACAAAAGTTATTAATTTTTGAATGAGAAATCGGCAAGAGTTTTACAGATATTGAATTGTGAATTGATCAATTTGGAATTATTTCCGGCTGGACAATAATGCCATTCTCGTGGGTAAGCTTGGTCCCGCCTCAAAATCAGTATCGATATTGCACGGAATAGAAAGGGAGCCAGATACTAGAGTGCTCGTGAGTCGATCTACTGATTCGTGCCCAAAAGAAAACTCTGTTTTAAGGTGTCAAGACGCCCCCCACACCTCCCCAACAAAAAGGGCTTATTCAGGAATACAGTAAAACATAGTGTGTAAAATATATTCTCATCAACTCAAGGCTTGTTATTTTGCATGATTTGTCACTCATTGCTTCTCTCCAGCCAGGAGTAAATAGGTACCTGTGAGGGCAGTGATGGTTATTGTGGTTGCATTTAGCTTCCTTGTACCTCAGGCCAAAAAAAGTCTCCGGTTTCTGGTATGGAGCTTGCCCAAAAAGTGGTTCGGCGACGCGGCTTTTTTTTTTTTTTACTTGATTTTTTTGCTTCAAATGTCGGCTGATGACTGCAAATGGTGCCCGACTAAACTTGGTGCAAATATATGGGAGTCCAGAGAGGCCACATAAAGCTTATTCTCGACCATAACCCAACCTAAAAACACGTTAAAATTGTGCAGTAGCAGGATTCCAGTCAAACCAGTGAGTTTGGCGGTTTTGAGACATCATCTTTCATTGAAAAAAAAAACTTTTTCATTCTGCCGACGCGCATGGCTACGGCGACGCGCGCGCATACCAGAAACCGGAGACTTTTTTGGCCTAACAGGCAGCATCGAGCTGTATACTCCCCAGGGAGCTGAGATGGTATTTGGAATGTTTCATGGGCCCAATGAGCAGGGGTAATAATGATGTAGCGCCTTGAGCACCAATCCTGGTGGATACGTGCGCTATACCCACTATTATTATTATTATTATTATTAGCATTATTAATTAGTATTCACAAGTTATCTTTTTTTAGCAATACTGAGCCCAAAAGAGGACGACACATGCATTTTCCCGCTGAAAGAAAAAGGTATAACTTACTGGCGGTCTATTACAAAAATAAGCTTTCCAGACTAAAGACAAAACGATGTCCACAAATGATACTGAAATTTGTGGATCGGACAAAAACCAATATCAATATTACTAAGAAGTGAACACGTTTGCTGAAGAAAAGACTTTTTATTTACAAACCAATGACCATGCAAAGGCAATAGGTATAATTTTTGTTACATTTAATTCCAGTGAATGGAGAGTTCGATAAATTAGGGGTCTGCCCCTCACTGCCGTATTGTTATAAACTCGTGTACTCAGTGTTGTCCGGAGTGATTGTGAGAGGGGAAACAAATCTTGAAAACTTTGGTTGCGGTACCCGCTGGTATAAGATTCAGACCAGTCAGCCAACCAAGCAAGCTCGGTGGTCGAGTGGTAAAACGCCTGCACTAGTAAGCAGGAGGTCGTGGGTTCGAGTCCCACCCGAGTGGTGTCACTATCACTTGGGACAACACTGAGAAACCAGTGTTTATAGAATACCCAATTATTGAATTTACATCCCCCCGACGAAGACTTACCCATGCCGCTGCGAAGGTCTCTCTCTCTCAACAAGCACCTGGTGACAAAGACCCCAGCACTCAGCTCATTGATTGAAACTCCTACTTCCATTTTTTATAGCCTCGTGCCAAGAGGCCTTACGTCATTATTTACATGACTGGAAAGCATGTGGTAAAGCGGTGATCAAGTTTAGAGAGAAATGTCAGACGGAGGAGGGGCTTTTGTGCTGATTTGTAGTAGCTTCCTGAAATGCATTATTCATTACATGTTAATGAGATGATAACATCTTCGCGTTCCGTGAAACGGCTACGAAAATGAGCCGTTTTCCTTTCCTGTTGGCTAAAACTGTTTACTAAAGTCACCGTTATAGATAAAGTTGCTGCTAATTTGGGCTGAAAATCTGGTTTTAACCCTCGACAGAAGAGCTTAAACACGGCCGTGGGGGGGGGGGGGGGGGGGCGACAGCCCCCCCCCCATGAAACCTAGTCGCCCCCCCCCCCCAGTCGCCCCCCCCCTGAGATTTTGAGTTTCTAAAAAAATTATCATTGATCTACATGACGCCCCCCTCCCCCCCCCCCCCCCCATGAAATGTTCCAGCCCCCCCCCCCCCCAGCGCCCCACTGAAAAATTCCTGGCTACGCCACTGCATGCTATAAACCAGATGTGATTTCTTTTTCATTGCGGACCATGTGCACAAATTTTGAGCATAGCATTATATGCAATTTGACCCTTCGTGAATTCAAAACGGAGCCTGAGCGAGTGACGAGAATAGAAAATTTACGAAACAGATACGTTTTACAGATTTTCCTGCATTATTATGTTTTTCAAGGGAAAACGCATTTATGAATGGGAATAAAAGAGTGATGACTATAAAATGCCGTTTGGAACCTTGCAGGGTCGTGGCCGTGATGACTTGCAGGTCACAGGTCACGCAAAATCTATCCAATCAGAGCGTGAATTCATCAGCGTATCCCAGCGTCCTGTTTGCAGGGCGGGGAGTACTTGCACAATTGATGGAGAATCCTTTTTAAAATAATGATACCAAGATCTCCCAATTCGGTCCAGTAGTTTTTGCTGCAGAACCTATTTTGTGAAGCACACTTCTTTCATGTGGGTATTATTACCACATAACAATCCCTCAATCATTCACAATGCGAGTCAAATTCCCGGGCGCAGTTTAGTAATTCATCGGGACACAATGACCACACCTTGCTTCACAAAAAAAAACCTCTAGAACAAAAACTAATGGACCGACCGAAATAATACAAAGGAGTTTGCAAGGGTATTGGTTTCAAGTTGACAGAACAATAAAGCTAATACTACTTGTACTTGTCGGTACGCGTGATTTAATGCCGAGTTGTACGGTGCAAGGCACAAAGCGACATCAACATATGAACACACGGACAAAGTATAGAGTTTCTTTTTAAGATTTCTTTGCACCCAGGAGTTTCGAAATCAAACCACAGATAAATAAAGAAAACAGAAGAAAAGCAAAGATATTGAAAGAAAAACACAAAACGAGGAAATTTCGCAACGGAAACCCGTCACTGATAGGCCTACTCCTGGTTTCGAAGCGTGGCTGCCTCTAACAATGGAATTTAAAGAGAAAGTGAAACAGAATCGACTTTAATGATACATTTTATAATTATGCCTGGACAAACTAGTGCCAGCAATGAAACTTTAGCTGTACATTTCTTTATTTTATAAGCTTCTTGCATTAGAGTCATCTTTTGAGATGTGTGCTTTTTCTATCACACGGAAATGCCAGAGCGGGCCCATTTGTGCATTCATTGTTGATGAAATAAATGAACAAAAGAAAACCTCAAAGATGAGTGCAGAAGACAAAACGTCTCCATGGGCTGTATAAGGTGTGTGTAAAAGAATCATTTGGATTTTTTAAATTTTATTTACCGCTTAGACTGTTGAATCCACATTCAGAAAGAAATTGACAAGAGTGTGGATAAATGGCGCAGCATCTTTGTGATTTCCTGTTTCCCACTCCCCCCCCATTATGAAATGTGTCCCCGCCCCCAAAAGAGAGAGTTTGTCCAAAATTGTGTTTTAACATGTAATGTTAAATTCAAATTTTCAAAAAAGTCTCAATATGTGACTCCTTTTGGGCTTATAGCGCCAACTTTTCCAAATGCACACCCTCGCCCACAAAAAGGTCATGAAAAAATGGGTACGTCTTCATTTTAGCTTAAAAACAAACAAACCAATGTCCTGAAAACACTCTTCTGGTGGTAGAAAAAGGCATCAAGTAGATTTGGGTTTCATAGTGCACCATTAATAATTTCTGAAATATTCAAAAAATGTACCGGAAATTGGGTATAGGAGATCATTTTTTGACCATCATTCTGACTAGTATGCCCGATTCCCTTGCAGACATATTACAGATGTGTGAATATTCAGATCAATAATACTTGTGCATATTTCCCGACATATGTGACCAGCTCCACAAAAAAGGGTATTAAGTCGCGCTGGGCACTATTGTGTAATAGCCCCGCTCAACGTTGAGAGGGTGAAAATTTCGTCTGAATGTGATTTTCATTTTTTGTCATGAATGACATCTTTAATACCTAAAGTTTCCCCTTTCACTCACAGAAATGTTGATTTTGATAAACAAAGTGTAAAAACCAACCACGTTGTGTGCATCGTTCTGTTGTTCTAGAACAGAGCCTGCTATGTCAAAGCCTGTTCTCTCAGTTGTGCAATTTGAACTTCAAGGAAGTAATTAATAAGGAAATATATGTATGTCATATCTTCAGAACAGGAGGGGATATGCAGCTCTATTGTATGCCAAATGAAAGCTTACATTGTGGGCTTTCCAACCAAGGGCGGATCCAGAGGGGGGCCAAAGGGGGCCATGGCCCCCCCCCCCCCCAAAACGAAACCAATTTTTTTTTTTTATATGTGACATCGCAAAATAGGCAGGCAATGAGTACACCACCATCTTTTCCTCAAAAAAACATTGGTTAAAGTGGTCAGAAATTGCCTCAGATCGCACCACAGAGCATCTAGAATCCAAATTTTTTTCGGGGCCCTTAAGCGGGCCCCGAACCCCACGCCGTAATTTTTGGACCCACTTTTTTGGAGGACCAAAGTTTGTTTGGCCCCCCCCCCAAAATTGTGTTCTGGATCCGCCCTTGTTTCCAACCATGTATATAACTCAATTTCACTTTTTTTGCGACATAATACCCTTTTTTGTGGAGCCGGTCACATATGGGCGCAAACCAAAACTGGCACATGGAATTGTCCCACTCACTGTATCTTGAAAGGGAAGCGGTCACACAAAATCATCTACTGTTTCTGCATGAAGTCCATAAACACACAACAAACTGGCAAATAATTGCTGGATCTATGATCTTAATCTACACATCAGGGAGGTTTAGAAACTGTACTGTTTGGAGGCATTCTTCGTCTCTTGAATGACTTGGACTGGTTGGCTTCTTTCCGGTACTGGTGCCTGTGGATCAAGAGAGGAAATAGCAAAAAAAAAAAGACAGAAATAAAATATTTGGTGGTTTGTGATTTCATTTCTTAAAGGGAATATACAACATTTGCAAACATCGAAAAATAAAACCTACCAAGTTTTTACGAAATACCTTACTAGGATGTTGGTAAATGACAGTCTAAAGTATCCTGTAAAATTATGGCACCTGGTGTGAAGTCATTTTCAAGAAAATGGCATTTTTGTATACATTTCCAACGGTGGTCAGCCGACCACCATTGGAAAAACCTAACTATTTTTCAACTATGCTCCAACTTTACACTTTTTTTCAGTCCAAATTTTGTTTGCTATTGGTTACATGTTCATGAACGGGTGCAGGCCAGCTAGACTGGTTCCCTTACCTTACATCTATAAATTGATCCATTTTATCTTAAGTGGAGTCAAGGAACCAGACTACTTGAACATTTTTGGTTTTCTTGTTTTTTTCCAGCATTTTCGAACACAAACTTCAAACATATCAGTGTAACAATATTTGATCTATTACACTCCCCTCAAATAGTTCATTTCTGAAAATTACAGCAAAAGCCAATGATGTACATTCCCTTTAAATACTTCCTTGTGATCTTTCAAAGTCTGATTACTGAAACAGGGTTGTTACAAATCATGATTTAAAAAAAAATAAAATCAAACAAATCAGATCTTTTTTTATTAAATTTGATATAAAAAAAGAAATTAAAATATTTTTGTCTTTGAGTGAGTTATCGAAAGTGATATTCAACACATATATTATTCAACACCCATCTGTAAACTCTGTTTATTTAGCAGTGCATCTTGACCTTTTAAAAAGATTGGTAGGTTTTCAAAATTATCTGTTCTTAAAGAAAAGAGAGAAATTAACTGTCTCACTAGCTTCACCTTATATTTGAGGGATTTATGAAATAATGGAACACTGAACATGAGTGAAGGACCCAGTACGGACGACAAGTCTGTCATCTGTTTAAGTGTTATTTCTGTTCAAACAACAAAGTTTGCTGATTGTACATGTAACTACATTGTAATTAACTAGAAAGCACTCAGAGAGCGCAAACCTCCGCCAAGGCTAAACAATTCCCCACCATATTGTCAGTACACCCAAAAGAAAAACTCACATAAATAGTGAAGAATCCTTAAAAACAATATCCTGGATCCAGACCCAGCTCCGGATCACTTTCAAAATCTAATCGATTTGTATTTGTACCAAGGACCACCCCTAAAAAAAATTTCATGCAAATCTGTCCATAAGTTTTTGAGTTATCTTGTACACAGACAAACCAACCAACAAACCAACCAAATCCATTGAAACTTAAAGGGAATGTACATCATTGGCTTTTGCTGTAATTTTCAGAAATGAAATATTTGAAGGGTTAGTATAATAGATCAAATATTGTTACACTGACGTGTTTCAAGTTTTGTGTTCGAAAATGCTCGAAAAACCAAGAAAAAACAAAAATGTTCAAGCAAGTCTAGTTCCCTGACTCCACTAAAGATAAAATGGATCAATTTATAAATGCCAGAAAATTGTAAGGTAAGGGAACCAGTCTAGCTGGCCTGCACCAATTCATGAACATGTACGCAATAGCAACCAACAATTGGACTGAAAAAAGGGTAAATTTGGAGCAGTAGTTGAAAAATAGTTTGGTTTTTCCAATGGTGGTCGGCCGACCATCGTTGGAAATGTATACAAAATTACCATTTTCTTGAAAATGACTTCACATCAGGTGCCATGAATTTACAGGATGCTTAAGACTGTCATTTACCAACATCCTAGTAAGGTATTTTGTAAAAACTTGGTAGTTTTATTTTTCGATGTTTGCAAATGTTGTATATTCCCTTTAACCTCCTTGGCGAGGTAACAATGATGTACTGTCTGAACACAACTTCTTTAAACTCTCTCTTGGAATCATGTACAAATGTGCCTTGCATCCATGCATGAAGCAACAATTTGCATACAACACTCACTGGGAAGTTGGTAACAGTGTAGCCAACCAGGGGCCAATTTCACGGCGCTGCTAAGCACAAAAATTTGCTTAGCACAAAAAAGTCTGGCTTATAGAAGCAGGTTATCAGCCAAAAAGTCCATGTTATTTTCATGCTAAGCAAACAACAGCTGAATACTAATCACTATCATGTGGAGTTTTGGCTGGTAACCTGCTTTTATAAGCCAGACTTTTTTTGTGCTAAGCAAATTTTTTGTGCTTAGCAGCGCCGTGAAATTGGCCTCAGAAACTATCAACTGCCAAGAGAGCATACTTGATGGAATGATAACACCAATATATTAACATTTCTGATTTTTTTTTTAATGATTTCTGTGATTTTGTTCGGGCTACCTCCCACCATGGAGTTGTCTGTGGGCAATTTTGTTGTCATACACACCATTCAGATTGATCTAGCCATGCCAATCATAAACTTTCATTCTAGTAAAGTGCTACCTTAATTTTCCATAAAATAAGTTTGTGTAAGTATTATGGTAAAATTATATCAAGGAATGAGATTGTCAATTGAAAAAAAAAAGGCTGAATATTGGATTGCAATTCTGAAAACGAAATTGATATCTACTGGGTGAGTCAAAAAGAAAGTGACCTTGATTAATGATTGTTTTCACTTAAAAAGTAACAAAACAATTTTTTTTTTTCTGATTAGGTCACTTTCTTTTTGTCCACCCAGTATACTGATAATTAAGCCGTGTCCAAATTACTGGACTAATAAAACTGTCCTTGAGTTTGATAAAGAGCATAAGCCTTGTTTTGAAACTGATATAAATATAATTTGTTTTTGCTGTTAGCTTCCTTGAAGAGTGAAACCAGCCTGACTTTAAACTGTGCCAAGAACTGATGTGATTTTGTATCGGTATATATCCAAAAATCACACAGATTACAAAATGAGACCAAAAAGAAAGTGACCAGGATTAAAGATTTTTTTCTTAAGAAAAGCAATCAAATTTGATACACCAATGATGTATGTCTTAAAAGAGCATGTTCCAAGCCTTCTGATTTGAAAATCACAGGCGTGTGGAAAAAGGCACACCAGGATTTTTCTAGTTGTGTGTTTTTTCTAGGTGCGTGGTTTTCTAGGTGTGTGATCTGTGGTCCAGGGAAATTCAGGTGTGCAATTATTCACACTTCTCAGGAAGCTTTTAGGTGTGCGATGGTGTGGGGGTGTGATTGCACGCCTCAAATCAGAAGGACTGATGTTCATCCACTCATCTGATGAAAAGAATAACTAAACTTGATCCGTGCCATCATCAGAAGTTATGCATGTTTTACTGAAAGCACCCATGTTTTACTGAAAGCACCCATTTTTATAGCTGTCCTTGGAATGCCATTGGAAGCTAATGAGCTGAGTGACAATTACAGATTACACACACGCAATTGTATGCAAATGAGACTTTAATAATTGAAATAAACACTGAAACATTTATATAATATTGGATGGCTTTGAGGCTGATACAAGAATATATTGCACGAGCTATGACAATATTGCACGAGTCGTAGACGAGTGCAATATGGTCATAGCGAGTGCAATATATTCTTGTATCCACTGAAAACAAGCCATCCAATATTATTATTATTATTAATATCAGGCTGACTTGATCCGCAAGAAGCACAATTCAAGACACTGTCAATTACATCTTTTTCGTTTACATCAAACGTCTTGAAGCTGCCACTGTAATTGTTGACAACAGTGCGCGCATACCTGGCCTTCTGCGCGCTGCATGCGCGCAGCGTGTTCCGTGTTCGACGGTACGCGCACGAGCTACGCTCTGTTGAGTGGTTGACAACTGTGACTTTCTATGCTCTTGATCAAGCGGGAACCTGCGAAAATGCCCGGATTGACTGCAATAACAATCTTTTTGCAGTCAACTTTTTGTGAAAGCATACAATAAGCTGATTTATTTTTACCGCTGAAAGCCTGATATAAATAATAATTATATACTGTCAGATTTTGTGTTTTCAATATGTGGAATTTTTTTTTGGAAAAAATCATGGTGATTGTGTCTGTTTTCCTGTACAATATTTTTTTTAATTCATGGTAGGAAAAACGCCCTTATTTCATTGTGTTTTAATGGTAAATGATCATTTGTGTAGAGCTGAATTTTGCATCAACCCTAACCTCCTGAACTCCATCAAGATCCATCCCCCATTTGAGTGGATTTTGGCAGACTTGGTCCTGAAGGCCTGGTGTGACTAAATATTGATGGAGTATGATGGACTTGGGTCTGGAGGCCTAAAGCAAAGCATGCATTGGAAGCAGTGTGATTGATGGATTTTGGCGGACTTGGTCCAGTACTTAGTAAAAGACAGTAGGGAGTTAGGGTTAAAATAGACATACATGTAACTTGTGAATATAGTACGCAAATTACATAGAAATGGCACACTTACTAGTCAATAAAATGTACTTAATCCCTACGATATTTTTATGCAATGGAGTAGCCACATATTTTAAAAATATCTTTTTCTGATTAGGCCAAAAAAATAATAAATACTCGGTCTCTGGTCAGCGCGCGCGTCGATTTTAATCATGCGCGTCAACCTTTTTTTTCCTCCAAATTAACACGGAAGCTACAACAGCGCCCTCTATTACCGCACCTCCTCAAATGTTTGTACCAAGGAGCACCAAGGAATGGGGAAATTGCACCAAGGCAAATGATTAAGGGCACCAAGGCAAATTATGGAGGACACCAATGTATAATGAGGACACAAAAAAGCAAAATAGTACCCACCTTGTCTGTACAATAAAAGCTTGAAAAAAAAAAAAAAAAAAAAAAAAAAAACGCGTCGCCACATCAATTCCGGAACTTCGGTCTGACCAGAGACCGACTATTTTTTTTTTTGGCCTTAGGTCTCTTTCTTTTTGACTCAACTAGTATACCGATAATAAGGTCGCGTGCCAATTACTGGGCTACGGCTGGAAATAACACACGGGTCTATGGGAAGTGGCTGCAGCCACAGCCACGTAATTTGGACACAGCCTCACTTTTCCCAAGATTCAAAAGGTCTGATTTCAGACACAAATCTCATGCCTATCTACCTTGATTGCCACCTGCGGCCCGTGTTCCAGACTCTGCCGAATGACGGCAGCCATTCCTCGTTGGAGGGGGAGGTGTGGTCAAAGTTCACGCCTACTCGTTTGGGGTTCAGCTTCGATTTTCTCTGCTGCTCAGCTGAAATAAAGAAACAGACAATCAACAATTCAGTTTTTGGCCTATGGTCGGTATCACAAAACTTAATTTAGATATAAATTTTAACTATATGCTTCACTATTACACATTTCATGACTTACAAAACTGGAAGATCAATTACGACGGATCTGAATTTCATTTAAAGGTTCCATGACAGTGAATTTTCCTTAGAAACATATTTTGTGCGCCTTTCTACTCTTAAATGTATGAAAAATATTTGACACTCCTGTTTGGTCAATTTTATCCAAAACTGCACTTCTTTAAACATTTAAAGTTGTACTTTTGTGGACAACTGAGGGCGCTGTTGAAGTCCTCATTTCAGGAAGAAACTGTTCAGTTAAGGAGTTTTCTGTGCAGATTGTGAATCAAGAAATTTGGTTATTGAAAAAACAGGTGAGAAAATTTTGCTCATTGGTTTACTACTGTGTACTGACACAACAATGAATCACCAAAGTAAAAAAAATTCTTGACAGAGAGATAATCAAAATTGTGGTAACTTTTGGTACTGAAACAGCTGTAGCGTTGAGTTTTCTGCCTGAAATGACATCACACTTTTGCTCATGAATATGGAAATCTGCATTAGCATTAAAGGCACCAAAATACCCTCGAAAAATGGCAAAATAAAAATTGAAAATAAGGTTAAAGGGAATGTACATCATTGGCTTTTGCTGTAATTTTCAGCAATGTACTATTTGAGGGGTTAGTGTAATAGATCAAATATTGTTACACTGACATGTTTGACGTTTTGTGTTCTAAAATGCTGGAAAACCAAGAAAAACAAAAATGTTCAAGTAGTCTGGTTCCTTGACTCCACTAAAGATAAAATGGATTAACTTATAGATGCCAGAAAATTGTAAGGTAAGGGAACCAGTCTAGATGGCCTGCACCCATCCATGAACATGTAACCAATAGCAAACAACATTTGGACTGAAATAAAGGTAAATTTGGAGCAGTAGTTGAAAAATAGTTAGGTTTTTCCAATGGTGGTCACAAAAATAACACTTTTCTTGAAAATGATTTCATACCAGGTGCCATAATTTTACAGGATGCTTTAGACTCTCATTTACCAACATCCCAGTAAGGTATTTCGTAAAAACTTGGTAGTTTTATTTTTCGATGTTTGCAAATGTTGTATATTCCCTTTAAATTGGGCACGAAGGTGCATTTCCAAAGATTGCACGAACAAAAAATACATTACATGGACCACACGCAAAGGTTTTGCGGTACTCAGAACGGATGACAGATAAACACGCGGGGAGTGAGGCCAGAAATATCTGTCAGCGACCCGCTCGCAGTAAGCGAGGCCATAAATGTAAGTGTGCTGCTCGAGGGTGATGGCTTCAACCCGCCTGGCTTGAGGTCAAGTGAAAAGTAAAGGAATTTTATCCACTCACTGTGTTTCCTGAATTCCACCTCCGAGGGGCCCATCTTTTGATATCCTTCCTCTGTATCTTCGTTGTCATCATCCCGTAACCATGGCGGCAGTGCTCCGGTATGAATGTTTCCATCAATTCCACGATCCTGGATCACGAACAAATAGTATTATGATAATACTGATAGCATTTTATTCCAATGCCTCAAGCGCTTAATAACTCCCTTCCCGTTCATCATGAGATCAGTTTGAGATCAGCGCAATCTGGTCTCGACCCTCACAGGTACCCATTAACACCCCTGGGTGAGAAATAGGAAATTGTGGTAAAGTGTCTTGCCCAAGAACACAAGTGCAAGATCCCTGTTCATCAGGCCATGAGATCAGTTTGAGATCAGTGCAATCTGGCCTCGACCCTCACAGATACCCATTCACACCCCTGGTAGAGAAATAGGAAACTGTGGTAAAGTGTCTTGCCCAAGAACACAAGTACAAGATCCCTGTTTATCAGGCCATGCGATCAGTTTTGAGATCAGCGCAATCTGGTCCTGACCCTCACAGGTACCCATTAACGCCTCTGGGTGAGAAATAGGAAATTGTGGTAAAGTGTCTTGCCCAAGAACACAAGTGCAAGATCCCTGTTCATCGGGCCATGAGATCAGTGCAATCTGGTCTCGGCCCTCACAGGTACCCATTAACACCCCTGGGTGAGAAATAGGAAATTGTGGTAAAGTGTCTTGCCCAAGAACACAAGTGCAAGATCCCTGTTCATCAGGCCATGAAATCAGTGCAATCTGGTCTCGACCCTCTCAGGTACCCATTAACACCCCTGGGTGAGAAATAGGAAATTGTGGTAAAGTGTCTTGCCCAAGAACACAAGTGCAAGATCCCTGTTCATCGGGCCATGAGATCAGTTTTGAGATCAGTGCAATCTGGTCTCGACCCTCACAGGTACCCATTCACACCCCTGGGTGCGAAACAGGAAATTGTGGTAAAGTGTCTTGCCCAAGAACACAAGTGCAAGATCCCTGTTCATCGGGCCATGAGATCAGTGCAATCTGGTCTCGGCCCTCACAGGTACCCATTAACACCCCTGGGTGAGAAATAGGAAATTGTGGTAAAGTGTCTTGCCCAAGAACACAAGTGCAAGATCCCTGTTCATCAGGCCATGAAATCAGTTTTGAGATCAGTGCAATCTGGTCTCGACCCTCACAGGTACCCATTAACACCCCTGGGTGAGAAATAGGAAATTGTGGTAAAGTGTCTTGCCCAAGAACACAAGTGCAAGATCCCTGTTCATCAGGCCATGAAATCAGTGCAATCTGGTCTCGACCCTCTCAGGTACCCATTAACACCCCTGGGTGAGAAATAGGAAATTGTGGTAAAGTGTCTTGCCCAAGAACACAAGTGCAAGATCCCTGTTCATCGGGCCATGAGATCAGTTTTGAGATCAGTGCAATCTGGTCTCGACCCTCACAGGTACCCATTCACACCCCTGGGTGCGAAACAGGAAATTGTGGTAAAGTGTCTTGCCCAAGAACACAAGTGCAAGATCCCTGTTCATCGGGCCATGAGATCAGTGCAATCTGGTCTCGGCCCTCACAGGTACCCATTAACACCCCTGGGTGAGAAATAGGAAATTGTGGTAAAGTGTCTTGCCCAAGAACACAAGTGCAAGATCCCTGTTCATCAGGCCATGAAATCAGTTTTGAGATCAGTGCAATCTGGTCTCGACCCTCACAGGTACCCATTCACACCCCTGGGTGCGAAACAGGAAATTGTGGTAAAGTGTCTTGCCCAAGAACACAAGTGCAAGATCCCTGTTCATCGGGCCATGAGATCAGTGCAATCTGGTCTCGGCCCTCACAGGTACCCATTAACACCCCTGGGTGAGAAATAGGAAATTGTGGTAAAGTGTCTTGCCCAAGAACACAAGTGCAAGATCCCTGTTCATCAGGCCATGAAATCAGTGCAATCTGGTCTCGACCCTCTCAGGTACCCATTAACACCCCTGGGTGAGAAATAGGAAATTGTGGTAAAGTGTCTTGCCCAAGAACACAAGTGCAAGATCCCTGTTCATCGGGCCATGAGATCAGTTTTGAGATCAGTGCAATCTGGTCTCGACCCTCACAGGTACCCATTCACACCCCTGGGTGCGAAACACGAAATTGTGGTAAAGTGTCTTGCCCAAGAACACAAGTGCAAGATCCCTGTTCATCGGGCCATGAGATCAGTGCAATCTGGTCTCAGCCCTCACAGGTACCCATTAACACCCCTGGGTGAGAAATAGGAAATTGTGGTGAAGTGTCTTGCCCAAGAACACAAGTGCAAGCTCCCTGTTCATCAGGCCATGAGATCAGTTTTGAGATCAGCACAATCTGGTTTCGACCCTCACAGGTACCCATTCACACCCCTGGGTGAGAAATAGGAAATTGTGGTAAAGTGTCTTGCCCAAGAACACAAGTGCAAGATCCCTGTTCATCAGGCCATGAGATCAGTGCAATCTGGTCTCGACCCTCACAGGTACCCACACACACTCCTGGGTGAGAAATAGGAAATTGTAGTAAAGTGTCTTGCTCAAGAACACAAGGACAAGATCCCAGTCATGGGGTTCAAACCCACATACCGTCGCACATGGGTCAGATGCTGTAACCATTGGACCATGGCTTTCTACTTATACACATATTTTAAGTTTAAAGCTATAGTCCATCATTTGCAACCATCCGAAAAAGTAACTGGCGTATTATTGTTGAAAAACATACTTGGTTGAAAGATAGTAAGGGGACTAAACTCCCTGTGAAATTATTCTTTCTGGCAAGCTGTGATTTTGAAGTAATCAACGAAAGAAGGCCTTTCCAGCAGTGCGTCTTAAGACGCACCGTAGGAAAATTTAAATTAGTAGTTCGTTTTGTTATTCGGTGAAGCGCGCGCAAGCATTGGCACGACGCACGCGCGCGCGCGGTTGCTATAATTCGTCGGATCAGTGCGCGACATCGCGTGTAGCTGCAATCGGCTCTGTGAGAACGCGTCTCGGACGCTGAATTCAGGCCCAATTCAAAACATGATTCAGCAACTTTTAATTTGAAATTGAGATCCTAGAATGCTGTTTTTCTCAAAATATACAGCTGAAGCTGAGCTGAAACTTTATCAGGTTAGTTGTTCAGTATCCTTCATTAGATTTTGAACACTTTTGTTGCTTCAAAAGAACAAAATGCACAAATTACAAATGATGGACTCTATCTTTAAAGTTTCGTACTCCGCGCTTATCAAGAAATTACGTTTTTTTTGTTTTATTAAATTTTCACGTTGCACATGTGTGTACATGCATGCTTATTCCAACCCTAATAACTCCTATTTTGCTTTTTTTTGGCGTCTGCAACCCTTAGAATTATCTTTATTTTATTTTAATCACAAAGAGGTTAGCCACACGGGCAGATTGATTCCAGGTCAGTACATAATCGATATTTAGTATGAAGTGGGAACCAGCCTACCCAACGAGAACAGAATTATTTTCAGTTGATTTCTCATTCAAAAGTGAATAACGTTTTTGTTGTTTATAGGAATTTTTTTTTCCAGATGAAACTCGAAAAATAGCACGAAGAATGCAAATAAACTTGGTAAATTCTTCAGAAGCTCGAGTGCGTTTTCAATTATTTCTGAAGGTTATGGGCAATTCCACAGTTACTCAGGTTACATTTTTGATGTACTTTTGAGTTTCCTTGGGCTGTAATTACCTTACTGAAAAGGTTTAATAACTGTTATCCCCTTGGTAGATAGAGAAGACCTAGACCTACCTAAGCACCAAAGATGACATCCAGAAAAATGTATAATGTATGATAAACAAGGCGCACAAATTTGCTTACTCACGTTACGAAAATGTAGCGTGAGTAACCGTGGATTTGCCCTTATGGTTTAGGAAGACTTCTCCGGATCTCAACAAGTAATATGAAAACTAAGAGCCAAAGCTACGAGAAGAACAAAGAAGCCCAGCCTGGCATTCCAGACTGAGTGTGGTACCGGTATATATACCTTGACATGGACTGCAGTCAGACCCCCTGATGATATGACACCTATGGTCTGGACTCGACTCAGGACTCCAGGCTTCTGCTGCGCAGCTGCTGCTGAATGGTTCAACACAGCCAGCTGGAACTGGTTGGAACCGGTACTAGCCGGATCTGGCTGGTTTGAATTGTGCAGCACAGCTTGTTCATGCATCTCCCCTGATGGGCCATTTGACCTGAAAATTAACAAAAAGGCACACATTGCATCATTTCAAATTTGTAAGAAGTTTGAAGATAAATTAGTAAACCTTTTAAGACACTGGCTACAAAATGGAAAGACTATGATCATTCGATAACAACTACTCTTTCCTAACCTCATTTGTGAAATTTGGTTGTGTTGCTAAATCCTGGCAGAGACTTGAGTCCCGTTTGGGTCAAATTCGTTGCAACTTGGATTCTGACTCGAGCTACAGTCAGCAATATCAGGTCTTTCACGTTATCAACACTGTCCGTGCTGGGCCTGGGTCCAACACAGAGATTTCTGCCTCTCTGCAACCTTTCTCACATTGTCGCTCTGTTGCCTCATCGTGCTTGTTTTACAGATACTATCCAACAGTCTCAGTTCTCAGGTTGTACCTCCTAACCGTCCCTTTGGGGCGAACTACATAGTTCTCCATCCATTCACATTGACATACATCATTGTTCCCAAAGCACATCCTCAGAAACATTCATCCAGTTTCTTCCCACGCCCTGCCTCACTAGGAACTCCTTACCTGTATCTTGTTTTCAAGTTGAATATAATATATCCAGGTTCAAGTGCAACTTCAATACTTATCCTTCTATTTGAAGTAATTTTTCTTTTCTCAGCTTAGCTTTTTCTACTCCTTTTTTGTGCAGCCTCAAAACACAACACCTCAAGTGGCCCTCAACCAGTTCACGCCGGGTTTATTTTGACAAGAACGGAACGAGGCGCGGGATTTATTTTCACTTGACCTCAAGCCAGGCAGGTTGAAGCCATCACCCTCGGGCAGCACACTCATATTTCCAGCCTCGCTCGCTGCGAGCGGGTCACTGAAAGATCATTCCAGGCCTCGCTCCCTGCGTGTTTATCTGTCATCCGTTCCGAATACCGCAAAACTTTTGCATGTATACACGGCTTTCGACACAAACTGGTTAAATAGGGCCTTGTGATGAGCAACATTCATAACAAAAAAAACCCAAAATACACTTACTGATGTGAGCATCCGGGAACATCCTCCGCCTTGTGAGTCAACGGATCTCTAACGTTGCTACCTGCACTTCCAATTCCAGAAGGGGCCGTGGGCGTGGTCCAGGGAGCCAATTCTCTGTTGGGTGCCACACCCTGTGATGAGGCTGTGAAGGTCTACGGCGCATTCAGGAAATATCATCATGGATAAAAATAAATGCTTCTTTGGACACAACACTTGGGTGATACCCACTTGGGATACGGCATAAGTATTCATAGTCCAAGAATGAATACTTACGCAGCTAGTGCCTGGCCTTACAGTCTTGGGAACATTCCACAGACTGACCCAAGAGATTCCGAGCAAAACTGAAGCACATTATAAACATGCAAATGTGCAAATTTCTCTGGTCGAGTTGTAAAGTTCCCAAAACTGGATTCGCAAATAAACCACAGAGGGAAACTGACTACATGCATTCTAATAATTATTTAAAAGTTCAATAAAGAAATTGACTGGAGTGGAGTTTGAACCTGCGACCTCCGGATTGCCGTTCTAGCGCTCTACACCTACTGACCTATCCAGCAAGGACAGCAATCCGGAGGTTGCAGGTTCAAACCCTGCTCCAGTCAATTTTTTGGTTAAATTTTTAAAAACTGGAATTTGATTCATCTTGTTGACAGCACCCTCTTTCGCCGTAGCGACTTGACGGCCCTTGCCAAGAACCAGTTGCATAGGGGACACAAAATCCAAATCCACTCTTGGACCAAATATTGCAGTTGGGGATCCCTCGAAGAAAGATGCAGTCTTTAGGCCAAAAAAAAAAAGTCTCCGGTTTCTGGTATGCGCGCGCGTCGCCGTAGCCATGCGCGTCGGCAAAATGAAAAAGTTTTTTTTTCAATGAAAGATGATGTTTCAAAACCGCCAAACTCACTGGTTTGACTGGAATTCTGCTGCTGCACAATTTAAACGTGTTTTTAGATTGGGTTATGGTCGAGAATAAGCTTTATGTGGCCTCTGGACTCCCATCCATTTGCACTAAGTTTAGTCGGGCACCATTTGCAGTCATCAGCCGACATTTGAAGCAAAACAATCTGGTAAAAAAAAAAAAAGCCGCGTCGCCGCACCACTTTTTGGGCAAGCTCCATACCAGAAACCGGAGCTTTTTTTTTTTTGGCCTTAACAAGAGGCTTTATCTTTACTGGGTCATTCCATGCCAACTCAACAAATGGTGCACACCATCACCTCTTGGATTTTTTTCTTTTTTGGTGTACTGAAAGATACTTAGGAGAAATGCAAATTCTGAAAATTTGGGGTCTCTACGACTTTTCGTTCTTGCGCAACAGCATTTTGAAATTTGAGGTGGGCGGGGCCAAAAGCGCGTCGCGTCACGAAATTCAATGTTTAAAGGGCCATATATTTAAAACTATACCCCCCAGACATTTCAAACTTGGTAATCTGGGCTACTTTTTGCTGTAGATTTCAAATATTTAAACAGAAAGAAAGTGGCTTGTTTCATTTTTAAGTTAGAGGGGCCCCAAAATGGCCCAAAACTCATCTGGACCAATGTTCGGGGGGGTGTAAGTCAAAAATTGAAAATATTTGTTTCACCAATTTTTTTGCCTGTAATAGCCCCCAATTAAAACTACTTTCATGTAAAATCTTACACTTATATTAACTTCATTGAATGAAATATAGCCCTTGCAAAAAGCAAATTGTTTATTTTTACGACAACTTGACCCCCCAAAAAACCAACGTCAGACATTCCGCACCAAATTTTGCTTCACATATGTTTGAGGTTGGTCCTTAGTGAAGTCCTCTGAAAAGTTTCATGTTGGTGTCTAAATTTCTTCAGTGGATAGCTGGGCTTTATAAAGAGTCTATATCTTATGATGCTGCAGGTTCCGTAACGTACATGTGCATGTACAGTCGACTCTCGTTAGTACAAAATCTGTTAATACCAAATTCTGGTTATAACAAACATAAAGCCTTGGTCCCGACTGTGCATTTATGTGCACAATGAATGGGACTGATGTTCCTCTTAGTACAAAATTCTGATATAACAAACAATTTGGCTAGGTCCGAACGAGTTTGTTATAACGAGACTCGACTGTACATGTACTTGTATTTTACGGAACCAGCACAACAAAATCCCCCGACTGTTGAAAGACTTGGGTCAAGACTACCCATTTCCTGCTCAATAAACAGTTGCTTGTAGACCTATGTGTGCATTATATGCAAATTAGGTTAAATGACTTGAGAGTCTAATTCTTTCCATGTGCTCATCACACAGCATGCATGTCATGTATGTAGTAATTAACCAGTTCTCACTTGCACAACATAGTATAGCACTAACCTGAACCAAAGAGAAGTGATTCAGTTTGAATAGAGGGTCTATGGTTTTAACCTGATTGATCTTAGTTTTCATTATGGATAAGGGGAAACCTAGTTCATCCAAGGAGTTGCATGTATGCTCAAACTCATCATGCACCAATTGTAGCAGCTGACCTCAACCCAGGAAAATATGTTTGTGTGGTCTATGATGATGTTTGGTGCATTGCTAAATTGTAGAAGATGTACATGTATCACAACTTCATGAGGATGTGTATGTCTGCTTCATGTACAGGACGGAATCAATAAATACTCTCTATTGGCCACAAAGAGAGGATAAATGTAACATTCCATTTGTTGATGTGTTGTGTTGCGTACCAACACCAGAACTTCTACATAGCGGTGGAAGGCATTGCAATACAAACTTAGTGAGCCAACCATCATGCAACTCATTCAACTTCATCAAAACTACATCACAAGGAATGCATAATTTCACCTGTGAAACTGTAAACAATTATATCAACTGTCTACATGTACAAATGTAAGCTAAGTTTCATACCCAACTTATTCTTTATGTACCAACTGCTGTTTTATTCTATGTACGTGTACTTGTATGTTACGGAACCAGCACCGTAAGATATAGACTCATTATAAAGCCCAGCTATCTACTGAAGACATTTAGACACCAACATGAAACTTTTCAGAGGACTTCACTAAGGACCAACCTCAAACATATGTGAAGCAAAATTTGGTGCGGAATGTCTGACATTGGTTTTTGGGGGGGTCAAGTTATCGTAAAAATAAACAATTTGCTTTTTGCAAGGGCTATATCTCATTCAATGAAGTTAATATAAGTGTAAGATTTTACATGAAAGTAGTTTCAATTGGGGGCTATTACAGGCAAAAAATTTGGTGAAAAAAATATTTTCAATTTTTGACTTACACCCCCCCGAACATTGGTCCAGATGAGTTTTGGGCCATTTTGGGGCCCCTTTAACTTAAAAATGAAACAAGCTACTTTCTTTCTGTTTAAATATTTGAAATCTACAGCAAAAAATAGCCCAGATTACCAAGTTTGAAATGTCTGGGGGGTATAGTTTTAAATATATGGCCCTTTAAACATTGAATTTCATGACGCGACGCGCTTTTGGCCCCGCCCACCTCAAATTTCAAAATGCTGTTGCGCAAGAACGAAAAGTCGTAGAGACCCCAAATTTTCAGAATTTGCATTTCTCCTAAGTATCTTTCAGTACACCAAAAAAGAAAAAAATCCAAGAGGTGATGGTGTGCACCATTTGTTGAGTTGGCATGGAATGACCCTACTATGTGATCTCAAACTGCTATCTGACGGCAACAGAACGCAGACAACATACAGACTGTATTGGGAAAGCTGGTAAAGAGTCGAGAAAGTGTTCCAAAAGTTGTAGGTCAGGGGTAAGATTGGGCAAATTTTTAAAAAAAAATCCAAAAAATATTCGGCAGAGAGTTTTGGGGCCACCAGGAGCCCTTGAACAATGTAGGGTTTATGTTATCTTTGTATTTGTCTAAATGCATCCCTTAAAATACCCGTTTCTTTCGTACATGTACAAACTTTGATAGGTACAGGCATGCAACTGGGAATTTAGAATAAAACGAGAAAATTCCAAACCACAGAAGCTTTTGTACAGTAGTTTTCAATCTGTAATGGCATTCATGAGAAGCACAAAATGAGGAAATCGGCAGATCCGAGGAAAAGTTGCATGCCTGTAGGTAAAGACACTTTGGTAAACCTCAGGAATTTTCAGATTTCAACAGGGATTTTAAAAAAATATATCATGAAATCAGGAAAAACCTGTTATAAGATGGAATTTTTGCGTCGGGGTGATATAAATCAAATTAGGTTTTGCCCTTCACCGACGTTTTTAAACACTGTATACTCAGTGTGTTACCTCCCGAGTGAAAGTTGGAAAAATCACTCGGGTGGGACTCGAACCCACGACCTCCTGCCTTCTAGTGCAGATGTCTTACCACTCGACCACCGAGCTAACGGGATCGGTTGGCGGGTTCGAATCTGATGTACATAGCAGCGGGTACCGCACAAACTATTATCAGATGGAATTTTTGCGTCGGGGTGATATAAATCAAATTAGGTTTTGCCCTTCACTGACGTTTTTAAACACTGTATACTCAGTGTGTTACCTCCCGAGTGAAAGTTGGAAAAATCACTCGGGTGGGACTCGAACCCACGACCTTCTGCTTTCTAGTGCAGATGTTAAAAAAATGTTAAAAAACGTCGGTGAAGGGCAAAACCTAATTTGAGGAAAAACCTGACAAAAAGAACTCTTGAATAGACCATTATCATGTTGCGGCCATTTTGATTTTTTTCCCATTCAAATCAACGTAGCCAAAGCGAGGCTGGAAGGAAAAATAGTCTGGTTCCTTTTGGCACAAAAACATTATCATTCAGTACTGTTATTGGATACGGGGAACATGACTGAAATGGTGGCAGCATGACTAAGGTCTATTCGGGAATATTGCAGACAGATTTATTCCCTTGCAGGTTCGAATTCTGTTTCACTTTACTTCTAATAACTAGCGAGTGAAAATGCACTAAGAAATCATTTGAAGGTGGATACGAAATTCGTTCCCGACGATCATAACAGACCTCAGAGGGCTTAGTCACAAGGGTAGAGCTGCCTGACGACTGAAGCAGCAGTGAACGGTTCGATTCCACACGGCGTATCTTGGCTGCACTCTGTCAATTAAATTCAAACAAAAGAATAATGCTTTTATGGATAATAAATCCACAAACGCCAACTTTTATACATTTTTTTGTTTAATAACTGACTTGACTTTGTTGTTCTTTTTTAAGTTTTTTTTTTAAGGGGCAATGGGGACCTACAGCAAATCTGATCTCAGAATTTTTTTAAAAGTTTAACAAAGAAATGGACAGGAGCAGGGTTTGAGACCTCTGGATTGCCGTTCCAGTGCTCCACCAACTGAGCTATCCAGCCCTATGTTGGCTGATCCCCAATTTATCAAAGTCTTTGTTTAAGTGGCGCTATTCAGAAGACAGAATCAGACATAAAGAAGAACACTTTAATGTGGGACATTTCAAGATACATGATTTTTCGTTTAGGGCCCGTCTCAATTCATATCTGGACGAGTTCCGGACAAGTTGCGGGTAGATTCATTCAATTTGTCTGAAAGACGCTGTTGTCCCGGACATGTTCTGGGGAAAGTTTCATTAGCAACTGCTTGACTCACCAATATTGATAACTTCATTGCGGGCAGATTGCGGGGAAGTTGTTCAAATTCTTTCAAATTAGACCCGATACAATACAATGTCCACAACTTTTCTGGAACTAGTTGTCCCAGATGAATTGAGATTGGCCCTTACTGCCTGGGCTTCATTTTCATTAATTCCTTTTTGGGGGGGGGGGGGGGGGGGGGGGCTGGATTGGTTGGGGGGGGGGGGGGAAATGGCACAGAATCTGGGATCTTAGCCAGTTCTAGAATACCATGGTCCAGTGTTTACGGAGTTTGTCTCAAGTACGATGGTGCGTGGGTTCAAACCATGCCAGGAAGATGGTGCTTGTTCCCTTGGGCAAGACATTCAACTACAATTGCCTCTCTCCACCCAGGAGTATGAATGGGTATCTGTGAGGGTCGAGGACTGAATGTACGCTGAAATCGGCTGCCTCATGGTCTCATGGCCTGACAGACGAGGGAATAACTGTAAAGCGCTTTGAATTTGTTGATAAAGCGCTCAAAATGTATTTCAATTTTTCTATTTTGTCTGAGTCCAGTGGTGGATTCTTGGATGCTTCAGTATTTTTCTACCCCAAAACACCTGAAAGGGAACAGGTACCGGTATTATTAACGATCATGATCTACATGTACCTGTGACATGAGACGCTCTTCTTTTGCTTCGTGTATCCTGAGTGCTTCTTCCACTGCCTGCTTGTACTTATCCTGGGAGTCTCTGGAGATGAGGAACTTCGGCTGAAGGTCGGTCTCGATGCGATTGATCCGCCAGAACCGATCCACCTTCTGAGCATGCTCATGGCTGTATTCAGTAAATGATTAGAAGTCAGTGTTAAAGGGAAGATACAACATTTGCAACCATCAAAAATCGAAATGAAAAATGCTTCTAATTATTCTTATTCCGCATTTTCTTTGCAATTGATTACACACCTGTGAAGAGGTACAAGCCTGCTAGACTGATTCTCTGCCTTAAAATTCCCCAAAGTCTATAAATTGCCCCTTTTTTTATCTTAAGTGGGGTCAGGGAACCAGACTACAAGAACACGATTGGTTTTCTTGGTTTTTTTCCAGCATTGAACGCTTGAGCGCTTTGAACGAGATGATGTAAATCGGAAAGAACATTTAAAACTAGGATATAAACATCCACACAACTATCCTTTCAAAACTGGGCGTTTTTGTGTTATTCCTGTATTATGTGTGCGAGAACGAATTTCGGGGTCCACTTTTGCGACCCCATAAATTCGAGCCGTTTGGATGCTAGTTGTGATTTCATTCGTACGCATAAAGTGTTCGCCTTTTGCGGACGTTGAAGAAACCACATTTTTTTGCATTGGTGATTGGTCACCGCTGTTCCCAAGACACACAACGTGTGTATCGTACACTGTATGAGAACGACACGAAAAACGTATTCGTACTCCGTCGTGTCCGATGTAAACAAGCGGGTTTTTTTCGTCTTTTCTCGGGAACAGTAAGACATTAGGTTGGTTTCCTTTCAACCACATGTTTGAAATAGGATAGTTAACAATCCAAAACATGAAATTTTCGGGGATTTCAGGACCTAGTGCTCCCTAACCCACCTCACTCCTCCAAAATCCTCCTGGCGGTTTTGGAGGATTCTAGAGGATTGAGGATGAATGGTGATTGAATCAAATGAGGATTCTGGAGGATTGAGGATGAATGGTGATTGAAGCACATGAGGATTTTGGAGGATTGAGGATGAATGGTGAATGAAGCACAAGAGGATTTTGGAGGATTGAGGATGAATGCATTTTGAGGCAGGACTGTCTGATGATTTTGAAGGATTTGGCATTGGTTATCCTTCATTTAAACACGAGTGCAAAGTTTTGGGGTGAGGAGGATTTTGGAGGATTGAGGATGGTTGTAAGCAACAAGGGCCTAGGGGGTTAGGGTTAATTTGGCCTAATCACCTCATGAGATGTTCAATAAAGCCAGCGTGTCTGACGGTCACCTCCCCATCACTGATATGCTTATGAACCTCACTGGCACACATGTAACACCAGTACTTGGTGTCAGCTTCATAGCGGCCTGGGAGGATGCAGGGATCTCTCATGTCTTGTCTGGCTGACTTTACCTGAAGAAAACCACACAATGTTTGAGCCTAATATTAAAAATATTACTAAACTAACAATAAATATGTCAATGACAGAATAATAATCAGAAAAATAAAATCAGGTAAGAAAATTGACTAAAATTTTGGTTCTATGCACTAGTGAGTCTAGTCCAACAAGACTGAGTGAGAGCCCATTGTGGTACCTGTCGAAAATAGATCCCTATTCATCCATCAACGCATATACCTTACTCACTGGATCACGTTTCGGTCTAATTCGTGTTAATTTGTGATTACCTTTGCACCGTATTTTCCAAGAACTGCCTTAACCTTCTCTCTGTGTCTTTTTGAAAATGCGTGTTTCTTTCCCCTGTCGTGGCTGTGACGACAAAGCTCACAGTAGCTGAATCTTTGCTTAAATTCACTGGAAATCTGTTTCTTCGTGGGAGCCGCCATCTTGGAGTTAGCAACGTTGAGGGCGCTATAATATATAAATGATGCGTGGCTGGCCGGCCGCATCCGAATCTGTGTCGATCGCAGTTGTCTCGATTAATACATTTTTGTTCCTAAAAAGTAATCATCATTACAAATACATGGGAATATGCGGAGTTGCTGACAACAGACGTACCGGTACCACTACTACAGAGAGAAAAATTGTAACACCAAAGAAGGAAAATACTCACCTAATCCAGTCCCTTAAGTAGCCCCAGAATTAAACAAGAACGCAACGTTAACCTTCAGTTTCTATTGTTTGAAAACCCATTAGGCCTAACCCAAAACGTTTCCGCTTCCCGTAAACTGAGGCTCTAAAAATAAGTGTCTCCTATGCGAACTGGGCCCGAATAGGCCTATATAGGCCTAACTAGTAAAAGTTCATTATTCGTGTAGCATCACTTATCCTCAGATACTAGCTGGGTATTGATGAGCTCATTTAGTCTCATCTTTAAAAGAAGATGATCAAATATGACGTCACGAGCACGTCTCATTTTAGGTCACATTTCAAATTCTAAATTTTCTTCTTAGCCCTTCCCTACATCTGAGAGCGAAGTGAAAGAAATCAAAACATTTTTCATCGATGCCCATCCTTTTGAACACGGCGCGATCCATCCAGTGTAGGCGTGTGAGCTTATAATACAGGGTGAGTCAAAAACAAGAAACCCAAATGTCGGGACTATTGTTTTAGTGAAGTTCTGCAAGTAGCACTTTCAAAATCTAGGATATAAAAGCCCAATTCATAAGCTTTCATTTAGTACAAGAATTATTCAAATCACTCGAGCACTTTTCAAGCTGTGGAATTTTAAACACAACTACCGTTATAAAAACTGTCCACGGATCACATAAAAGGTGTGCGTTCTTTCAGGAAAACGAGTCACACACATCCCTAGTGTCATTGATTTGTTTTCGTTTTGCTGAAAGAACAAAACCGTTTTGTGATCCGTGGACACTAAACTTTAAAACCGCGGTGATTGTGTTTATATGTCAGTAACTTAAAAAGTACATAAGTGATTTGAATTATTCTTGTACTAAAAGAAAGCTTATGAATTGAGCTTCATATCCTGGATTTTGAAAGTGCTACATTTTTAGAACTGTACTAAAACAATGGTCCCGAAATTTGGGTTTCGGGCAAGTTTTTTTAATCACCCTGTATACACATAATGACTCCATACCGTTTCAAGGGGTAAATTTCGAGTGTGTAAGTTGGGTCTTGGGACACATGCAATCACCACGCCCCCTCACATCATTATAAGAACTCACCTGTCTTCAGGATCGGCAGTAGCCAGCCTAAGGATGGGCTGGGGAGGGACGTTTTTATCATGAAGTGGACCTTTTCATGTATTATAAACAGTGGATTAATATGCATGAAAATACAAATTTGAGTAAAACTCAAAATCAATCGCAAGGAAAAAGTGGACCTGCTGCCGATTGGGCGGGGGGGGGGGGGGGGGCGTCGTGTCGCCCCCACACCCCCACCCCAACTCGCCTACGGGCATGGTCTTGCCCTGTAAAACAAACTGTTCCACAGCAGCTTTTACGTGTTTTGTCTTATTTTGGTAATTTGGTATCATGTATCAAATTCCCGCGGGGCAAGAATCTCAACTCCGGGGGCATCTCACGAATCTTTACCAAAAAGGGTCAAGTGCGTGTATTTTGCAACTGAATCGGCGGTGGAAAAGTTGGTCAGATGCGGCGAAGCGTTTACCCAAGGAAAGTAGAAGTGTTGATTTTAAAACCCCGGCGAGATTCTTCGGCCTAAGGTCGGCGTGTCAAAAGGGTACTTGAAGAGTTACTCGAAAGAGGCAAGCGTGGGTGCTGCTTTTAAAATTAAATCTTGGAAATGGATCCTGGGGTGTCGGCATGGCTGGGTGAAGAAGATTCTGAAATAATTACCATTATGAATTCTACACCCCATACAGGTATCGCAAGTTTGTAGTGGTTTGGAAAGCGGAGGCAGTCGAACACTTAGTGGCGGTTTACGAGGGGGTAGGGGTTGGCTGGTTTTCATCCCCCTGGGAAAAAAACATTTGCATTTTCTACTTCAAAATATGGCTTTTCCGAAGGAAGTGGAACAAGTAGAACAAAATAACTTGCCCAATTCTTCACTCATAATCTATGCTCTAGAATGCAGGAGAAAGCATCTAGATTTCATTTTTTTTCTGGTGAGTATGCCCTGGACTACCCCCTCCCCCAGCACGGGGCGTGCGTGTACAGCAGCTCCCCCGAGCCAACTCTTAATCCACACCTGAAAAGGTTATCCGTTCAAAGACTGCATGAGGTGGACAAAGAGGGCATGAATTACCGTTGACGTTGAAGATTATATCCCATATTTTTGACCGGGAGGATGGACCCTACATTCATCCCGACCCAATCCAAGCCCTCCCCAACAAAATATTAAGTGTCGTAAAAAAATGTTGACTCTGAAGTCGTCTCCACAGAAGTGAAAACCAAAAGCTGACAACTGAGAAGGGCACTCTTGATCACCTTAATTAATAAGAAAAATACACGAATCGTATTTTTTGTTAACCCAAAATAGCTATGATGCATCTGTCCCCCGCGATGGACTTTGAAAATACAGCAGTTTACCTCCATAAACAAAACACTTGCGTGTTATAATAAGTGTCATAAAAATATGAAGGATGACCAACGCGAAGAACAATAATTGATGACAGAACTAAAAATAACCCAACGATAAATTTGGACAAATTTATCCCCGCTCCTGTTGTTGTCTTGGCGGGGGAGAAAGGACGAATTGGCCCCGCACGTGCGGTGCTCTCTCCGGACGAAACTTCTCGGTGCTCGGAATGTGTTTGAATAAAAAAAATCGAGTACAATTTATTATTGGACAACGTTTCCAGGGTTGTATAAAGGCCTAGAAGTCTAAATTTATTTGATTGACGATGTACCAGATGCAGAACTGAAAACAACAAAAACAATATTTGAACTTCAGAAAAAGCAAGAAATAACAAAACTAAGAACGTTTGGAAAATAAGAAATTTCTCAAATTGCTCCTCGTATAATATCCGTCCTTTTTCGTTAACATCAAATTTTAACTGCTTCTTTCTACAAGACAATTATTTATAAATGTGGAAAATAGACGGGATGGAATAATGATAAGTTAACTCATCAAAGAAAACAAAACTCTAAAATAAGAACCGAAATGTCTCTTAACGACAATCCTATATACAGGAATGAAATCAATGAAAAAAAATCAGGAAATTAGACGAGAAAGTGAAAATAAGGTAAAGCCAACCAAGTGACCGACTGACCGTCCAACTCCAAAAAGGACCTTAAAATATAAACACACTGAATGCAAAACTAAACCACTGCAAATGAGTAATTTAATTTTGACCTTTGATTTGCCTGAACACCTGAAAATCTCAAGCAGGACATTTATTCCTTTGATTTTAATTCAACTCTGCCCAACATACTTTACCGTGTATGAGAAATAAAAAGGTTAAGTTTTCCCCCACAATAATCAAATTCTCCAATACGGAAGAAGTCATTAGTGGGATTCATGGCCGAATATAATAGGCCTATATTATGAATAAACATTTCAAATCATCCGGTAAAGCAAAGGAACTGATTATAACAAAAAAATAATTCAATGGCGCAATTATGGCTCGAGGCTATCGTGATTTTACCGCCTATTTCAAATTCCAATCAGAAATTTAAAGGTTGATTGTGATTGGATAATTGCAGAACGTCGTTGGGTTGATGACTGAAGCGAGTACTCAATTATCAACTAACTACATTCTGAAGTAGCTGCTGAGAGATTCCCATTACGTAACGGCATGGGGAAATTGAAAATGCAATAACAGTACTGTGATCAACTTTGATGTGTGTATAATTATGTGTATCCAATAATTCAATCAGGAAAACGAAGGCCTCCTGCATGGGTTTGTCATATTCCAGTTCATGGACGGTGGTGGAACTAGTGAGCACAAACCTTCGCTCGTAACCACGGCTACACACCTATGTTTCGACACCCTGTGCCGACACCCCAATTTTCCGACTGCACATATTCCTATCCCTTACCCTATAACCCTAACCCTAACCCTAACCGGGAGTAACACAATCCTATGTGCGGGTTTCTCGGAACATATGGATGTCGGAAGATAGAGCAATCACCATAACCACTGCCCTGTGAAGGTGCGCTGGGGCCCTTAACTTTTTACAAAATGATTTGAAGGAAACAGAGCAGTTGCAAAGCATTGTGGGTAGGTTTACTGCCGCGATGCGTAATTTTTTTTCCTAGGAGGGTTAGGGGCAATGTCATGAATAATTCAGTTTTTCCTCGGAATCATTGCAAGACTTAGGTTCTCGTTCTATTTTCCCCTTAATTTAAAATTATCTCTGATAAATTTGGAGAAGAAAAATAGCTGATGAAAATGAGCAGCGACGACGTGGATTCGAACCAGGGATCTTTGTATCCATAGCTCATCTCGCTGTAAGGTAGCTCGACGACAACCGTTCTTTAAAATGCTTTAATGTATTGTAACTAGCTGAGTAACTAACATGCTGTTGATGTCATTGTCCGTTCTCACGGAGAAACATGAATTATTCATAACATTGCCCCTAACCCTCCTAGGAATAAAAATTACGCTGCCGCGATCAGTACACACATGCATATGCACACGGGAGTGTTGACCTCGGGTCATTTAAACAAAATCTGACCAACGAGAGCTCGAAGAATTAAGAGGTCACCCACGGCCTTAAATAAAACAACAGACCAACTTTGAAAGAGGCCGTTTCCCAAAATGAATTGGCTACGACAGTCGCAATCACATCAAGGGCGGATCCGGGGGGGGGGGGGGCAAAGGGGGCCATGCTCCCCCCCCCCCCAAAAAGAAACCATTTTTTTTTTTATGTGACATCGCAATAAAGGCAGGCAATGAGTACACTACCATCTTTTCCTCCAAAAAAACATTGGTTAAAGTGGTCAGAAATTGCCTCAGATCGCACCACAGAGCATGTAGAATCCAAAAA